AAGTGGAGCGGTAGTCTCTAGTATACCCTAGGGTTATATCTTTACGAAATATCATTTCCACGAAGCTATATGACGATGCTATAGCGTAATTGGGCTAATGGTTGTCGATGGTGGTCATTGCAATCCTCGCCTCTACCTGTGTGCACAGTACATCAAACCATCGAATCGATCGGGTGACGATTAGCTTATGTTCAATGACTCTCTTGAGACTATTTGCTCTCTATCTGATAATTATGAGAGACCTGCTAATATCAGAATATTATATTACATTCAATGATCCTAAATATTTAGAAATAGTTGATCCTCATGTTTATCTAAATCATCAAAAGAGTCAATAAAAACGTGACATACATATATGTAAGAATCTAAGCTACAATACAGTTGTGACTATTATTGGAAAAAGTGATAGAAAAACTGATAGTTCAGAGTCTTATGACAAATATTGATACATATTTTTCAAGAAGATAAAGGGAGAAATAAGCCTAGCTTATAAACTAAAAAGAGCAAGTTTGTCGATGCTAAATTTAAAGCATAAATAAATATCAATGTATTGAATCAAAATAAAAATAAGATACCAGTGTTCGAATACACTTTGAACTGATCTACCTGCAGATGGAGAAGTGAAAAAAAATTTCCTAATCTCTTTCCATCGTCAAACAATATTTAAGACTTCATTGTGAATATATAATGTGTGAAATTTTTATGTTATTGAACATGAATCCTATAAATTGATTACCAAAAGACGATAAAACTTAATTTTTCACATCATAAATTTTTATTCAAGTTTACTGAGTAATAATTCAACGTAATTGAATTATCGAAGTAATCTATTGTCTCTGCATCTTTAAAAACCATTCCAGGTAAAATAGCATGCGGCATCTCAAAGTTCATTGTAAAGTAACATAATTACTAGAATTACTCCAGCAGTACTTTCAGTATTAATTCAAAAATTCAAGGATAATTTACGTTAACGATCATTGCAATTTTGATCAATATTATCTGCATTATTTTATGATTTGTTTGGACATTATTCAGCCAACCTATCAAACATTTTATCTGCTAAAACGAAAGCAAATAAAGTCGTGACTATGTAGGTTGAATGCTCCCATTTCTCACGAGACCTACATTGACGCAACTATTTTATCCTCAAGCTCACTCCTCGAAATAGACACCATTATAGCAAATGTAGACGTACAGAATACACATGAGATCAAGAATAACATTTGTATAACCAATGGGATAAAAACTACACATGCCACAATAATTTCAATGTGGAGTACATAATAATAACTTGCATTATGTAATCCGAATATTTTTTTTTATTTTCCTAAATTTTTCAAAAATTCTGCCAATAAAAATCATCATTTTTTTTTCTTTTTTTTTTAATTATGAAAAAATTTGATTGAAAAATCAGCTATATTTTTTATGATGAAAACATTAATGCATAAAACAGCTTTTTTTTATTATAACAGACAACAGATTTATTTCTGTAACAGTTTTAATTATTTTATAAAAAAAATTCGATTCTTATTAACAGACAAGACTGTAGGTTAGATCGTATGTGATAAGTTTCAATATTTATTTTCAATATTTCCTTCACACTTTGATTGAAAAATTAAAATTTTTTTATTTATCAATTTCCCAATGCAGCTGTCATAAATTTTTATATCGTTCTGACAACAGACATTAAGACTATTAGTATAATACACTTGTGATTAGTTGCATCAACACAGTATTTTTCTCTTTCGTGAGTACAAGCAATCAATCATATGTTAAAAAACATGATATTTTTAATATTTAGCCACAAAAAACGGAACGTATGTAACTCCAATATTTTTGAACACTTTGTTTCTGAGATAGTTCAATTATTTTTATTGACAGACAATGAAATGCCTATCAAAGAGATTAATCGACAGACTGGCGACTGATCACAATAATCATTACGAAAGCGATGAAAAGTGAATTTTAGTTTTGGTTTTAATTTTATATAATCGTCGAATAAAATCATGTATTCATTCCGATGAAGATGATAGTTAAAAAATCGTAAATAATTTAACATTACTCAAGAGAAATCCTGCAGAATTACCTCTACATAATTTTTCGGTGAAAGTCGTAGATTGTATAAAAAATATTTAAAAAATAAGAAAGCAAGAAGAGGAATGAGAAACAGTTTATAATCCTTGAAAGACAAAACAACAGAAATATACAACACAGTATAAGGATATATTTTGTGAAGAAAGAGAAATTCAAGCTTATTTGCATTTTGAAATATTTTGCTCTACTAAGACAGGTTACTATCATCTATTTTTGATTAAGTAAAATTTTATATTGAAAATATAAATAAATTTCATCTCTTTTTCATATCTATGATCAATATATCCGATTTTAGGTATGAATTTGGTAACATCTGTCTTGAATATTTTGACATCGTGACATGTATGTTGGTAAACTCTGATGACAAATCTATTTAAACGATTTGTCATATTCTGTTTTCTGTTCAATCTAATTTTGACACAAAGAATGATGGATAGTTGAATTTATTTGTTCATTACAATTGGTCAAAAAGATCATCTAAGAGTAGATTTTCATTAGATAGCAGTGGACATTCAAAAAATAAACTAAGATTAATTAAAATTGCAATATGATAAGATAAATTCTCACCAAGATTATAATCATAAATATATTTTGATATGAAAATACTTTTTCAGGAAGTATTTTCATTCTTTTTCAGACCACACCTACACTCTATTTCTTCATTCAAATGAATAACAAAGAACACAAGCCTGTTCGTAATCATGTGTTTTGATAAATCAAGTTAGAAATTAGCTTTCCCTTGAGTTTTAAAAACAATTTTCACCAGTAAAATGACAAAAAATGCATTTTTAAATTGTAATCAGCTAAAAAAAATCATGCATCAAATATTTATTTTCTGCATCATTTCAGCAATTTTTCTCGAATTTTTGTGTCTCTGTTTATGATTTTGCATTTTTACAACTCGATTTCTCATTTAGAGAACTCAAAACAGCAGAATCATGAAAAAAATACTTCCTAAAAAATTAAATATTGTTCGCCAACAATACACATAGACTAAGTACTAACTATTGATGCTAATGAATAGTAAGATAATAATCACAAGAGAAGTGATTAATCATTCCTGATGTATGGACGTTGAAAAATTGTTATTAAAGTAGCAATAAAATTTTTACTGAAAAGAAAGTGAAAAATTGATGAGTTGCAGACAGTTTTTACCTTATTTGAGATGAAAAGTGTAAATGCCTTTCTGAAACTTCAGTTGAATATCTCAGCTGTTCAATGCAGCGAAAGTCTGTTGAATACTTTGACCTTGGCATTCTTAGCAATGTTATTAAATAATCCGTGAAATAGAGTTATTAACTGAAGCCACTTAAGTAAAAGGAATTCATTTATTTTAACTATTAATTTTTTTCATCCATTAGTCTTTCTGTATTCTTAAATATACTTTAAATTATTCAAAGATTATAACTACATATTAAATTACAATGATGGCTTATTAATCCACTTTTAAACGAACAGATTCTCATTTTATTCACATGAAATAGATATTTTAATCTAAAGAAAAAATTTAATAACATAGATAAGTAAAAAATGTTTTGAATAAATTTATTAAAAACATCGTATTTACAAGAAGTCTGATTTTATTCAGATCTAGTTACCAATGTTTTACTATTTTTAAACTTGTAAAAAATTTTGTTTTAACAAAACATCACTTTTATAAGAACATCAATTTTTCTCTAGCAAACATTAATATATTTCATTACTTCATATGTTTTGACTAAAAAAATCTCGTGAATTTTATTCTTACTAAACTCACATACTCATATAATGAACATTTATATTTTTGCTAGACTTGATGATATGCATATCTAAATGAGCAATTACTATTATTTTCAAATGATTATTAATTATTATTATTCATCAGATTTATCACAATGGTTTATAATTTATAATTATAAAACTGGAAAGCTTTTTTATGAAAAAATTTTTTAATAGTTTTTTTAATTATTGTAATATACCTGGTCATTAAAATAAATGATCAAATAATTTTAGTTAATCGATTTAGTTGAATGAACAGGAAGTCTAGCTGCTCGGAAGTGGTATTAACGTGCTCATGTCGCCTTGGACTTGAACGAAGAGAAATTGCAAGGAAGTGAAGGACAGCCATTACACTGTTAAGAATACATAGATGTACTGCTTATCTTATATTTGAAGCTAGCACGTGAATAGATATGAGAAATAGCCTAAGTTGAAATGCACTGAAGCGAGTATATTAGAGAAAGTATATATGAAAAATATTTTATTATTGCCTTGGACTTAATTAAAAAGAGTATCATGAACCCTTTATTACTTCACTTAAAGTATAAGAAAGGTAGAAAAGAATTTAATACTCAACTTCATTAAAATATTTCAAATTTTTTTTTAAGACATATTTCTCACTGAATTGATATCCAAAACCTATCAGTTACTATCGAACCATTTTAAATATTTCCGCTCCTATTATTTCTCACGCAATAAAACTACCTTACTTCACAATAGTATACAATTACAGTCAATTCGCAATAATAGGAAGAAAGAAAGGAACGAATATAATCATTCCAGACAATTTTCATGCCATGTGAGATATTGAGAAGTGATTGAAAATCCAATAAAACTAGATCACATAAATAATAACAATAATAGTAATATTAATAATAATAATAAAAATAGATAAACAAGTATCTGGAACGAAATGGTTGAATTTTTCATTGAAAAGAATAACTTCGAAAATTGGCCAACGACAGAAAGTCAATAGAAAGATTTTTTATTCATGAAAAAATTGCTCTTAGATCCATTATTTAATGGTGAAAAGTGAGATATATTCTGAATAAATAATTTCAATAGTTAGACAGAATAACAATCTAAAGGAACCTAGTATGGAATTGTAACAAATAAGGGATCCTAGGAAACAGTAAAATTGAATCAAATTTTGTTTTTATATTTAATAGATTTTTATTACAAGATTACAAAACAATTTATGATGATCTAATAAAGATACAAATCTATATACATAGAGAATTATCAACTAAAATCTACCGGTGCAGCGATGATATCTAGTAAATGAATGAATATTAATCAGCGATACACTAGATTAAAAAGTACTCTACTCAAAGCGCATAGTATAAAAAAATGGCTCATTATAATATGAATCATTTCAATTAACAACTCTATATTGAAGCAGAAAATTAATTAACATTTATATGAAATGAACTTTTGAAGTTATTGACAAGATATATATCATCCTCGGTTTTGGCAAAACTTTCATGTTCATTCATTGGTCTTTTGGGTATGTTTCTGCTTGAAAAATCACGAATTTTATGAAACTTTTATTAGGTTTGGTCACATTTGCATTCAGGAATTCTTTTAATCATTCATCGTGTATAAATCCATATATTACACAGTTATTTCATCCAATAAATATTTGGCAAAATCGAATATCGAATTGCTTATAAATGATTCACAAATTGAGCATGATGTTATTCCTTAAAAGAATAATAAAAAATAACATCAATCCAATCCCTTATTATAACCCATATGCTCTTTGTGGAAAAATTCATACTGAAATGATCAATTATGAATTTATTAAACAAATTATTTTAAAATTTATTTTTATTTTTGAACTAATTTATTAAATAATCCACTAATACCCACGAGAAACTTGATCAAGATAAAAAGTTTCCAACTATAAGCATGCCTGAAGTTTAAGAAGAAATATTTAATCAAAATTAATATTTTACAATGTTATTTTTTTTTTTTATTTAAACAAAACAAGAATGACTTTTCAATTAAGTAAACATGCTTTTCGTGTAAAACTTGGTATCCCTGTTATATTTCTCATTAGCCTTAATGGGTTATTTTTTCATTGTTAACAAAGTTTGATTATTTATTTTGGTGGAAAAACGAGCAACGCCAAATCTATAGCAATACCCATTAAGTTTAATAAAATTTTTCAACAACCAAAAGTTGAAAATAGTTTTACAATATTAAAGAGGATTAAAAACACCACAACGGCTGTCGACATTTTTTAAAATCGCTCCACCAAAAACACCGACAGGTGTTCTGGTCCATGAGATTAGAAGTTTAGATCCTCCAAGGAAAGGACTACCACGGCCAACTTTGCAGTGATAGTAGCCTGTTTCTATCAGTTGTAATCCCAATGGTGCTACGGATGTTGGCTTCAACCACGACAAATTCTTACCTCTTATCTGTGTTGGAATTATTGATACTTGCTTTGGTTTCCTAATCCGTACGATATGTGATTGGGACGTGTGAAATTCAGGGATTACAGGCTCTCGAGCATATCTCGAATGAACAGGCGGAAAAATAGCAGGGCCTATGTTTGTGACCTCAGAGGAATCTTCAACTGGAAAATGGATACCAGCAGGCGCATCATCTCCCAGTTGATTTCTTTCAAAGGATAAACTCGATGGTGCAAAAGCTGATAATAAGAGCAAGTTAAATCCAAAAACTGCTCCTTCAATCCCTTCTTCCAGTCCTTTATCAAAATCCGTGTACTCTTGACCTAAAACTAGATCTCCATCCTTTGGAATAACATGGCCTGCCATCTGTAAAATGCATCAACAACTTTCTAAGCTGAAGTATGTGAAGATTGCTATTAACTAGAGAATGGTTTAGCTCAATATTTCTAGTACATAGTATCTACTGAAGTCCATCATGATAAAGTAGATCTCTTCAACCGTTTTGAAATTTGTTGCTAGTAATTAATTCACTTCTAGCGGCAGATTAAAATTTAATTTTATCACGAATAAAACTAAATATTTTTCATCAAATATTTACCCAGAGTTTAATAGAGTCATGACCTCGAGCCAAATGTACTTTTCATAATAAATAACTTTGTAAAATATTATTAAAAGACTTAATATGATATTGTATTTATTCAAAGCTAGTCTTTTATCAATTATTAATTAAAACCAATCTTTAAATGTTTGATGCTTTTGTATCTGATTCTTTTTTAATTTTCAATATACCAACATTTTATTCCATCTCAAATTAAAGTCCAAATGCTCAATAAATAAAATTAGAATTTAAATAGCAATCCAGCATTTGGAAGTTTCAACGGCTATTCATACTCAAGGACTTAAATAAATATTTTAATCCAAATATTGTTGCATCCATATATATCTCTACAAATAACTCTAACTTCAACTGTACCTCTGGTGCGTATCCATCCAGAATTATTTGTCCATCAATCCACAATCCGTATCGTCCACTAGCACCATGCCAGCTCTGACAAATGTGGTACCATTGATGCTCTTGAATAAATGTGGGGTGATTAAATATGTTGGTACTATTGATCTCCAAATGAATGCTTCGACCCTGAGGTGCGATCCATGCTCTCACCAGTCGTTCTGTTTCATTCTCTGCAATAATTCAATTTCGATATTACTTTGAACTGTTCTCAATGTATTGGATATCACATTTTTTATCAATATGTGGGTCAGCGCACTGCTTTTCAAATACAATCACATAACCATTACGTAAAAGAAAGGTATTCGACCCGCTTAAGTTATATATATATTGATCAATGGCATCTTACACCACTGTGATACCGGTTTGGAGATAAATATTGAAATCCTTAATGTAATCAGGCCGGCCTTCTAGGAAGATCTTGAACTCTGTCTTTTTTGCATTTACCAGGAAATGAAAGGAACGGATAAAGGGTAAATCAAGCGGACGTTCGTTTCGAAATGATATGAAGGTTTATATTACCATTCTAAATAATTATATGACTGGGGAAAAAAAATTCATCAGAACATTTGTCATGTGAGATCTTGCAGTTGAATAAAAAATTAATTCGTGAAAGAAATATTTCTTATTATTGATCAAAGGCTGTAATAACAGATGACAAGTCAATCGGATAATGTCATTGATAATTTAAACAAAGAGATCTGAGAAACAAAGCTTGATAAACTAGATTTGGAAGATCAATCCTAGAATATCATGTTGATCACAATTCATGAGGTATGGTTCTCTTAACATTATTATAACTATTCCAAAGTTTGAATCAATAGTTAAATTTGTAAAAACAAACACTTTTACTCATTTCAATTAACAATCTAATGTACTATGATCCGATCTAACCCATTGCTTCCTTCAACAATGAAAGATATCTTTCAATCTGTTGAAGAAATAAAATTAAATAATTGCTAAAATTTCAGAATCCAATAGTGATTTGTGTAATAAAAATAAAGAAAGGTCTTAGGTCTTGTGAGCCTAAAATTTCAAGCAAACAAAAGCTCTAAGAATCAATGCAATCACCAAATTCACGTGATGCTCAAAATCTGACAGGTCTGTGACATTAACGAGGTGATGATATGATCTTTCAGACTGGTTTTATTACTTTCATGCAACAAGTAAGGATTTATGTAAGTATTTAAATCAGTCTGACTGAGTATTACCATTACTACTGGCATGCTATCAAAGTGCCAGGTAAGGTTCAAAAAAACGAAAGGCAAAAACAAGTATTTACGTTTGATATGATAGTTAAACGTGATTCGAGGTCCTAACAACTTTCCACTAGACGAACATGTGCCTTGCGATTAATCGCTCGTGGTCATGCAACTTGGTTTCATGGTTAATATTATTCTATATCACTCATTCTTCCAGTTTACTTACTCGAATAGGAAAATATCGAGTGTGGATACGTTAGATTCATAGACTTGACCCAGACACAAAATGTAAATTCGTTGATTTCCGGTACTGGTATCATCCATCTCAAGAACTGAAATAAATTTCATACTATTATATGAATGTAATTAAATTATTTTATTACTTCATTTCCAATAACTAATTGAGAGTAATATATTCACATCTATTTCTATGTGTCATTAATCATCAAAGTGTGAATTTAATTGCAAAATAAAATATTAACTAACTCAATAAAAATTATTTATGTATAACTAATATTATTTATGAATAAATTTTCTCTTTTATTTTCAATATTCATTTACTAATTTCTTAGTGATAAAAATTGTTTATCACTAAATCTCAATAATAAATAATTAATAAGAAAAATTTCCTTTTAAAAAATAATTAATTTCTGTTGTTAGATATTGTTTATCCAGTTTTCGTAATAAATTATTCATTACGAAGCTCTTTTTCTCTTTGTTTAAATAATAACTCATACAACAAACAATTAAATATGAGAAAAAGAAATTACCTGAATATAACCACGTTGTGTTAGTTCGACTTTATGTAAAGGTGTTTGGTTTTTCCGAGGTTCAAAAATTCCCGTTTCATTAACAGAATTAGTAAGAGATTGAATTCCGATGACTTGAACACCAATGGCAATCAATAACAAAGTTCGTGCAATCATCTTAGTAAGTACCAATCCAATTGGAAAGAAAAATATCAAACCCACTAATTGTTATTCTGTAATTCACGTGAAAATTCTACAACTTTCACGTCCACAAATGGATAATATTGTCGTATGTATGTATAAGTAGTAACACCGCCTGTCGTACTCGCTTGGAACACAAATCGATGTGAATAGATTGAACGTTCGGTTAGAGTTGAGACCAGATAAAATCTGAATCTGTGAGTTTGGAGAGGGAGGTTTCAAGTCCCACGGCACTTTTATAGTTGTATTAATTTTGCCGGAAGCATTGATCGTCACTGTAGGGATTGATCAGTGAGCAATTTATGTCTTTGCTCGATTCCCATTAACGGATCGTCCTCAGATCAATAGCTAAAACTCGTTTTCGCACCAGTCTAAAGATCCAACACTTTCACTATAAAGAAAGGAAAAAGTTAAATTGAGTCCTTCATCATTAAATAATTAATATTGAAAAATTCAAAAATCACTTCTTTGAAAATTAAAAAAAAATTTTAATAATTAAGTCTAGCTTGGACATTAAAAATATTACATGATTAATCGGCACATTAAACAGAATTTACGTTTACATTCCAATGTTATTAATATCAGTTATTAATTTTGATATCATTATAAATCAATATTTTAGATCTTGTAAAATACATCCTGCTTTATGACTTAATAAACATTCCCATTTTGATTATCAGAATGAGTACTAAAAAATATAAAACGAGTGAAAGTTTATTAGCGAGTTGAATAAAAATTTATTTCCGATAGCACAAAAAACGTAATTAATAATAATTGAAATAACCAAATTGTAATTCATAATGTTAATATAAAATTCACTTAAAAAATATGTCAAGTCTATAACCAAAATTAAGCAGCTATTTTATCTTGACTCGTATTTTATTTCTGCACTTCTAATTAATTTCAGTGTCTTAAAAAAAATTCATCAATCTTAACGAACGATTTTTCATCAAACTGTTAACAGAAACTATTCTTTCACTATTGGAAAATTCCATCACTTTCACTGTTTCAGATTAAACAAGTAGATTGATTAAATTTCGATCCATTTCTAGATTGAAGTTTTAAATAGTTAAAAAATCCATGAAGCATCTTAGAGTGGTTATAAAATGATTAATCAGAAAATAATAGACGAAAAGCTCGAAATAGAACAAGCCCTTAGTATTTTATCGATCAATTCTCTGGAGCTTGAACAGTGGCCTTCAAAGCTTGGAATATTCTCTTACCTCGTGGTGATAAATCTATGCTATGTACATGTATTCATCATCAGCACATATGTATTTTTTTTTTTAAACCAGAGCATCCTCTTCAGTTTCATCGATCCAACAAACACCGCCTACTTACACAGCACGCATGGCACGTTTCACTTTGCACATGCCTTTCTGTATTACGACGACGTGCGTCCACTTGCTCTGACGTTCCACTGACGATGTTAAGACGAATCGCAGTAGTCCTTGTTGTTCCATGCTCGTCCCGTGGGGATCCAACGTGTCTTTGATTTACGTAATAGAGTTTCTTTTGGTGCTGCTTCTGTTTACGTGTCCTTGAATTTTTATTTTAAAAGTTTTTACTGATTTAATCAATTACTTCTTCATACAACGACTGATAAAAATTTTACAAAAGAGAATTTTATTGGTAATTGATGAAATATTTGTGATTTATTGGTCATTAAAGACTTCAGTAATTTTTAAAAAATAAAAAAATTTTTAATTTTCGCTAATGATTTTTTTTCGCCCGAGGTTTTTGCATATCACAACCAGGAAATAAGTGCTTTTTGCAGTTCAAAGTGAATGAAATGATCTTTTATAAAATAATAATTTAAAAATGATCACAATTAAATAATTATTTAGCTTTGAAAATAATTTTAAAGAGATAAAAAATTTTCTTGCAACATAAAATGAGAAAATTGCAAAAAAAATGTCAATACAAATTAAAAGTTTTGATAAACGTGGCAATAAGTTTGGCGGTAAAAACGTAAAATAAGACAAATAGCCTTAGAATAATAGCCGGTAGTTAGTTTAATAATTTCAGCACATTTAAGCAAAGTATCTCTACATAAATCTTGTAGCCGTGTAATACCCGATGGCGATTAACAGTCACGTTTCACTTAGAAATCTAATATTTGACTAAAGGATGGTGTAAACAAGTGTGTTCGATTATTTGATATTGATGCAACTGAGTAATTTTACCCTTAAGCTTCATCACAATATCTAATGTTTCTAAAATATTGACACGTGTATTTGCAACTTTCTTGTGACAAGAGTATGGTATTAGTAGTTATAAACACTCGAAAAACAACCTCTTTTATAATAGAGCAAGTTAATATGCTTTGTCACGAGTTTGTGCAAGCACCGTGAATATATTCAAGCGCAAGACCTCAATTTAGAGCTGACAAAACCATTTGCTCGCTACTAATAATCATTCTTTGAAATAAATTCGTGACCTGAAAAAGATACAAAGAAGTAAAACACTTGAATTTTTTTAACTACTCTATAAAATGGACACTTATGATACTTATTCTCATGAGCAGATTAAAAATTGTCGGTATTTGTTAAGTAAGCAGGCATGAGAATGATACTGGGGTATTCTCATGCTTATAAATAGATGTTAAAGAAAGGATATATTGTTTAATGAAGGTGAAATTGTAATATATATTTCTTTATTTCTTTTACACTTTTTCCCGATCCCATTTCCAAAAGAACCAGGAATGCCTTTAGTTAGTGCTAATGATCACAGTCTGTTGGTTTTTTATCAAACACCGTAAAATATACACAATGTAGAAAAAACCAACATCGTTACGCTCCCAATATTCAAGAATTCTTGTTAGATTTCTTTTATGTAAAAAAAAAGTACGGTCATACATGTGACGAATATAAAAAAAATTATTCATAATATTAAAAAAATTGTTTTATTATTTTGAATATTTTTCTCATTTTTAAATTTATTCATTCATCATATTTTCTTCTTTTTTATGTAAAAACATTATTAAATCATTCTAAATAAATAATTGATTAAATAATTTCAATCTTACGTCCTAATTGCCTTCAATTTCTTAAGCCATCAATTATGTAATTTCTAACAATTTCTCTTATGAATTTATAACAGTGGAAACATGCAATTATGAAAAACGAAAAAATGGACACTATTGGCAATGCTGACTAAAACGAAGTGTTACTTAGCACACGAAATTTAAGAAGTTAATAATTATAATGATTAGTCTCTTATTATACAACAAAGAAAAGTTGTTATTATTTATTAAATACTTTATATTGTATATAATTTTTATTTTTAATTTGCAGACAGCTAAAAACTCTTCCTCTGCCGGGTATTACATGGGAGGCAGCAGCACTTTACCAAGAGGTGGACCTATCATGAGAGCTTATAGTCCTGCTGCTCCTGCTGTACTTGCGGGACCAAATGCAACTCCAGCTCCACCAAAAGCTCTGGGTACGCCAGGTAGTGTTCTTTCTTATAAACTTTACCCTTCAATGGTTTTTATATTAATAAAAATCAATAGACTATTTTTATCATTAAAATACTTGCTCAATGAAATTTCACAAATGGCTTTGATAAATATAATACATACCATCAACAACATAATATTACATTATTAGTAAAAAATATTGACTTCATTACCAAGCATGTTATCCTGACTTATCGTCACTACATAAAAATTATTCAAGCAGTTTAAAAGACATTTGCATGATATTTATAGGTACATTAATAGAAATTATGTTGCTTTTCTTCATTATTATGTTGATAAATCACTAAGTTATATCAATTTGGGAATAATTTTGGTCATAGCATGAATTGTATAACCACTAAAAGTAGATTTAATTCGTAACTTAAATTTAATTTCCCAATCGACGCGACAATCAGTCAAATGAAATGATTAAGAATAACAAATAAAACAATTGAACTAATTAGAGGTGATTGGTGGAGAACCAATTTAAGTCTAGAGGATGCTAAAATTATTTTAATATGATATTGGTTTATGTGTATATGGACATTTGTTAATTCTGTTATTGCTAGAATCGTCGGTGATTAAGTGGGTATACAAAGGTCCACTGAAATTTAATTATATTAATAATCAAAGCAATTCATATATTAAATTATTTCTAAAAGTAAAAAAGTCATATAAATGTGTATTTATACAGATTATATAATTAAACATGAGTATTTGTTGGAGCAGAAAATTTTTAACTTCATATACTTCAGTAAAAAAAAATTCATTTTGAGTGGAATAGGAAAAAAATATTAAATTAATTAAAACATTTTTAGTGATACTCATCATGAGATATATTCTTAATTCTTTTAACTGTGTTGCAACATTTCATATGACAATTCAATTATTTGTTAAAATTTTTTACTATTAAATTTAAAATATCGTTGTCATTTAATTTGTTACTACCAATTTTTTGAAACATAAAAAAATTTCATTCGAATATTCTAGCATCAATCATTTCGAGATTTGTGTCACTCTGTACGTGGATATATTTTCAACTTTAACATCAGTTTTTTTAGTCATATTTTTAGAGGAAAATTGAAACCATACAAAACTTAAATTAATAATAAATAATTATGAAGAAAATTGGAAAAAATCTCAACTAACTATTGAAAAAATATCATAAAAAGTGAATTTACTATTAATTTTTTCGCTATTTTATTATTTTTTAAACAACAGCAAAATTTCTGAAGAAAAGTGATAGTTTTATAAAACAAAAAAATCAATTAATCGATTCTGATCATAGAAAATAAAAGTTATATTGACAGCCTAGACCTATATTTTTACCTAGATTACACAGCTTTTTTTATTTTTACCTTCAGTAAAGCAACAATCCCAGCATTGTTCTAAATCGATCTCGCTTATGATAAAAATAAACAATAGATCTTCCACATGTTGTAATCAATCTAATCTCCTGGACACTTTGTATACCACTTGGCTAATAAAACACTAATAATTAACACAGAGGCGTAATTAAATTAAATTAGTTGATCTCCAATCATCAAGGAAATAACGAACGATATGTCTGTGTACAACAAACTACTAAAACTGCTTAAAAAGAGCGAATGAAATTTACACAACAGTCAAGTTAACAAGCTGATCAATAAAATATAATACTAATATCAATACGCAGACAATTAATTTGTGGAAGATTAATCTAACAAATGGCTAATCATAATAATGACATTTGGATGGCAAGTTGTAACAAAGCATTTGAAATAACAAGCGCAAGAGATAATGAATAGAGATAATGATTTAGTCCATGGTACATTGCTATTTGATTTGAATGGTTGGATAGGTGGTGGTGGGGTGGCTCCAGCCAAGCCGCTTCGGGGTTACCAGTGTGGTAAAAGTCCCCTTGGCAGTCTTGGGGGCTCGGCACGCTTCTCTAGAGACAGCTCGGTGTCCCTCTATAGTATACCAGGTCAGTGGAATACTTAAGTCAGGCCAACAGCTACAACAGACGCAATCTTGCCTGCATTTTTAAAATATGTCTCATCAGCCCTAGGCGTCTTCTTACAATTTGTCAATCCCTACTACACAAATAATTATCAATTCATAAAAAGAGTCTAAAAAAAGAAATTGAGACAGTAATTATGTTCGTTTAATAATAATAATCTTTCTTGAGGCTATTAAAAATATTGCAACAGGCTAATTATTGATAAAGTTCAATCGTTAACACCAACAAATTGGTCGCGTCGAGGCATTCTATGTAAATATCTGACCCACAGTAGATAGTTGCATACAAATTTTAAGTAAATGTAGCATATCACGGGTTCCTGTATTGCCCCTTGATTTTTCATTGAATCACCTCAGAAAAGATACATCTGTGCATGTGATCAAAATTTTCGTTCATTTGTATATCACACCACACGATGACAGTGGTGCTTCTTTCAGTTGTAGATTTGTTATTTAACCCTTATTTTGGCAAAATCAATTCCTACTCCTTTCCGTCAGTAAAATCACGATACAATTACTGTCAAACTTTTGTTGTAATTAAAAAGAGAAAACAGACACAATTGAGGATCCAGCAAAATACGTTCAAATTAACCAAGTTAAGGGTTAAATAAATTCAATATCATTGGCATATAAAATCTCACGAAAATTTATGTCTATCATTTCATAGTCAGATCAATGAAAAATCACAACAATTAAATTCACAAAGAATCATTCAAGATTCATTAAGTCAATTAATAGTCATCAATAAAGAATTTTTTACCTTGAAATAAAATAAATCCAATTATAGAATGAAATGTATTTTACGAGAAAAAATTTATATAAAAAATTGATTACTTTTCATTGTAAGTGAATCTCTAAAATAAAAAATAATGATAAATAATCCATACTAATTGACTTTAAGTAATTATTCTTAATAAATAATAATCAACTAAAAAATATGACAGATCGACTGCATGGAGAAAGCGGTTACATGAGCAGTCCAGAACGAGGTGGAGGTGTTGGAGCTAGCTCTGGAAGATATCCAGCTGGTCCTTACAGCACAGGAAGCAGCTATGAAGAACCATACTATTCTCAATATTCAGGCACGGTTACACCTGTTATTGATGAAGAAGCCAGGTAAAATTTATAAAAAAAATTTTTTTTCACAGTATTTAGACACAAAATGATGCATCAATAATCTTTCACCAGATTGCTTGGCAAATAAATTGTATAGTTTTTTTTTTATTTTATGAATAATAAAGTAAAACCAGAAAAGCCATTATCAGAATGAAAGCTGTATGATGTTTTGCTAATCTAACGTAAAGTTTGATTGTGACAAATTGATAGTAGACATAAAAAAATTGCATTAAATGCAATAATTTATTATAAGCCCACTTAGCTGACAGTTTGGATGTGTATTTGTTTCGGATGATGCAGCGATACTGAATTATTGGAAGAAACTTATGGTCTATATGGCGGTGTAAAGCCACCAGGTCGTCCTCCATCAGGTCCTCCAAGATCTCCATTTCCTCCAGGAACTCCTGCTCTACCTCCCGGGCAGGCATACGACGTTACTCGGTACCAATAACTAACAACATATCATTCATAAGAATTATTTGTTTAATAGTTTGAAATAGTGGGAATATAGTACAGCGGTGCCTTGTGATGTCTTTGCTCCAAAACGTCCCAGCTTGATGCCACTACTTGGAGTTATATTTGCTTTAGTTGTCTTCGATAACGTAATATTTTATGCGGGTTCCGGACAATTAACCTAAAAACACATAGTCTAACCACGAATATAAGCTTATATTAAATCTGGATTTAATTTCTTAATGCTGATTACATAAAAGATGCTTTTTAATTCAGAACATTTAAACTGATAATATTTATTTTTCATGAATTTATTGATTCATAATGATTATATGATTTAGGATTAACTGTCCAGATACCATGTATGTGATTGAAAAAATAGATAACTTGGGAAAATGCTTGTATAAATGTCAACAAGCATGATAGATTTATTAGCACGCACTCTTAGGTGATAATGTCAAGTAATGTTCGAAATGTCAGTTATAAGTTTGAATATGTATATGCTCGTAATTTCCTTATGATAAGGATTGTAATATTACCCGTGGTATAGATATATAATAAATAGTATACGATTTATTGGAGCGAAGCAAAAGTAGCTTCGTATAATGACCATAAACTAATTAAACAATTTTCTGCTTACTCTATGGATTTTTAACTATGAGAAAACACTTTTCAGCACCTTTTTCATAAATATACTAATGAAAATAATAAGAAAAACATAATTACAATAATTATAAGGATCTAATGAAACGCTTTCTTATTGTTAAAAAATCCATAATTAGGAACATAAAATCGTGGAATTAACTTCATGGAAATGTAAAAAAAACCTTATTAATTATCAACAACCATCAACTAAACACTGTCATTATTTCTTAATTTATTTTAATAAGAATTAATTATTTTTAAAAATCTAAACCAAACATTAAAATCTCCTTCAACTTTTAATAATACTTGTATTAAAATTTCAATTTATGAACATTTTTGGTTTAGATTAAATTAGTTCGGATGATAATTAGTAGTTTTATCCAAGCATAACTATTCAATACTTAGTTTGTGCAAATAATTAAACAACAACAAAATCTTCTGAAAGAATATAATAATTAAAATGAAATTTATATGGTTTAAATTAACAGATATAGAATGTAGCATGTTCTTCATATAAACCTATATACATTATGGCAAGCACGTTATTTATCCAAGTGCTGGCATATGTGGTAGAAAATTACCTTTGAAATCTGCATAACTTATTCGTAACAAAAGCTTGCAGAATTAGTGAATAGAGAATGTTATTTGTATTCTAAAACTGCAGATGATTGAAAATCGCATATTATCATGTATATCTGTATCAACATGTTTAAGCAGCTTTATGTTATAGTCTAATGTCTATTGTTACAAATAGCTAAATTAATCAATACTCGAGTATCAATTACTTGATAAATAATAAATAAAGCAATTATTGACTTGGATAATAATGAAAAAACGTTTAATTCAATAGGATAAGGGTGGAACACATGGAAAGACAACTTGCTAATTTAACTGGGCTCGTACAACAGGCTCTAACACATGCCCCACACACCAGTCCTTCTCCTCGTGACTATTTACAAGTCCCTGCAGGACGTGATCCGTATACCAGAAGTGCAGGTATACCCAACTATATTTATTTTATTTTATTTCAATATTAGAAATAGAAACTTTGTCAATCGTTAAAAAAAAAATACAATGGAGCCTAAAAAATAACATGTTGCAATGCTTATTTATAACAATCATGAACAATGTTAACAAGCAGTAAACAAACATTTATGTCACACGCTGTGACGCATCATCGTAGTGCACGCAACTGCAATGAAGTGTGAGGAATTTTAGATCAATTTTGTTTTTTACATAATTTATACATTAATATATTAGAAATTGTATTGATGTAAAAAATGCGACTGTTTCGAGAGCTAGAAGTTAATTTTCAAAAGTTCACAAGCCACAGGCTAAGTAATTGTATGGCATATTCATGTTATCAACTCTTTCAACATTAATCACACCTTTTTTTTGATTTATTTAATTGTTTTAACACAATTAAAAAAATAATTAAAATGAATTAATTCTTTGATGTATTGTAGAGATATAGAATTAAATGAATCCAGTAAATTGCATACTAAATACTTTTATGAAAGTAATAAATAATTCTTTAAATTGTTTAAAGTTCAACAAAATAAATTCCAAGCTAATGTTTACCGCAATAAATAGTTGCTATGAAAGGGTTGAAAAAAAGTAATTGAAAAAAAGCAATACAATTACTGAGCTTCTAGCTAATAAAATTCCTGAACCCTGCTGTACAACTGCTTCGTTATTTCGACTACTAATGCACACCAGGCGCCGGGGATGAGTTCGACAAACATTCTAGCTCCAGCTCTGCCTCACTGCCAGGTGTGTCTCCCATCTCTATCTCTAATTTATTTTAAAAAAATGTTTTCCACTAATTGCTTTAGTCGATAATAAATATAACTTTAGTAAACACACAATCACGCATCATAAATATCTGTCACCTACCGTTACAGATGACTCGTACTTAAGGACTGACGTAAAACCTCCAAAATTAGGCAAAGGTGCGATTTTTATCAATTATCGATTTGTTTATTGATATTTTATTTGTTCATAAGCACTGTTATTGCATATTATTTTTATTTCTGTTGTGTATTACTTGAAAGTGGTTTAACCACAATTTCAATATTATTTGAATGCTTATTCTTGACATACTCATTTAATTATGTTAGCATATTCATTCTAAAGCCGCACAATGTGGTTTTGAAAATAGCACGATGCTTTCTCTATATGTATATAAGTAGAAAAATATTAAATTTGTTATTACAAAAATTGATATTAATTGTTAAGAAAGTGAGAATATATTCAAGCCTTTTATTTGTTACCTTTTTTACATTTTTTCCAACAATAACGTTTTTCAGTTTGAATTTTATTTGCACTCCAGTTTTATATAACTATTATAATAATTATGATACTTTTACTGTAATGATCAATTACTATAATAATTATTTTACAATTATTAATATTTTTTATTATCTTTTTATAATTATTTTTATTGTCATTATTATTACTACCATTATTATTATGTATGTCAAACTTTAATTGTCAATGTATTTCAACCAACAACAATACGTGTTACAGACAAATCAGTTTCATTTGAAAAATCAGTATCCTTCAGTGATGAACCACCTGACATGAATTCACCAAAGCAACATTCTCCTCAACATACAGGTAAATAATGTGTCAGGATGTTAACATTTCCAATATTCTACCTTTATTAATTACATCAAATAACAATATTTATGTAAATATTTTTACCAAAAATAACCAATTAACCTGCATTTATACTATTAACAATTATTAAACTCACTTATGAGTCACTTTAGAGCTTTATTAAAATACTAAACTCAGAAAATTGAGAGATTATATTTTTGAGCAATTTTACATAACTCATAAGTGGATATTGAACTTATTTCCAATAAATTTTCAAATATTTACTACTATGATCAAAAAGGAACTATGAAAAAACTTCAAAAAAACGAATGTAGTGCTTTTATGCTGATCTTGGAATAAATGTTTCCAAAACCCATTTTACATATTTTTCCATATCTTTTGCTATGAGAAAATTATGAATATATGAATAACCTTCCAAAATGCTTGATATCCTGCAACAACTTTATTCTAACAATTTCTCATGTAATTTTGCGAATGCTACCATAAGCGGATACAAAACCTACGAAACCAGCTATAAAATCATCTACTTTGCCTCGGATGTCATCACAAGGTAAAGAAAGTTCTTCTGTTCTTATTAAAAAATATACTTCTAAAATTGATATTACAATATTATTCAAAATTACATTCAGTTACTTATTTGAATACAATACTCAAGATCAATATTTTTTGCAGAAAGAGATAGACACAAACCTACTCCACCACCTAAGCCAGTGAGTCTCGCATCAGCCGGCCCATACGTTTATAGAGACCTAGCACTCACTCCGGAGATGTATAATCAGTTAAGAGGCCTACAAAAGAAAGCTAAAGATCTACGTCAGGAAGTTCGGCATCTACGACGCATGTCTCAAACTCAAGCTCACACAGTTCGAGAAACAATCAGAGATACTTTCATTACCATCAGGTAAAGTCAAGTTCTACTTATTGATTAACAAAAATAATATTATTCTTTTATTCTGGAATACTTTATCCATGAGACAATCAAAATATTTCAAGCGAAAGGGCTACCTACATTTTGCAATTAGTTTCAGTACAATGCTTATTAGTATTCATACTTTCTCTGTTAAATTGTACATGAGTTGAAGCTGAATTTATTATATTGTTTAAAACAATACATGTTTATAACAAAGAATCATGATAACAATGATTATTTATGAAAATTTTTGTTGTTTCATAATAAATGTTAATTCTCGTCGATAATGAAAATTTATTAATTTCTACATAAAAATAACTATTGATATGTTTATAATAATTATTTAGAAGAGTTAAAAAAGTAATCTATTTTTGCAGAGCAATGCTCTTGTCTGGTGCAGACGGAGTCTGGGCGGCTGGAGATTCAGAAAAAATTCGACTGAGTCGCGAAGAGGACCTCTACAAGCAAGAGATGATTAGGCTGGAAAAAGATCTTACGTAAGCTCTAATTATGTCTGAGTATTTCATACTATAGAATATTTTTCTAACCTACTCAGTACATTGTTTTTAATCCACGACTAATTTTACAGCGAGCTGGAAAGCACGGTGGAGGAACTGCGAGGGAACGTTATAAACAGAAAGACACGTGTCAATATGAGCGACGTTGAAAATATGGCTTTAATATTGAGTAAATCTAGGTATGATACTTTTATGTCTACCATTATCAAGAGAAATGTTTCGTATTTACTGCTTCAAATTGTCGTTACATCGTTGATATGCAATTTCTAGTAAAACTGTAGCAGATCTAAAGGTACGATTTCCAAGCCTGCAAGAAAGTATGAAGGGGTTATTAAGTTCAGAAATGGAGAAGGTAGCACGTGAAGAAAAATTCCTCAAGGAAGAACCAGATCGACTTGAATCTGCTTTGAGACGTTGTAAAAAGTTAACTGGCACCCTTGTTACGCTCAAACGGTATAGCTAAATTTAACAGCCATTTAGACTAGATGCTCTAGTAATTGACTTAAAAAATCCGGTTAACATTGAAAATGATCTTGGAACTAGAATATTTCCATTTTAATGATGATATTTTTTTAATCTTTAGGATGAAAATATAAGTTCAATGTCATGAAGAAAGAAATTGATTTAATTTTTAAATAAAATTTATTATCAACTACTGGAGTATCTATCCTATCAAGGAAAAATCTGAAATTGAATTTATGTCCACTTTAACTATCATCAAATATAGCAATTGATAACTGTTTGTTTTTTGAGCAGTTTGGCATCGGTGCAAGAGCAGCGATTACCAAATGCAGTGAGTTTAGATTCAGAAGAAACACCACCAATAACTCCAACATCTGCACAGCATTCCAAGGTAATGAAAAACTATGCATTGCTTTCTTTGTTCATTTTCAATCCTGCTATTGGTACTATCCTTTCCCCGTGGGCTAATGATTCTATTGCATGTCCATGAATCCTATCTCCAATCACTTGTTTGAATTACATCAATATTATTAACATCAATGCTGCTATAAATAATCTCTATTATTGATCACTAGTAATGAATTATCACAATAAATGTCAAAAGCAATCTATTTATATGGCTTTCATCTTTATCAGAAGTGTTAATAAATACTTTACAAATAGACAACATGTATTTATTCATCAAGAGATTGTTATATTTGAAAAGCCAAGTAATTCAAACATAAAAGGAGTTTCTGTTTCCAGTTCACTTCACAATTGAACTATAATGTAATAGAACGATTCATGAAAAAATTTCTAATGACGGTTTTATGACAAAAAATACATTTTGTGAAGTGTTCTGACAACTGCTTGTCCTTAATTCTTTATCCAAAAGATGCTAAGCGCATGCAACAAGTGCTATAGAAATATCTATAAAATCAGCTTCTATAATATTATATTTATTATATAATTATCATCTCAATATACACTTTCACATCAAGAAATATTTATAAATATATTTACATTTTTTAATAAAATTATGTAAAATTATCCAAATATTTCGCATGAGCGAACACGCCAGACTTTTACGTATATTTAGATCTGGTAAAAGTTTAACAAAATAATCATTAATTAACCAAATAATTTTAACTTGGAATTTTGATAACCTACCTTTAAACTCGTGTTAAATTAAATCAACCATCGTAAATTATAAAATAAATTTTAATTAATTTGTTTGCACTATTTTATTGAATAATAATTGAATTAAAACCAGATCTAAATGAAAATATTACCCGCACATTCCCCAGATGATAATAAAGGTGAATCGTTCTTTTTTTTTTTGTACAATTAATTACAATTTTGAGCAGAGAAGATGGTGAAAATTTAGTCATGTGGCCGTCAGATTGATAATTTCGAAAAATTTTTGACAAGTAGAATTGAAAAGATGAAATATTGTAAAAGAAAACAAATGTGTATGAGGTAAAATAACATTATCATTTATTGAAAATTCTAGGCAACAAATTGGTGTCATTCTGGCGCGCAATCAATGGATATTAGACAGATAATTATGATTAATTAACAAAATATTAATTAGCCAAATTTGTCCGCAGGCTTATGGTTCACCGTAGCCAATCAATTTTCTACTAGTGCCTTAAAATTATTCTATATTCGTATTTAGAAGTTTGATTTGGATTTAAAAAAATTTAATATAAATACGAAATCTGATGTAAACCTTCTTTAGCAATAGATTAACGCCGTAATTAATTTTTTTTTTTAATTTGTCTGCTGATGCCAAGTAAATATTAAATACTCATTATACCAATGCTGGGCAATTTTTGTATTTTACACGATACTATACTAGGAATTTAGATTTAGTTACCACAAAAACCTTAGTAGAGTTAGCTATGCTTTGCTCGCAATTTTTTTTCACCTCGCGAAGAATTTTTTTTTAAAAACGTATATTTTTTAACTTCTAAATTTTTAATTAATTTTTTTTCGATTTTCTGATCATAAATACTGCAATTACCAGCTAAGATAAAGACACTTATTTTAGCAATTTGTATAGAGCTTTTAAATATAGACAAACGGTAATTGGCAAATTTAGAATAATTTTCATTTTTATTCTTCAATCAAAGATAAAGCTTTACATTTTTTATGCATTTTTTTATTTATTATTATCCAAGTCCCAGCACTTATGTTTAGGGATAATTGATTTATTTCACAACAATTTAAGATGTCAATGGCAGTTTTATTCCTGCAACTTCCATATTTATAAACCCCGATGCCCTATAAAAACCTTTCACCAACTTAATGTTTGTTGTATCCTGATAGAATAGTAATTAAAATCTAGCCCACGATCTGACAAAACATTTTACTTATCCTCACCACCAGTAATATTTATAGTTTTTAATTATTATTAGTATAACTAAAATACCCTTAAGCCACAACTAATTAATATTTTATTCTCAACATAACTTTTTATTCAATTAATAATTATTTATATTCTACTCTTTATTTAAACTCATTCAATCAATATTTTATATATTCAATCTTAAATTTAAAAATAAGTCCAATATTGCACAGAATGTTTTGTCAAATCTTTATTATGTGTTAGTTGTAATTTACGAAAAAAATATGTGTCGTGTCTTTTAATACATTTGCTGTAGCAACATTGATTGTTTATTGAATAAATCACTGTTGCCACTGGCTATTTTCCTTAGAGAGGAGTGATAATTAAAAACAATATTCTAAATAGAATAAATGGATTGTTAATAATAGAAAATAATAAATATAAGTCATAAAAAAAAACTCGGTGTGAAGAATAAGCTAAAAATAAATTGAAATATGATTTTAAAAAATGAAGAAAGTGGAGAGAATATGATCAGTGAATATGATGTTAATTTTTATAGTATGGCTGGAAGTGGAGTACTAATTTCAAGGAGGCCATACAGACCAGTCACGAGTAACTTTTTCTCATATTAATTCATTATAATAATTATTATTCTATACTGTTTTACATATATTTCTTAATATTCTCGTTTAATATTTTAACATCATCGATTATCATTTTAATCACCCTCATTCATAGGACTCAAATTATTCTGCAAAATAGTTGAGATAAAAATCAATCAAAGTCACGCTTTTAATAAAACGAATGAATATTTATCAATGAATAATGGATTTAGCAGAATAATGTGAGAATGTTCATCAATAAAGATTGCTATTTTACACGTGTTATAGACGTTACGACATATATATCTATATATATATTACAACTTTCCATTTTTCATTCGTGCTTGTGTCTCAGATTTATTTCATTTAATATATTTCTCAAATTATTCTTCGATTTTTGCGAATTATGTATACGCACTGCTATTGAAAAAATTCTTTCTTGTGTTTATGACACATTTAACAGCGTTCAATGTTGTCCTATCAAATTCCCAATTTAAATCTGTCAATTATTTTCAACTTTTATGCAGGAAAAATTAGTTATGTTTTATTGCAATGATTTTCATAGTCAGAACACTTCATTATTTTGTGAATAAATATAATATTAATCAAATAATTTTTGGAAAAAAAAAATGAAATAATCATTTAATAAAGTTAAATATTTTTTTATCAATTTTTATATTGAATTAAATATTTTCAGTGTTTTTGAACGTTTTAAAAATATATATTTATAAAAAAAGACAACACTAACGCTGAATTTTTTATAAGTTTTACTAGCGTGTTTTTAGGAATAAGGCATATGATAAAATTTCCAATTTTGCCGTGCAACATGTCGTATCTTGCCTCTGAAAATTCTATCGCTACTGCATTTTTTTTTCTTTTCAAATCGATCTTCTCGGCCTATTGCAAAATTCCTATTCTAATTCTTTATAAACTCGATTATAAAAGCTCTTTAAAATTTATTTTGCTAATTTACTGCCAATCTTATAATTATAAATCTTCATATAATTTACGCAAGTAATATAAATAATAAAAAGTAAAAAAAAATAGAATGAAAATAAAAGTATTTGTATATAACTAAAATACTCTTTCGATAGCAGAGTATTAATAAATAAAATAGCGTGATAATAATTCAGATTATTCTGCAATTCAATAAAAGAAAACACGCTCCAATCCACTTCTTATAGTAAGGTAGTACTAATATTTAAGGTTTACATTAGATTTCCTACAAAAATATAGCACACTTTATCTTCAATAAAAAAAACAATCACGTGGTTATCGAATGCGATCAAATCTGTCAAGCCAAAAACTACAATCTCCTCCTTCTCTTCTCATCTATTTCAACTGCCCACACTCTTGTTGATCAATTGGCACTGCTATCTACACATAAAAAATTTCTTTAAAAAAATTATTCTAACAATTAACCGTAAATATGGGTGACAAAAGAAGTATTATCGTTTTTTATTTCCAAATAATTTTATTACAAGAAATAACAAAAAAAAAACGACGACATTTCTTTTCGCTACACCCTTTTTAAATAAAAAATCTAATTATATTTATCATTAAAAATAAAGCTGTAGAGTAATAGTGTAAATTATTGTGATTAATTACCAATGTAATTGATCTTAAGTTTATTTTAATTTTAATTTAAGACGTATAATTTGAATAATTTTGCTTTTTATGGCTTGGTTTATCATAAAATGTGTCTAACTTAGTACTTTGTGATTATCGTTCACTTATTTTCACAGTATTATTTGTAATAACCTTTTTGTTTATTTTATGTTTTACCATTAAAAGAGAGTTTGAGTTATTTTATTAAACCAATTGTCAGATACTTTTATTTTCATCGAATATTATACACTTTTTTTCTCTCTAATTCCATTACTACTGCCTTACTATAAGGATTGGACTGAAGGTTTTGTCTATGTATTTTTTTTTTTCATTCGCCAATTTCGTTTATACTTTATTCATGACTTAGACGACTTTTCAGCATGATGTATAATAGCACGATGCATGAACGTGAATTTTATTCACCATCGGTAAATAAATAGATGCACTATTAATTTGTTTTTTATTGTCTTGTAGAAATGACGAGGAATTTTCTGTAAAATAATTTATGATAAATATCTATGAATTATAATTATAATTGAAATTTGAAAATTTATTTTTTCTATTTATTATAATATAGATGATACTGATGAATATTCGATTTCATAGGTATTTGAATGATTTATTTTTTCTTGACAAGATAACTAAACGACGAATGATTTAACAAATTTATTGAAATAATTAAATAATAGAAATGAAAGCTCACCGAAAAAGAACGGACTATTTCCTATAATTTCTTTTGAATTTTTGTTTTTGTTTGCTTTTTAAGTTGACTAATATTGGACAGCAATCGGTGTCTACTGTAAAAGAGCCCCAAATGAGTACTGACTTGTAACACCCACACCACACAAATAAACATTATTGACCACAGGTAACTATCTAACCGAATTGGTATTTATTTCGTTAATTATTTAGTTTCTTTATTAATAATTGGTTAACATCGTTAATAACACACCTCGTCTATTCATTTTTATATCATATTTTCGCATGCACGTTTTTGCACATCTTCATATGCATGAGTTAGTCATACTGATTCATATCGTACATGAAAGTATTTCAAGTAAATAATCAATCAATTTAATAAGTGTTCTCCTCAGTAAATAATACAAAGCTTTATAAAAATACATTTAAAAATTATATTTTTTCATGTACGTGATTACGTCTATAATTTATACACGAGAGAAATATCTTATCAGCCTTCTTATTTTTAAACTGATAGATTTATTGCTGGAAAATTTTTTTATAGAAATTTGCACTTAAATGAAGAAGGCTTTAAGATGTGAACTAATAAAAATTTAAATGCACATAAAAATCCAACTAAAAATTATTTTTATTTATAAGACAAATATTAAAATATTTATTTGTTGATACAAAACAGACAACTGCCCCTGTGCCAACGGAACGCACTGTCGTGGGGTCAACGAGCGTCATCGGGGGAGGGACCAACCCTAGTGAATCATCCACCCCCCATCAGCAGCGTCCGGAGAACGCACTCGACGCTCTGTTAGACGAATTGCAGACCTTTTCAAGACCATCATCTCAACTGAGTCAAGTGTCAAATACCAGTCAAACATTAATAAATCATATACCGACAATGGTAGAACTCGGAAGATCTGCGAGTCAAATAGTACAATCTACTCATAGTAGAGCGCCAAATATATCAGATATAGGAAGAAAAGGGAGCATCGATTCATCAAGCAGTTTAGCAATCATCCCCCCTGGGTCTAGTAACACACTGAGAAGATTACACTCGTACCCTTCAAGTTCAGACACTGATACATCACCACCAATAGCAAGGATTCAAGTATCTGATGGTACAATACCACCACAGAAACCACCTGTTCCTGAGAGAAATGCAGAATTACTACAACTCGCAACAGCTAGAAGAGTACCACCGCCACCACCACCACGAACTAGTTCTAGATCACCTTTAGCAAGTCCTACGAGTCCTCAATTACCACCTAGAAATCCTACGGGAACTTTGAGACGAGGTCGTCCCGTTAAAGATATTGGTAAACCTCCAATGGCTCTTCCACCGAATGCTGAAGAAGCTCAAAAGCAAGTTTCAACAAACAATATGCTCTCCACTTCTAATTCTAGCTCTTGTGAAAGTATCAACTCTCAAGAAGGTCTTCAAAATAAAAAAGAACGCCAAGAACAACTTGAACAACGCCATCAAGAACTTTTACGTAAGCAGAAAGCTCTTCAAGAACAATACGCAAGATTACAGCAGCTTCAGAGAAACACTTCGGGTTTGACGACCATTCCTCCAGCTCCTCCAGATCTACTGAAAAAAACTGGCTCTGAAAGTAATCTGCTTGCTAAAATGGGTCTTGGTATGAGTGCTGCTACTTCTGGCTCTTTAACAAGCCTTGCCATTACTAAGAGTAATTCTAATGATCAATCATCATTAGTAGCATCAACAGCACCAACAACAACTGTTGAAAGTCAATCACAAAATGCCGTCATGCCAGCTACAGGGAACCAAACAACCACAAATAAGATTTATGAAACTGATATTCTGTGACCGAGAACTGAAGTATGTTGGCTTAATGAAAGTTATAATATCATACAAAAATTGCTGACATTTTTAGCGGTCAGTTAACAATGTTATTATTGTCTAATTATCGATCGTCAACATTTTAAATATCCGCGTCCATCAAAGATAATTATTGACACAAAGATTGAATAATAAAATTTACTCGACAAAAATAATAAGAGACGGCTTAAAGGCAAAGTTAATTTTTAGAGTAATCTTTTATCAAGTTAGACTTAAAGAAAATTTTAATCCTTTGTTGAAGCACAAGAATTGCGGATATTATTGAGTTTTATTTAAGGGTATACGTGTCTAATTAAATATCACATATGTAACCCTTTTAGATTACAAATTGAAACAAAAAATTATATTGTCGTTGATATCTTTACTTAAGAAGAGAAAATTTGTTTTGTTATAATGTAAATTTATAACAAAGTAAAACGTGATTATTTAGAGATTTTCTAATGATATATACATATTCATACGCATAATTGATTTAATAATAAACAATTTAGAAAAATACAAATAAGTAAATAAATGAAGGTATAAAAGTCATATAAATAATTCTTAATTCACAAAACGAGTGTGAAATGGATTAATCGAATGTTGCGACAATTATACCGACACACTTTAAAAATTAAATTAATTTAACGTATAAATAATGACTATTATAATAAAAAAGTAATTATTATGATGATTATTATTATAATTATTATTATTATTATTGAACGATCATGTTTATTAGAGAAACGAATAATTTAGAAATTGAATAAATGTAATATTTAAAAATAATATAATTAATTGTAACTTAATGACGAATTTAATGAGATAAGGTATTTAAACTGCTCGGTTTTGGCTGTCACATTATTAGATGTATGTCACTGCAGAGTACATAATGCTGTCCGAAACTTATGTAATTTTTTGTTAATAAAAATTACAGTAAGTAATAGGTGTAATGCGTTTGCAACCGAACAAAATGCTGCCGGATTTGTTGGAGTGTAATAAAAACCGTATTTTATTAATGCGGTTACTAAGAGTTATAATTAAAATAATTTAAATGATTATTAATAATAATAATATTCTTATTATTATTAATGATAATAGTCATCATCATGAGAATTTCAAATTATCATAATATGTGGTATCATCGTTAAAAAATAAATCACTCGTCATAATTCATCAAACAAAAAATTGCTTGAATTTAACGGTACACTATGAACGTGATTCATTTGTGTGTAATCGAAAAATTCATTAAGTAACTCCAGTATTAATTAAAAAATAATAAAATAAAAATGAATTTAAATTCTACTTCTTACGTAAATGTTTTTCAAACAGACTTATAGATAAATAATTCTGTGACAATTATAAATAATGAATAAGTACTAAATATATAAGGAATATTAACTGTTCTCATATGAAATCAGTGACTTCATACAGTTTAATGTTTTTTCAAAGAGAAAATAATCTGAATACTGAAGAAGGATCAACTTGTGGAATATGGTAAAACTTTATGGCTTACAATTTACTATTGCCTATTCAGTTTACGATGACAAAAATCAATACGGAAAAAAATAATGCAGGATCAACCATTAAAGTTACATAAGAGTGCCAAGTAATGAATATTTTTTTTTCAAAAATCTTTCATCAATCACCGCTTATCAGTCTACTTAAACGAACAGTAATTTTTTTTACGTCAATAAAAACTTAGTATACTATGGAATATTTAGATAATATGATATATAAATATATAAATAAATATGTACACATAAACAATAACGACGTAAATGAAAAATTATTGAATACTCAATGTATTACTACTTATCACAATTGCGACTGAATGCTATTTCCTGTTAAATTTTGTTTTGTTAGAGCATCTTTGTGCATATGATGATGATAACATCAAGTAGATCCATTTGTAAATCGATGATTTATATTACTACTTTTGGCCCCTAAATTTTTCTCAAATGCTAATTCAAAACGAAAAAAACAGTAACTAGAGTTCACAGAAATATGATTACTAGATGTGCCAATGTCCTGCAATATTAAATATATTGAAACTTTTCTTTCAACTTGATGAGAAATATAAATATTCAAATTTCGCAAAATGGTAAAAAGATTTTTTTAGATTTTTATGTCAATTTATCTTGAACAGGGAACAATAATTTGTATATCAGAAAATTATTTACAATTTATAATACTGTGCATATCTTTTACTTGGACTTTTTGTGGAAAATTTTCAATCAAATACAATTTTCCCAATCCTATTGAAAACGTCTTATAAACTCCAATAAATACGAAAAAAAATATTGAGAGCCAATAAATTACAGGAAAAAAAGTATAAGAGTAGAAAATTGGATGAATTTAGTATTCGAATCTATAAGAAATTTTCTATGGGAAATTTTAAATCAAAGTCAGTTTCAGTGGTACCCGAGAAATTGCTCAACAGTTCTACTCATTGCAGTATTATGCACAATATGATGGAAAAATGAATATCTAGAACAAGAAAATATCATTTAAAATAAAAATTAAAAAAAAAAGCACTAAAACCTCCTTTATATTCTTCAATCTCATAGTAGTCATCCTGAATAATGTCAAAAATGTAGATCATAGCCATAACGACTACAATTCATCATTGTAGATATATAAAATATGTACACATAAGTCACGTAATTTATGTAAAATGACAGCATTGAATGTTAAGTTTGAAAAGGAAAATGAAGGATAGTAGACATTTTATACAGTAAATTAATTAAAATTATTGGCAATTTTTTTTTATTATTTTTAAAAGACAATTAAAAAAGGGACAACCGTTGTATTAAAGTAGACTTGATAAAAATCACATTTTCTACAATTCCTTTTTTACCCATGCTATGACGAAACTACGTAACGAAAATAAAGAATAAGAAATCATATAAAATATAGATGTAAAAAAAAATTAATTCATACATAATTGGTCCGACACATTTATTTAAATGGCCTAAATATAGTTAACATGAATTGCACATTTTCTGTTAGCCTGTTCGGTGAATAAAAGTAAAATGCATATTATAAACGCACGTTATGCTGACAAAGTAACAGAATTATGAATGCTTATTGATATCTCATTAATACGTCGTTATAAATTTGACGCAACGGCTATTACAGTTGATATTTCATAGTTGTCGTTATTATTTTAATGATTTTAATTATTATTATTATTAATAAATATATCTTATATTATTATAGTTATTAAATTTGTAAAAAATCATTTTTATGCATGGTTATTCGCCTTGCAATAGCGAATTATTTATTTAGACTTTATCATAAATTGTGCGATATCTTATTAAATTTAAAATCTGTTCTTAAACTGTCAGATGCCTGTAATTTTTGCATTTATTTAATTAAAATTAAAGAGAGCATAATATTTATGCAGCAACTAAATCTCATGTGTTAACCATTTTATTATTATACATGAATGTAATGTTTTTCGACAGTCATGTACGCCAAATTGAATTGAATTGTTACATTTGTAAATGTTTGTAAGTAATATATAATAAAATAATCAAGTATTAACTAATGAAGTAATCAACAACCTTAAGAACAACGAATAAAGCACAACATTCAAATGTAAATTTTATCTCAATTATTAATATATTTTTTAATACAAAAATCTACTAAATTTAGAACAATACATTCTTCAGAATTTTAAAATTGTTATTACTTGATATTTTAACAACTTTCATTTGACATATAAAATAATCGAAGTTAGGATCATACGAAAGAAACCATTGATATTTAATTTAATTTTTTTTATTAATATTATTTTATTACAATTTGGATAATTTATTTTAAACCATGGGCTGCTCTTATCCCTGCTTCAACCTCTTTTCGTGCTTTGTCAAATTCTTTATATGCATTTATTGCTGCTCTCAATTTACCTTCATTAGTTGAATCTAACTCTACGTACTTTTCAATCAATTGAATATGATTATCATTGCATTGAACTTGTGCTGACTTTGCGGATGGATGAATTTTGTGATATAGTTTAATCAATAGCGCAGCATCTTCGATTATATCATTTTTGATATTGTGTAATAATAAATTTTCAATATTTTTTCTCCAAACTAAATGAAATACCATAGGGCCGTAATGCCTCGTAGAGATTAGTTTTTTAAAGTGACTCGCTTCGTTTATATGATCGTATACAGTTTTTGTGACTCGTTGATAATCCGGATCATCTGGATCAAACTGTACACATGCTCGGTCCAAAATAAATTCGTATTCTTCTCTTTTTAATAAATCCTATATTGTGTAGATGATAAGCAATCAGCAAATTATTCATAGCAATTATTGTATTTACAGAAAAAAAGTTCACTTACCTGAAGATGTTCACCAAAAAACATTTTTGGTACATAGTATTCTCTTCCTTCGAGCGGAAAATAAATTTGATTCATTCGAAATCTTTCATCCCAATTTGCTTGCCTTAAAATACCATTAGAATCTCTTACAACAATTATTCGATTTACATTACTGACGTTATAAGTAATGTCAGTAAAAACATATTTGCACGTATCATATCCTTGAATTTCTGGGTCCTTAGAGATAATCGTAGTGATTGGTTCTCTTTCTTTTACTACTGGTGGCATTTGCAATTTTTTATCAGCTCTTTCCTCGGCATCTTTCATTACTGCTTGAAGCTCTTTATCAGTCATGAATTGATATTCAGGATCCGCAATAGGTTGACCGTCTTTTTTAACTCTGAAAACTTTATTCAAATCTCGACGTGTCAGTACTTTGAGCATTTGTTGTATTTCTTCATTAAAAAAGAATGGAGCTGGATCTGCTTCCTCTAAAGAAAAGTATTATTTTATTATTGAATTACTGATAGTGTAATAGTTTAGAAACTTTTTTAAAAAGCTATTTTATTTATTTAAAAACAATTCAATAATTGTCATCAATTCGATTTTAATTTTCTTCAGTGTTGTTTCACTTTCTTTTTACTTGAAAATATAACCTAGATATTGCTGTAATACTCTTCATAATAACAATGAGAGTGTTTACCTGATTCAACAGAAGAATTACTATATTTACATCTTTGTGTTATATTGTTTCCTTGCAATTGCCGTAAAACTGAGTAAAAATTACGTGAAATCAAAGAAATACATCTATTTCTTATAACTTGTCTACTTATGCCGGCCATAGTGAAGTTTGAATAATAGCATTTTCAATGTTACCAACAGAGAAATTATGGTGACGGAAATTGACTAAATAGTTTGATTTTCTGCCACTTTCGATATATCGAAATATACGACTTATGGAAAAAAACAATTTATTCTATTACTAGAGAGCAGTAGTGATTTCCGAGGACGAATTTCGAATCGATAAACAAATGTGAGAAAAAACTAGATATGAGGTAAGCTAAAATTATATTTGTTCCAATACGTTTGCCTTAAATAATCAAATAAAAATTCAAATGTAGTAAATGTATTTTTACATTATAAAAAAAGAAAAACATTTGTTAACTTCCGTAGTTTTTACGGAAAGGAAAAAAAAAAACATTTCATCATTTTACGTCAGAATTTAATAATAAAGGGTGATCTCTACAATCTTACATCATGATAAAAATAAGTACTACGTAAACGAAGTAAATAATGATAACAAATGATATAAGGATAAATTTCAACAAAAAAGTATATCAAATGGTTTGAAATGCAAGTTCAGGAGTTTTAGACCTTATAAATATTATTGATTTAATGAACTTAATCAATATTCATGATTATCTTCTTGAATTAATGTTAGCTTGATAAAATTTTGATTCAAAGCAAGTTAGCTTACAACATACCTCATAAAGAACTAATTCTATTGTATTATCAGATATTTAGTTAATTAAAATTTAAATAATGATAGCTAAATGTTATTCATAGACATTTCGACATTTCTTTTATTTAAATAATTTAATAAACTGCTTCAAACAGCTTTTAAATATATTAATCTACTAAACGACATAGGTATTAATTAATTTTAGTTCTATCATTTTTTATGAAATTCATTAATCAAATAGTAAGTTAAAATGTATTACTCCATTTGTTTATTTGATTTACTTTGATAACTTTTCCTACTATTGCGTTTCTGGGTAAGTAATTATTTTTGTTTTAATTTTCCGGGTTTTATGAGCAACACCCCTTTGTCTTTCTAACTGATAACGTTTCCTACCATTATTTATATATTATTATTGAACGTAACATGCGATTCTTCGCATTTCGTCACGTCTATAAATTAAAGTGATGTATTCAGTTACAAGGTAAAACAAATAAAATTAGAAAAATTTTTATACATAATGTCATAAACTTCTGACGTTCAATAATAAAAAAAATTCAAAAAATTGATGACTAATAATGGTAATGACAATGCAAGTAACCGGAAGAATAAAACAGCAGAAAACAACATCGAATGGATTTAAAATCAAATTAGATTTAATATTTTATACATTATATATAATATAAAATCTCTATCTCAGACCATATTTGACCAAGAAAATAATCGACAGATCGTTTGAGTTGCGTGCTTTCTCTTTCTCTTATCCCCTACTTATTCTTCCTTATTGTTATCTTGCTCTTGCTTTATAATTTTTGATATGAGTAAGACAGAGATAAGTATACGTCAATGGTAGAGATGAAATCATAACCTAGAAAATCGTTGGAAGAGAGAAAGAATGTGAACAACCAGGAGGGAGAATCAAAACTTATGGTTGGCTACGATAGCTAGCAGCTTATAACAGTGTATGAAGTTGACTGTGTGACATCACGTTTCATTGTTAGAGGTTTACGTCATTTCTTTAGTCCGTGTGCGTCTTGCAGATCGCACACGTGAATTTGCTGCGGGTGCAAAACAGCATCGCAAGAAAATGTCGCCACCTTCACTATCATCAAAGTGTGACTGGTTAGAGTGACTCTTTCTTTCATCGTTTTAGTGAACACGAAGATTATAAACATTTTAAGATTAGCTTAGAGCAACCTTTTTGACTTCTATACTATTTTAGTAACCTAAACTGTGGAGAAAGTTTCAAGTGAAACGTAACTGATGTTGTTTATACTTGTGTTTTGTTTTTCATTTTTGCTGTAATAAAATGTCAAAATCAAGTATTTAACAATGAAGTTGTAAACATCAACCAAGAAAGAATAAATAGAATATAGAAAGTGAGTTCACCTAAATAAGTTTAACTTATAATTAAGAAACATTTACTGAATTTTTACTTCAAATCTACTTAAAAAACTAACTGATTGATTGTGTTATTTATATCAAATTTTAATTGTGTAGAAGTCGATATCTAAGAGTGTAATGATTTATTTCCTCATTTATTTATTTACATGATAAAGGAACGATAAATGAAAAAATCATATGGTTAAACGTGTATACTGCTCACTTTACTCTTCGTTTCTGATGCTTTTGAGAGTTGAGCGCACGATGCCGTGTGTTGATTCTTTCATTTTAAATATAACGGTGTGTATAAATAAGTATGAGCAATAGCGCGAGTACGCAAGGTTGCTGTCGTCCATGATTTTGCGGACAGTTTGAATAATTATAACCATAGATTTATAATTTGTATTGTCATCAAAAGATAGACTGAAGGAAACAAAAGATTCATCCAAGAGAAAACAAGAATTAATCAAGTTTATCGCTCTTAGAACAATAGTTTTTACTAAAAACATAAATTCCGTTTTTTAAACAAAATAAAATCTTTTTTTTTTACTAAATAAAGTATAACACAGCAATAAATTTCACAAAAAGTAACAACATGGAAACATTATCCATATTTAACAATAGAAATACAGGTTAGTTGTGATAAATTAAGCTGATAAGAATGTATGGAATATGTAAATAAAACGTGAACATTTAACATAAGGGCTAAATGATGTCGTCATTTTATTGACACAACCAGCATAATTATTTTTTTAAATCTGCGATAGGAATCATGACCGTGAATCATAATTCATGTAGATGAATTGCTTAAATCTTGGCTATATCTTATGGGATCTAAATAACATGTCTTACAGTTCACAGAGACCAAACTTGATGTGTATTTTAACTAAATTTATTTTTTTCCAGAATAATTCATAGACTCATTTACATACTGAATTTTTGATGAAATAATTCTTGAAAATGGGAGAAATCAATACAGAGTTACAAACGTATGTGAAGGCCCGGATTTTTATCTTGTGTAAGTATTTGTTTATATGAAATTTTCTATTCTTTGTCCATTCATTTTATTGATATACAAATAAGACATTTATTCCAATTCAATTATACTTTTAATTTAAAGTAGAAGCAAGTTTTTGATGATTTCATTTGAATAAATGTTATCTATTTCATTAGGGGATTTGATAGCACGTAGTAGCTTGTCGAAATCAATTTAAAATCATTCTATAAAATGCAGCAGAAAACAAAAAATAACGCCAAAAATAGTATTGGAAGTTGCTGTATAATGATTGGAAGTCATTGGATATAAAATAATATATAATGATCAACAATTTTACTTGAATCCACATAGAAGGATTATTGCACAATTATGCAAATAACGGTATGAAAACCAATAAATTACCAATAGTTTAATTTAATGATCTAATTATAAGGATTATTCATGCATATAAATAATGTTTAACATCATGATAATTATTTCTTTTGTTTTCAGGATGCCGGAGTTAATATTATTTAGTAAATATTTGGACAACTTCAATGTTGGGAACTATTAAAAATGATGAAACGAGACATTATGTATTTAACTACCAAGGGGTTTGATATATCAAAGTATGTTGGCATTATTTTTCATTTTCATTGACCAAAAATCAGACAATAATAATATAAAATAGCAAATAGTTATTTTTTCAAAAGAAAAAAAGTTCAAAGTCATTATCAATTAAGATAATGAATTTATAAATCGCAAGTACTCGAATCAAAAGAATTACAGAATCAAAATTTATTTTCTTACTTATCACTTTACTAGGCATCGTTTCAATAAATTTCAGAGCAGCCGTTACTATGAGTACTTCACACTCGTTGCATTGTAATGGACAAGAAAGTAATCGTAAAATCGGATCAAGTAAGTTAATTGGAATTATTTATAAAGTTAAAGTAATTTTACAGTTTTATAAATGGCTGTAACAGAGACCTAACCCGTTAACATATCAAGTTAAATGAAGAAATTTTTTATTAACAGAAAGAATGGCCTATCAAGTATTTTTGGGTGGATCTTGTAATCCCACAACCTGGCGATCGGAAATAGCCATTCCAACACTTCAAAAACTTGGAATAACTTACTACAATCCGGTACAATAATTGATTGATCTACTTGCATGTATAAAGACCATTCAGATAAATTTTTATGAGTTTTATTTATTTGTTATTTTAGCAAGTCCCACAGTGGGGGCCAGAACTTGTAGCTCAAGAATATGAAGCAAAACAAACTGCACGAGTGTTGCTTTTTGTAATTGATAATCAAACAAGAAACACAGCAGGTATTATTGAAGCGGCTCAATTAGCAGCTACAAGGAGTCATTCCTTAATCATCGTTGTATATCCTTATCAACCAAATCAAAAGATTTTAGGAGAAACTATTTCGGCTCAGTAAGTTCATCTTTTTTTAAAAGATGTATTTATTTTTCAAAGATTAAATTTATTTTTCAATGACAACAATTAATTACATTCTATTTTTCAATTTATTTATCAGAGAATACAATGATTTAATGAATGGACTTCTAGTACTTGAGTATTTGATGGAAAAACAACGAATACCAATATTTGAAAGCATTTCTGGCGCTCTAAATGGTACTTCTAAGGTATTAATTCGCACAATTACTTTTTAAATATTAAAGAGATAAAGTATCAATTTCTGAAAACTAAAATTTTTTTATTTAATTTTAGATTCTCCGTGAAGCAATCAATGTGCAAGATTTAAATCAAGAAGATGGTACGAGGCCTACCCGGAATTCTATAGCTCAAAATGGCATTGATATGGTGTATGTATCTATCTTTATGAATGACGATATAATAATATGTATCTTTTTTTCTTTAACTAAACATCTGTATATTCATGGGCGTTTTTGTTTTATGCAGAACACTCAGAGAGATATTTAAATCTATAGATACCAATGATACGGGTACCGTCCGTTTGGAGGATGTGAGTAAGCAAAACTATTTATTTATTCATATTTATTCACAAAAAATCAATCATTTTTCTTCATCAACTCTTACTTTGATCATTCATAATATCAATAACTTTTTTCAATAGGCCTGGAGAGAACTGCAATTGAAGATAAAGTGCAATATGTCTATCTCTGAGTTTTTTAATTTTGTAACAAAACCAGGTAAAATATATTTTTTAATTTATATTAGCAATATAAACTCGTATTAATCGTTAAACGATACAATTACCTTAACTTTATTACTTATTTAGATACGTATGATAATGTAGTACAAAATTCTTCAAATAAAGATGATTTGGCAGAACAACGAATAAACTTGGAGCAATTTTGGACGCTTGCAAGTGAATGGATGCAGCGCGCCAAGACTAATATGACCAGTTGTGACGGTAAGCGATATCTTTAGTTCACATTCATTTGTTCTTAACTATCATAACAGTGGACAAAAAGATATGATTACTTTTCTCCATCTCATTATTTAGATTGGACACATTGTGTCGTGCCGGATACACAAAAAAGAGATTTATACATCGGAGTTGATGGCAAAGATCACATCTGGTTAGAATCATCTGCCGTGCCATTGATAGAGTATGTATAAAGCTAAATAAATAATGATTAAATAAATCCAACATAAATAATAAACAAAAGAAGATAAATAATAATTTTATATTATACTTTCTCACAGATCAATGGGTTTATCTTTATATCGGCCAAGTATGAATGAATATACAGTGAAAACAATATCAATTGAATTGCAACGAATGAGAAGTTCACGTATGATTTTATTGATAATGCCTCAACACTCACGAAGTATTGCTATTGCGACATTAGCTGCTCATTTAATTGGTTTGCGGGCAAAGCTCGTTCTTTGCATACAACTTATGCCAGATGGTTGTATTGTGTCTGGCGAAAAGGTAAATATTTTAATTTCGTTTCTTAAAACTGTTTAATAAGTTTAGTTTACACAGCACTGGTACATGTTTGATCAATCGTAAAGATTCAAATAATAAATCAAATGAGTTTTTTTTTGCAATTATCTTTTAAAAATATTTTTATTTACCATTTATCTTTTTGAAAAAATTATAAAAACATATATAATCTAGTACAATGGCTATTAATTCATTAATGAAAGAAATAATTGTCAAATCAATCGCTCGTGAATAAAGCAATTAATCTCATTTGAATTGATAACAATTCTGCTTGCCCTTAATTTGAGTTATTTATGTAAAAAGAATATTTTTATTTCATTCATTTATTGATAAATTTATTAACGTTGACTTACATTTTATTTATTGACAGCTGACAGAGCAAGCCATAAAAGACTACAATCGCAGTAGAATGTATCTCATGGACTACGCAACGCGCGAAGGTGTACCTGTTTTTCAGAAGATAGCTGATGCACTTCAGCATGCGATACAGTCAGTTCAAAGTTCCTGTTGACATTTTTTCTCTAATCTATGATCTATTAATTATAATTATTTTTTTATTTGTTTTTTAAGTTTTAGTTAAATCAATTCAACTAATTTATTTTTACTCAGACTTGATTGAAATCACAAAATACTTGTTCGTTTTATTTTATTATTTTGATTTTTATCAATGAGCTAGTTGATAGGTAAAAGTCACAATTTTATCATGAATATTTTTTCATATTAATTTTTAAATATTAATGTACGTTTATGATATGTCTGATAAAACTCGCAAATTTTTATAATATGAATGATTGTATTTGAAACATTAGCATAGTAAAATCAAAATTGATGCTCATTGAAAATTTTTTTTTAAGATTTATTAGAGCTATCATTTGATTATTATATTTCGTTATCATATTATTTATCTTCATCATTATCATCAGCATTTCTACCATCATCATGATAAACTGTATTGACTTTTCAAAATCTGGATTTATCATAATGATATTATTATGTATTTACTTACATGGCAAAACTTACAATAACGTAAGTTTGCTTATCAATTTATCAATATCCTTATTTATTAAGTAAAATATGAAAAATATCTTTTCTTTTAAGAATTTTTTTTACACAAAAGCAACAAAATAAATTTTAGAAAAACTATTTTAGAATTAACTTCAAGTAGTATGTTTTTAAGATGTTATCTATTTTTTATTTAAAAAATAATTTATCAAGCTCAATTAAATATGTACAATAGAACAATTATGAAATCATCAATAACCGAGAACAGAAAAGACGAATGATAAATCACAATAATAGTACTTTGAAGTAAATGTTAATATAATGTAATTAATTAAGTATAAATAATATTATCTATCTATTATTTCTAAAAAATGTTTATTATAATATTTTTTCGAATGATAGACATATTTTAAATATCTGTATATAATAGCGAATCACAATTGTGCATAAATTGATGAGTGAAGAACAAAAAAATAAATTATTGTGTGTGAATAATAATGATAAATTTATAAATCAATTTAAATTTAAATAAAAAAAAGACTAAAAAAAATTCTTTTCAAGTATTTAGATTAATTAAAATTTAATTAGTAATGGGTAGTTTAGTTATATTTTGTTTTTAATAAGAGATTTATAAATAATTAATAAATTATAAAATCATTTTATCACTTTACGTATTGATGTACAAAATTTATTTGTTTCATTAATAGATATATAGTAACATTTGTACATTTTATTAGTTCATCTTTTATCTGATCAACTATAAACCTAAAATTATTCAATTTGGCTTATTTGGAAAATAATATTGTTTGATATTTTTGATAGAAAATAATACTGGTATCATAATAGGTAAAAATAGAGGAATATAAACAGCATATCTGAAACAAAAATTAGTATTAATTATTATTTAATAGCTTTTATTAATTAAATATTTTAATTCCTTATATATTACTAAGAATGATAAACTTTCATTATTCAGTATCAAACCTAATCTGAAGATACAAAAAATAATTAATATAATTATAACTTTAAATCAACATTTAACTTACTTTTGATCTTCTGGGAAGTATAACAGAGCTAAAAGTGATGGATCGCTGAATGCTGCTTCTGAAGTAATAAAAGCTTCTTTGCTTAGCAGGAATCCATCTACTAATTCTCCATTATTTAATTTTTGTGCTGATAATTTTATAAGCTCCAGAGCTTTCTTTATTCGATTGCCAACAGTCTCCGTAATCACAATATTACTGATTTCTTCAAGAAGTTGTGCTAGTGATTGAAGAGTAAGCTTAGCTGAAGTGAGCTGTTCAACGGCTTTTACTCGTAGAAGTGCATCGAGCTCCCAATCCCGAATAAGGGTTTCTCCAAGAGCTACAATAGAGATATTTGGAATCTCATCATCCTGATTAAAAAACAAACTATAATTAATAATATACTGATGATTAAGATATATTATTTTGAATTTTAAACTTACAGGTTCAGGAATCCCCAATAGAAGCCTCAATTGTGACAGAAAAGTACCCATAATGAGTAAAGGATTAGGTTCCACTTCAACTACACTATCATAACTATCTTCAATAATTGTTTGATTGCATACATCTAATGGTGGGTTTGATATAACAACTCCACCCCATCTTGGAGACATAAACGCTTCTATATTATTTAATGACTTAGATTTGTGTCCAGTTTTCGTATAAATATAAATAGGTGATTCACTACAAGGCACAGCATACATTACGAGATTGATACATGGATGGAGACTGACTTGGGATGCTAAAAATAATTTAAAAATTTTTTATTAACCAAAACTCATAGAAAAAAAATACAAATATGATATTAATATTAGTTATAAGAATAACATTGACACGCATAACTAGTTAAACCTGAACATTGAATGTATTTTTAATTCTATTTCGAATTAATCAGTTACTAACGAATTCAATGTTATTTTTAAATTATACCGTCAAATTATGTATAACTGAGTAAAATAAAACGTATCACATGATCTAAGCCATCAACACTAATATCTCTTGTTACAAAACAACAGAAATTTTTTACGGAGTATATGGATCAACGTTATCATTATTTACTCTGAATATATTTATTAAATAACCTACTTATGTACTAAATTCATACCCAATTTTTTTTCTAATGGTGTTATTAATTGTGGAAGAATATCTTCTACAAAGGCATAATGTCTTCTTAGTGGGCTGCTATCAATAATTTGTTTTGGAGTAATAGCAAAAGGAAGCAAATAAAGCCACTGAGATTTGATAGAAAAGTTTGCAACCATAGAGAGCTGATTGAGAAATGGTTCGATGTAATCTAAAAAAATAATATTAACAAAACTTAGTTTGATAAAATTTTATTATCCATATCTTTCTTATTACAAAAGACAAAATGAATAAAAGCAATACCTTCAGTCAATGTCAACAAATTCCACTTTATTTTTAACCTGTCGGGATCTGGGTTGATTATTGTCACGAGAACATCATAATTTACACTTGGGGGAAATCGTCGACGGTTTTCTTCATCTAGACGATATATTGTGGGTTCCGTTAAAGCATTCTGAGTTAGAAGAAGTGATTTATCTCTCAGAATAATTTGCGACAGGATATGAGTTAGCTCTGAACCCTCTTAAATTAACGAATTATAATTAAGTATTATTATGATTGATTTGATCACAAGTAACTTTTATATTCTATTCTAATAGCCAGAAAGTATATTACTAAATAATTATTAAGAATTGAACTTTCTGATGTTTTGAAATAAATTAAAAAAAAAATAGCTTATCGATTAACTAGAAAAATTACAGAGATGATTATAATTCAATGAATAGTAATAATTACTTGTTTTCGATGGAAAGAAGATATTCCTTTTGAGACCAATAAAAATCTGATTAAAATTTGGTGATTCTAAAAATAGTAATTGGCCAATTTGTACATCAAATTTTTCTGCTATTTTTTCATGGTCATACAATGTAAATGCAGAATTTACTACATCCTTTGAAACAATTTTGTGAGATATATCTAGTCTCAGTAAAGCTAAAACGTACATGTAAAAAAGTAGAGATTAGATTACTTGAATTTTTTCAATTATGAAAATGAACTTACTTGGTTTTTCCAATGAATTAATTATTTCATTCATTAATGTTTCAGCATATGTCAATGATGTTGCAGCAATGACAATTTTAGTTTGAAACTTGGTTTCTAAATTCGACAAATCTGCTATTCCAGAGTAAGGAAGAGGTACACGTAAAACTGATGTTGTATGCCACCATAGAGGAACTCCAATACCAAGTATTATAAATGCAAATGACATACTAGCATATACTCTGTATTTTTCTGAAATGATAAATCAAATATGAAATTAGGAGGTTAGTTAGTTAAATTGCATGCTTCTTTAAGTTAAATTTGAATATTTTTATATTAAAAACTGAGTAAAAATCATATTAAATGAAATTGAGCTGCTATCAAAGAATAAAATATTCTTCATGTTAACATTCATCTATCAATTATCTTTGTAGTATTTTCAGTTACGAGTTATATAATAAATATCATTGGTAATTTATAATAATTATACTTTAATTACTCAAACATTACAATTTTATTCTTAAAAACATCTCTTTTTTTGTTTAAATCATTTCCATATTATGACATGAAACATCAAACATATGATTATTTCTAAAAGTAATAAACTTGTATTGTTTGACATCTAAGATTTTTATCTATAAATATAATACTTAACTTGAACATGAGGGTAATTTGTAAAATTTGATAAAATTAAAGAGTTCTGACAAATGATTTTTCTTTAAAGTAATTCAGTTGATTAGAACAAAAACTTTTACTAAATAGTCTGATGAAAGAATGACTACGATCAACAGGGAAGGGGGATTCATCGTGACTTCAGAAGCAACGACGAACCAGGGCGGCTCTTCAGTTCTTTTTCTGACGTCTTCAACATTCGAACTCTTTCTTTTCTTCTACTGACAGCTTTGATCAAACATTATTCCTTTTGTTTCTTATCAATCAGTGCAATTTGAATGAAACAATCATTGCTTAACGATTGATTTGTGATCCATTTATTCACCTTAATTATTTATTAAACAATAAAATGGTATGAATAACATTCATTAAGCTTAATACAGTAATTAAAACTGGTATCAGCTGGAGTTCTCTATCAGTTGAATGAATAAAACTAATTCTTCAGATCATCTTCTTTATTACTTGCAAATTCAGTAACTATCTGTGAGAAGATAAAGTGTAATTAACCTTTTTTTTGACATAAAACTTGGTTAAAATTTCCAGAAAAGTTGAAATTGGTGAAAAATAGAGCTGAAATATTGTGATGATTGAAAGTGGCTAAGTAATTTGTCAAAGTTGAAAAAAATATGTATGAATAGTGAAAAATGCTCGTTTAACCTTGTGTCAATTGAAGCAATGTGAGACCAAAGCGACAGCTGCACTTTTAAGCCTCTCTTTACCATGGTAGTCGTCGTGAATCCGAGTTCTTCCTCGTAGCATACAAGAGATACTGAAAATTCAAGTTCCTCAACTCCATACATCATTGTGAGAATCTATTCGTTATTGTTCCATTCAAAATAACTCGTTATAAGTTGAATTATTATGTTAAACATGAATGTCATTGATCAATAACATGTAAACTAAACAGATAACAAAATTATCATTCTAATAATAAACTTTTTATGACAAATATACCAACATTTTTGAAAACATTTCAACAGTTTCAGTGCTGAAAACTTATTTTTCATAAATCCCAGAGCTGTTAAATAAGTGGAAACAGGAGCAGTAATAAAAGGATGGCGTCTAAACCGGAAAATGAAATTATTAAAATGGAGATAGAAGTTAAACAGTAAGTTTATATCACATGATCTTTATCCTTTTTTTCGTTAATTACTATTTTATGAAAAGTACACTTAAATTTATGGAAGACTTATCAAAATTTAAGTATTAACGATATCTATTTCTAAAAATATCGAATATTATCTGGAATTTTCTTAACCAAGCAATCAAAATATTGTATTCGATTGATTATTCTAAACAAAATAAATGAATTTTAACTTTTTGATGTTATCTAAAACGCATTCCATAAATAAATACCTTTGACTCATGAGTATGGCATTTTATTGCAGAAAAAAAGATGGAGTTTTCAAACTACTATGGAGATTTATTTGTATTTACTGGAAATCATTAATTCTAATCCTATGGCCACTAATTTTGATGCCGATAATAATTATAGATAATTCACGAATGTACAAATGTCTTTATGTAGTGGGTTTGATGGCAATGTATTGGGTAACCGAATGTTTGCCTTTACCTATTACTGGGATGATACCAATCGTACTCTATCCACTAATGGGAATATTGAGCTCAGGTAAAACCTGTGATGCTTATATGAATGATACCACCATCATGTTTTTAGGAAGTCTTGTTATTGCTGTTGTTATTGAAAACTCTGGATTACACATGAGAATTTCATTGATAATCATTAAACTTATTGGATGTAGTCATAGGAAGTATGAAACTATTTGATTACTTAACATTTCAAACATTTTATTTGTCATGCATTTTATTTATTATTTATTTCCATTCTTTGATTGTTTTATGATTCTAGATTAAGTCTTGGACTATTTTACGTCACAATGTTCATATCTATGTGGATTTCCAATACTGCTGCCACTGCCATGATGATTCCTATTATTGAAACAGTTCTTTTAGAATTAGAAACGGTTGAGCAATATATATAATTACTTGTAATATTATTTTTTATTTAAGTCGATCATAATTATTATTAATATTTTATATTATTTTCAGCAAGGTCTTGGTAATATGTTTGAAATCGAGGAATCCGATACTAGTCAATTAGAAAATCATGAAAGGTCAGTTTCAATGTTTATTTGAATAGTAAACTTTGATATTTAAATTGAAAAAGAAATATGAACGATAGGTAAAATTTATATTCTTATGAAAAATGTATAGAAATTAATTCTCTGGAAAATGATAAAATCTAACATATTTTTTTCTGAATACAATAAAATAAATATGGATTTATTATATAATAAATCCTACCTGATATGACACCAATTTTATATCATTGAGATTGACAGTAAATATATATATAGGGAATTTGAAATTAAGAATTTATCCACACATTCAATCTTTTTAACGATAAATTAATACGGAAGACATAAGATCACATTAGTTATTTATAAATTGAACAGAATAATTCTAGGCATACCGGAGATGTTAAAAAAACAAGAATTTTATAATAAAAACAGATTATAACAATGCGTACTCATATTTAAATAATAATTACCAGTAATTATTCATTGATAATCTATCATCTGTAATTGCTAGTAAATTGTTAGGATTCATTTTCTGATATAAATAAACATGAAGTAAATTTTTAAAAAATAATATCGTATTTAACTCAGAAAATTTGGCATTGATTTAATACTGGTAATTTAATAAAAATATTTTTAGGCGGAAAAGACCAACACACAGCACATTAGTCTACTATTTATCAATTTCATATGCCTCAAGCATTGGTGGAATTGGAACTATAGTTGGCAGTGGAACAAATTTAACACTGAAAGGAATTTATGAAGAGTATATAATGATAAAAAAATTTCTTTACAATTTAATCAATTGATCAAAAAATTTATTTTAAACTTTTTTTTTATCTAGACGATTTCCACGGAGTCCAGGGATAAATTTTGCTTCTTGGATGTTGTATAATGTACCGCCCATGCTTCTTATAGGATTTTTGACATGGTTGTGGCTTCAAATAATGTATATGGGACTTTTTAGGCCTCAAAGTGCGGATGCTCAAGCCATAAATATTGGTGAACAGGGAGAAAAAGTTGCTGCAGATGTTATTAATAAGAGATATAAAGATCTTGGACCAATTACGTGGTATGAATCGATAGTAGGTTTTCTTTTTATTTCAGTCATTCTTCTTTGGTTCTTTAGAAAACCCGGATTCCTGCCGGGATGGCCAGAGTACATCACGAACATGTAAGTCTTCAACTCATTAATTGTTTTAACTCTTGATTTGACTAAATTTTTTTATTTTTATACTCTAATTCTTAAATTAAAAAATCTATTGTAAAAAACTGATCTTTATTTAGGCCAGTCAAAGACTCAACAGCAGCCATTGCACTTGTAATTTTACTATTCATAATACCATCGAAATTGGATTTTTTTCGAGCTTTTGATAAGGATCCAAGCAAACGTCCAACGGCTCCATCTCCAGCTCTCATTAATTGGAAAACAATTCATGAAAAAATGCACTGGAGTTTAATTTTTGTCCTTGGTGGCGGATTTGCTATTGCTACAGGAAGCAGTGACTCTGGGTTGTCAGCAATGCTTGGAGAAGTTTTAGGAAACTTAAGACATGTTAATATATTTGCAACGTTATTTATTGTTTGTATTTTTTGCGAAATCGTTACGGAGTTGACTGCAAATATTGCTGTAGCGAATATTGTCTTACCAGTATTAGCAGAAATGGTAACTTAAATCTAAATATTTTCAATTAATTATTTACAAGAATGAATTACTGACTTAAATCTTTTTATTTTTAGTGTGTATCAATCAAAGTGCACCCTCTCTTTCTTATGCTACCGGCTTCTCTCTGCTGCTCATTTTCATTTCATTTGCCAGTTGGTACTCCACCAAACGCAATTGTAAGTGAAGCAGGTCACATAAGAACTAAGGATTTTATTATTGCCGGAATCGGCCCGACGATGATTACCCTTCTTGTCACATGCATTGCATGGAGTACTTGGGGTGTCTATGTATTTAAATTGTCTGATTTTCCTCAATGGGCAACAGAGAAATAATGTATGATCTATTTTGACTATCAAAATTATTTACTTCGTTCAATCATTCTTCGGACAAATATTTTAGTTATTATTTTAATACATGATTATTTATTTTATCAATAAATTCAAATAAACCGCAATACGTCTAATTTTTTATCACTTCCAAAAATCATTAGAAATAATTAACATAGCATGTAATATTGAAAAAATGAAAATTGTCTTTCAAAATTAGATTTTTTAGTAATAATTGCAAAAAATGACAGTTTCCTAATTTAAAATTAATTCTATTAATAATCAAATTAAAAACAATGAGCTTACCGCTAGTGGAATCATCATCTTCAACAGTTTTATTTTCCTCGGCCATAATTACAGAAGATAATTGACTTAATTTATTATGAATACGATCGAGGTAACTAGTTATCACTTTAATTTATCAATCTTAAGATAAAACAACCAATAACCTCATCTAATTACTAAATACCAATTGTTTTCAATTTCCCCACATTTTTCATGAAATAACTATTTTTATTCTTCATACACTTCCGACTTAACCTACTTATCTTATTCCTTCTTTACTTATCAAAAAATTCATCAACTAATTTTCCTTTATTTTGTATCTGTATATCAGAAATCAAGTATTATTGTCCATTTGATTACAATAACAACATTAATTATTATATTTATACATAATAATTTAATAGTTATATCGATTACAAACCGTTAAAGGTGATATATTCACAGTATTAAAAAAGCGCGAAATTCAAGACAGCTGATTCATTGACGGCAGTGCTATCTCTGTACTCCAAAAAGTGTTTCATGAAAAACTATTTGTAATACCATCATTATCCTATTAATACTAATAGTTCGTTTTTATGTTAAAGGAGTATATATTTATGTACAGTGAAAAAGGTTTTTTTTTATTTACTAAAAAGAATAATTAAGTTATACACAAAGCTTTTAGGTTACGTTCACATACGTAGAAACCGTGTCGCAAGTGTCATGTTGTCATGTACAGACTGTATGTATAAATATAGATGCATCGTATGATATAATCTAGAAAAACACACATATTTGTTTCACACACATGCGTGTAAATGTACTTCAGTCAGTAGTGCACGACAAAGCTATTATATTATATGGTATATCGTTAAATATCGTCACATACTTGGTATAATTCGTCAAATACAACAACGCTAGTTATCTTTTTGAGTTTAATAGTAGGTAGAAACTTTTTAAAACTGTGTAAAGTTGTGGCAATTAATTTTTTTTGCTCTTTAATATCATTTTATATCGGAAATAAAATGATGGATTGATTATTTTTTATGATACACGACCTACCAGATGATTTTATAAATTGAATTTTTCCACTGATACTACGACTAAGGTATTTTGATCAAGTATTGATAATCTACCATTAAAATATTTTTTCTAATTATATTTACATTTTATATCGCACTTATCATAAATTTAGAGTTTTTAATTAAATTTAAATATGATTAAAATAAATGGTAGACTAGTTATTCAGTGCATACTTACCTATCCATTTTAAGTCAATAATTTATCGGAAATATACACGACAAGAATCTTTATATCAGTGATTGTTTTCATTATTGAATTAACAAGAATACAATAAGAAAGAAACGAAAAAGAAATTTTTTTTTATTAATTTTATGAATTATAAAAAAAATTGAAAATAAAATTAATACATTAGGATTGATTTCAATATCATCCATCTTAAATCAATGAAATTTGTTGAGTACTATATAAAATAATAGATAACACCATTAAATTATATTTAAATATAACACAGTTTTCCTGTTTCTAAAATGATTGTTTAAAACTCAATTGAAATAATTAAAACAATTATTAAAACCAAGCTTGTTAATGTAATTAAAAAGTTAATAACTTATTAAAATTGTTCTACTACAGTACTTGATGATTTTTGTTCCTTACTATTAACATTTACACAGTCTTGAGGCAATATTTTACTAGAATTAACTGTCCATAAATTCAATCCATTTCTAACAACTCCAAAAAACATAGCTAGTATAAAGAAAGTATTGGTCAACCAATCTGACATTGGCAAACATAAAAATATCTTGAATAAAACTTCTATCATCAAAGGTGTCCATAAGAGTATAGCAGAATACATAAATTTTCTTGATATACAGAATTTCTTTTCAATATCATTAATCACTCGTTTTATATTTTCAAGTTGATTCTCATAAACTTCTATATTATCTCCATTACTTGTACTACATTTTCCTTGTTTAACATAAACATCATCATCATCATCATCATTTCTTCCCTTTTTCATAGAATTCACAATTATTAATTGTCTAGCAATATTTGAACAAATGTAAATTACTCTTATTTGTAGAATACTTGATAACAATATTGGTCCAAAATACATAATAAATAATAAAATAATCATATAGATTTTCAGAACATTTGGTGATATAAAACATTTATAGTTTTCCATCTGTGTGAGCAAATCATCGATTTCATTATTGTAATTACCATCATTATCATTAGAGTAATTACTGATGCTGTACTTCATGTTATTGTAATATTCAGCATAATTTAATTGATTCAGTTTTATTTTATCATGAATTTTCTCTCCACGTGGCGACCGATGTAAAACAGCTTGTGAAGATTTATTCAGATCTATTAATTGTTGAACAATTTTACGTATCTGTGTAACAACTTGATCAGCTTCTGATGAATTAGTTTCAATAAAATCGGATGCATTCAAATTTGATATTAGAGTTTCTCTATTGTTATTTATAAACTTAAAATCATTAAAAACATCACTAATTACACTACTATTTTCTTGTAGCTGATAAAAATTACAATTACTATAATTATCATATCTGTTAAAGAGAAAATTCGTTGCTAATATACACATTGAAGCGTGTGATTTTCTCAACTCATTCATTGAAGTGTAACCAGTGATATTTATTATAAACATTGATACAATTGGTATCAACCATTGGCTGATGATGCTAATTGTTGTAAAAAACTTACGATGTTTTAATGGTGTTAATTTTGGTGTTGAATGTTTTAATTTTGTATATTCATTTTCTTTTTTATTGATTTTTTCTGTCTTGATGAAGTTGCAAGATTTGATAATCAACTCATCACATTTGAATTTAATAGACTCAGCATCAAAATTACAATCAAGAGACTTGCTAATTACTGATATAAAGTTATTAATGAATGGTATAAAAAATATACCATAATCCATTAAAGTATTTTGGAAGTCACAATTATATATGTTAGGAATAATTTTCTTTCTCTCATCTACAACCTTTTGAACTGTTGTCGAATTAAAAATATCCTCAGGAAAATAATTTGTTGATAAAGACTGACTAATCAGCAATATTATTGCTATGAAAATATTACTTAATGCATCGGATATCGTTAGCACGTGACTTGAAGAATTTATAAATTGCTTTTTAATCACATTTTTTCTTAATAACAACAGGAAAGATACTAAACTCGAAATTAATAAAATACTACCGATAATTTTTAATAACTCTAAATCCATTTCAATTAATATTGAAAATATTAGAATATATTTGAACTTCTACTACTACTTTTGAATGCAAAAAAATAACTAAAAATAAGAAAGAGTCGTGTTCTGTTAAATGATAGAAATGCGGGTGTAGCTACATAGGGGCAAATAACTATTTTGTGTATTTTATCAAATGATAAATAGCAAATAACTGTTTCCATTTTATAATGAGGGCTTATTAGGAGATTCATTTGGATTAGTTCATATAAAAAAATATTAAAAAACCAATTTTTATCTATTTTAAGTAAGAAAAGGTTGAAAATGAACATTAAATTCATTGGATGAAAATACATTATTTGTTACAGAAAACTTAAAACAAAATGTCACTAAGACGTGGAACTAATCCTGATATGATAATAAAAATATGGAATGCTATAAAAAATACAATTCAACAAAGAACACTACCTAGTAATGATCGAATAGTTCGATACATTGCTCGCAGTAATAATATGACTGAACAAGCAGTGCAAGAAGAATTGAATAAAGCAGTAGAAGATGGTTTAGTTTTTCTAAAAAAATCTCAATTTAAAGGAGTTGAACAGGAAAGTTATCGATTACCATTAGATCCGTCAGAAAATGATGGACATGATTGGTATTGCTTCAAATGTCAAAAAGCAGGTGTTGTAGAGTGCTGCCAATCTTGCTTTAGAGTCTACCATTTGAAATGCCACACTCCAGCTAATCCAGAGAAAAAAATATGTCAGTTTTGTGAAGAAATAAATAATGATAGTTATAATGATATACCTGCACTTAATCATATACTGCGGTTTACATGTGGTCATCTAAAGGCTAAATTGCCACCAGTTATTACTGAGAGAACTATTGTACCAGAGGGTTCAGTTGTTGAAACACCTATTGGTGGATTATCTGGTCCAACGTGGACGAGTGAAGGTGAAGATGCTTGGCGTCCTGGAATCTTGATTAAAAATCATATGGATGTTACGATTATGGAGTCGAAAACCAAAAGAAATGAGTACAAAAATCTTACTGAATTTAAAGCTGATGCCCACAATATTTTACATAATATTATTGTTTATCATGAAGGTAATTTTAGTTTTTTGTTCATTTATTTATTTTTCTTAAAAAAATTAATTTAACCATTTCATTAAAAAAAATTTCTTGTAAATAATTATTCCCGAAGTAAAAATAACTAATGAATTTGGAATAAATAAGCAATGTAGTAATGATTTTTTAATATTTATCTTTTCATCAGCTGCCAGCCCTTTTGGAGAAATGGCTTTAAACATGTATAAAGATTGCTGTTATGATTTGAAAGAAATTCGACGATGTGCTGACTGTTATCGAATATCAAATGAAAAATCCGAGAAAATGTGGTTTTGCATCCCTTGCAATCCACCTCATCAATTAGTTTATGCTAAACAGAAAGGTTATCCTTACTGGCCTGCCAAAGTTATGGAAATCAAAGATAATATGTATGATGTTAGATTCTTCGGAGGACATCATATGAGAGCTAATATTGAAAAATATTTTATACGACCTATCACTGCTAATTTACAGAGTCTTCAGGTAATGAATTTAAATAGATCTAGAAAATGAGGGTTTTCGAATCACTGGTTACACGATTTCATTTTTTTTCAAAATGAATCAGCAATAGTATTTTTCATTAAGAATCTTTCAAATAATGTGTAATTATATTTACATTAAGAATAATCAAACAAGAAAATATTAAATTATCAGTTAACAGTAAACAATTGATCGCACTCTGGTTTTTTTGCTAACTGTGAATTATTGCACAGCCATCAGAAAAGAACAAGTGGAAAGAAATTAAGGTATGCACATGAATCTTGGCCATTCATGCATATGCTGCCACCAAATTTCATCGAATCACGAAAACATTGATTATTCATATTAAAATTATTGAATAAATAATAAGCAATGAAGAAAGTAGAAAAATATTATTTTCACTAAATTGGTATAAAACTCTTGACATTATTTAGCATCTATTAGTATGAAAAGTTTTACTTCTATTTTATCTAATGTTCTATCTGAGGGATGGTTATTTTAATACAAAAAAAAAACATAAAAATATGTATTTCATCTAGATAAAACGGTCAACAGCGTGGAATAAGGCAAATGAGGAATTGAAGCATCATCAGAGTTTATTGCAGAAGCTAGGAAAGAACACGCAAAGCCCTAACAACAACAGCGAGGATGACGGTCCAAAGCCATCGAAAATTCGCAACGTGGACACAGGATCACCTGGAGTAAAGGTAGCGTCGAACGGCGCCTTTCCTGCCAAAAAAATTACAAAAGACTTGAGAGTGAGAGTAGAAAGGTTGATGTCGGATGGATCTTCTGAGACACAGCTTAACCAGGTAAAGACGGAGGAAAGCAGTAGGTCGACCAGTGAGGAGCGCCAAGTACCTTATCTTCCAGTAGCTGTTGAGGATGAGAGGACGCACAAGATCATCAGTTCCAGCCATCAAGGACTGAAGAAAGAAGGTTCTCAAGAAGATATGGTGACTTCCAGTTCACAGGAGCCAAGGACCAAGTGTATTTCCGTACAGACTGATGAAACTTCTTCGGAATCCGTTGCAGCAAAGGTAATCATTTACAATCGAAAATCAATGATAGTTTTTATTATTTGACGAAATTACAAGTAAAGGCTTAAATAGAAATAAGACTGTGCTATTATTGTATGCGAGTAGTATGTCATATGTTTTCAGGTGAAGAGAGAACGTAGAACATCGGAACAACCAACTACAACTTCATTGGAAAAATTACGTAGAGAATTGGAATTAGATAAATGTCGAGAGTTGGAACGACTCCAAGCTGAACATGCTAAAGAGTTAAGGCAACTTACTGAAAAGCATCAACAGGTTATATCAGAAATCAAAAAGAAACAATGGGTAAAGAACTTAATTTATACTTTATAACTAAAATCTTGATTTCCAGAAAGTTGTTAATAGTTTAAAAACTTTCATAAATCTTTGGAATGATTTGTTCAGCATAATTGAAGTAATAAGTTTGACATTATAATGAGAAACTATAAAAATTGAGATTTTATTATCAATTTAAAGAAATGTTCATTGTTTTAATATAAGTTTTTATTTTACAGTGTTATAATTGCGAGACAGAAGCAATTTATCACTGCTGTTGGAATACGGCATACTGCAGCACTGATTGTCAGCAAGTACACTGGCAAAGAGAACACAAACGCGTATGCCGACGCAAACGTTAATTTTTTTTTATTTTTAATTAAAGATTTTCATTTGAAAGTAAAATACCTAAATGCTGTATCAACAGCCTTATGACATCTAATCTAAATGTTATAAACCAGATGGTCATTTAAAAAATTATCAGACAATCTAGCTAGTCTTCTAAGAATTTCATATCTTTCATTGTTCTAACATTCTCTTTATTAAGTATTTTAATTATTTTAATCGCCAAATAATGAAAATACATATAAACAAAATGTATTTATGTAATAGCCTGATAAGTTAAGTATGCTTGATGCAAACAAACGAAAAATTGAAATATAAATCATGAATATATATTTAACGTTAAAAATAGTTGAAACGTTTTAAAAATCAAAGATTATGAATGAATTGAGTTTATTGGCAGTTCGAAAAAGAGCTCTAAATTAATTAAAGATTAAAAATCAAATATATATATATATATAAAATATATATAAGAAATATGTATTGTTTTTATTATATTGCACATATATTTTATTTAATAAATATTCACTCATGAGAATATGTTAATATTTATGTTTCTTAAAGTAATTGGGATTTATAAAATTATCTAAGAATACTTATTTGTGCGAAGAATTGTATTACAATTTTCTGTTATCAATTAAAAATTATAAAAATATAGTTATAAAAAGTATATTATATTTTGTGTCTGAAATGTTTCATTATAATTATAAATGAATATTACCTAAAATGATTGTTATTATATTAACATATCAGGCAAATAATACATTCATTGACAAAAGTGACTATAGACACGTTAAATAAAAATCAATATGTTAGGCTCACTGTATGTGATCATGAATATTGATAACTACTTTCGCCATGTTATTATATGTTCAACCTTACGTGAACGTTTAATTGGAAAGAAATTAATTATTGATATATTTCACTTATTAATTTATTTACGTTATCAAATAGTAAAAATTACAAATTTTCATATTTATTTGGTTCATTTTCTATCTCAAATAATAGTTTCACACAACATTTACTTTTATTCAATCTCTTATTATTTTCTCGTTAAATAATAAAGTAAGTCATATAGTATACAAAAGAAAATAAATATAAAATCAAGAAAAAAATATATATTCTTTAATAAACTTATTCATTCAAGAGACAGTCATATTTAATTAAGTCATCAGTCCTATTTTTGATTATAAGCGTTAACTTCTTTGCTAATTACATCCAAAGCAGCTTGATTTTCTTTTGTGTTATCAGACACTTGTACAAAACTAGTGGTATCAAAACCTTTAAGATTAATTTGTTGAAGAAATTTGATTTCTACTGGGCTTAATGTTTCTCCTAAGTGTTTCAAGGCACTTAGAATTTCGGCTTTTTGCTTATCACTTGTTTCTTTATCGATTCTACCCAATTTAGAGTCTCTTTCTACGACTTCTAGTCTTTCTCTTAACTGTTTTGGTTCTTTTTTACCAAACATCCTAATAACAGCTGGAGTTTTAAAAGCTGCACTTATTGCAGCTTGAGTGGCTAATTGCATAGCTCCTAAATCATTTATTAAACTTATATTTCCTGATAACATTTTTTGAAGACTTTCATTTAATTCTTTAAGCTGTTCGATCGTGTCATTTTTGGTTTCCTCATATTCTGATGGATCTAAATCATCTCTGTAAATAAAAAATTTATTTTTAAATAAATCATAATAGCAGATCAAGATTTTTTATTAAAATATTACCGGCATTCTTCTAGATCCTCTAACTGTTTCATTAGCCTGTCTAGTTGATCTTCAAGATTTTTTTTCAAACTATCAGTTTCATCTTTACCCAGTAGACTCATGTTTGTTTAAAGTGATTTGATAAATATTTTGAAAAATGTTTTTTACTGAATATTCTTTTATTTTCAAATATCTTACAGCAATTGTCACTTACTCCATTTTGGTGTTCCTAAGTTTAATTTCGAAATAGTAAATCCCAAACAATTGTAATTTTTTTTCTCCTCACGAATTAGACGTAATCAATTGATACACAACCTGATTAAATTTATTATCATTCAATGTTCTATATTAATTATTTTACTATTTATTAACTTCAACCGCTTTAGAAACAATTTATAAGCGGTGAAGTTACGAACTAACATTGATACCAGTGATACCTTTAGGTAATTGATAAGAACTAAAGCACAAATGGTAGTTTTTATTGTATAAAATAATATTTATTTCTATGTGTACATAGGCATATATACAAATTTTTGTATATATATATTTAACTTATATGTATGTGCACCAAGAGAGTACATTGTGCATTTACTTAGATGAAAAATATTATGTCAATATAACAGTCACTTAGACGTAATTTTTTCATTTTTCATACTTTTTTCATTTGGATTGTTAATAGTTATCACTGAAAAATGTTTATTGTTGGTTTAACTGGAGGGATAGCCACGGGAAAAAGTACTGTTTGTAGTGTATTTCGTGAGCATGGAATACCTGTTATCGATGCTGATGTAGCTGCTCGAACAGGTAAATCTAACTGAATGACTATCTAATTTCAGAGAAAAAAATTAAAAATTTCTTTACATAAATAAAATTATTAATGTTAATAGATACTTGTCACGAACAATTATTTCTATTACAGTTGTCGAGCCCGGTAAGAAAGCTTGGCACAAAATAAAGAAAGAATTTGGAGATGATGTCTTTCAAAGTGACGGTCAAATTGATAGAGTTAAATTAGGAGATTTAATATTCAAAGATATAGAAAAGAGAAGAAAATTAAATGCTATTACACATCCCGAAATTTATAGAGAAATGGGCTGGCAAGCATTCAAATATTTTCTTCGAGGGTATTCATTTATTGTGATGGACCTTCCTCTGCTATTTGAGAGTGGGAAATTAGTCAAATACATGCATAAAATAATTGTTGTAACTTGGTAATTTAAAAATTTATCATTTAATTATTTTTATATTCATCGCCTTTAAATAAGCTAGTTTGATAAATATTTATACTCATTTCTTATATAATTTAAAAATATTTAATGCTCTCTAGTAGTGTGAGTGCGACCCAAAAGGTCCACACGACTAACTTCCCAGTGGAAAGAATGAAAAGATTTAGCTAGTTTATCATTTTCCCAGTTTTTTGATTTTGCTTAAAAAATTACTGGACTGATTCTACTGGAAACCTTATCAGTTTTAAGTTGCATAATTATGCGTCGAATGCAATTAATCTCACGTCAATATCATTTTTTGTTCTCGAAATAATAAAGACGAAAAATAATTCCGATTGCACGTACAAACATACACATATACGCACGTACACACACACATAGACGTTTATTGAAAAACCATCGTATTCGACTCTGGAAATTTTGAAACGTGGAGATATGTCAAAATCCGGGATTCGCACAATCGGACCCATTACTATAATCTTCCACTGGGAAGTTAAAGATCTATTTCATAAGTTAAAAATAGTATATATCATAAAATTAACATATTTACAAATAATTAGTCGTTATATTTGTTTTATTATACTTCAATATAATAATTAATTATTGAATTTATCTATCAGTGAAGAAGATCTCCAATTGCAACGTTTAATGGAAAGGTCAGGAGTATCTGAAGCCAAAGCAAAAGAAAGAATTGCCGCACAAATGCCTCAGGAAAAGAAGGTAGAAATGGCACATTTTGTAATTGATAATTCTAGTACAGAACAAGATATGAGAGAACAAACAATAAAAATAATAAATGTCTTAAAAAGTCTTAAATTTCACTGGCAAATACGCTTGATAATTGGATTTTGTTGTACAATCTTGGTAGCTGGTTCTTACTGGTTGAAGTCACGGTTCTTTAAGTCACTAATCACTGTATAAGAATGTAAAATATAATTTAAATGTTGTTAATTATTAATAAGTGGGATAGTTAGAAATAATTGGGCATTCCGGTATTTTGTGGTGAATTTTTTATTTGTATGATAAATGATCATTTGCTTATCAACTGAAGATCTATTTTTGTTAAATATTTCATATTAAAAAATAAACATTGATATTCATTTCAAATATTACTTCAAATGATTTCAATGACGCATTTTACTTTTTTTTGTTAATATTATAAATAACACGACAGTGATTTAATTGTACAAGAATAATATATAAAAATAAAGAATCAAATTATCTCGAAAAAAACCTAAACTACAGTTTTTTTATCAAATAATAATTCAAAAATATTTACTAAATAATAGTGAACTGAATTTGCTTTTTGTAATGTATAGAACTTGATGCATGTATTATAATAAAATATTTAAAACCATTAAATATTAGAAATGTGAAACAAACTTCCCTTTCCCATATTTAAAGCTTCCAAAGATCACACATCTGCGAACATATAGTTGGTTTATATAAAATATATGGTCTCCACGAGACAAACGCCTGGGTTTGTATGAGATTATAGTCACATTTATTGGTTTAAAGAAAAATATTTGATACGCTATACATTAATTGTTCAAATAATATACTATTTACAATGTACAAAAATTGTTTTATGTGAACCATTTACATGTTTTTTTTTTCTTTTAGTATTTTTTCTGATTGCTAATTTTATATACAAGTTGTCTTAACTATATTCTTGGAATATTAGTTAAAAACTAATCCATAATAGAACTATGATATTATTAGTAATATCAATAATAATTTATAATTTAATACAAATAAATATCAATTTCGGTTTGAATGCTGTTATACTTCCGTAACACGCTATGAAATATTTTTCATTAGAAAAGCCTAAAACTTTTAACCTTTTTCTAATCTAATTATTTTAGTTTAACTAAATAACAATATTAACTATAGTAATATATAAAGTTTCTCATAAGTGAGAAGTAAATTTTTCCACTTTAAATAATTGATTACACTCATTAATGAAATAAGTATTAAACTTATAAAACACAAATTTAACCGAAAAAGGTTTATTGAATAAATTATTGAAAAATATGAATAATTATCCATAACTTAACAAATTTCAGATTATTCTTCTAAAAGTTTTCATCGATTTTTCCTCTCTGGTCTCAATAAACAAATTTACTATATTATAACATAACTTGTTAATTTAGTTTAAATTTCATATGATCAATACCTATTTCTGGTTTATTGTAAAACTGGTCTGAGTTCTTGACTCATAATCGGATAAGATACTAAAGGAGCAGTAGCTCCCGATATTGATAAAGGTAAACTAGCAGGTTGCTGAGAGTTTGGTGGTTGTTGGTTTGTTGGTTGTGGTCCAGAACCACTCATGGTGATGGTTTGTTGAGCCATGGTAACAATTGGTGGTGGTATAGATACTGGTGCCATAGATACAGCAGCTATTGAGACAGGAGCAACTGTCGCAATACTTACTGGTACTGTAGCTACACTGGCAGTAACTGTTCGAAGCGTTCCAGCAGCTACAGCAGCATTAACCATCTGCTGAGGTGTCGGAGCTTGAGATGGTGGGACAGTATTTGTTATTGTTACTGCAGGGACTGTTACTGCTGTAACATTTGCTGTTCGTTTGCCGGACATTCGTAATTGTGCATTTTGGTCCAACAAAAATTCATTGGTGGCCGTTAAGTCACTAACCTGAAAAATTATTAGTATTTTAGTCATTACTGTTTCATCTAATTGATAATAATGATAGCTAAATGTTAATTTGTTATGTTTTACCTGTTTTTTCAATTCCTCTATTTTTTTTCTGAGTAATGAATTTTCATCTTCTAATACTATTGCTCTAGTATCATTTCTTGCAATCACAGGATAATAATATCCTGGAGTGAGAGGATGTGCACTGTGTTGTCCAACAATGGAAGGTGTTTCAAAGTGTACAACCGCTTCTCCGGACACTATTCGTCTTTTAGGTTCTGGAGGACCAATGTAATCTCCAGACTGTGGTGATGGTGTAAACCCATTATTCGGTAAAAGTGAATGCTGATCTTCGTACTGCCAATGCACGCTAAAAATATGAAAATAAATTCATCCATAAACATTGTAATACTTAAAACTTTACAATAACTAGTTATTAATCAAACATTAATTTGATAAATGTATTCAACTATCGTTTTATAATTTTTAAAAATATACTACTCACTTTCTATCTTCATCATAAGCTCCACGTAATCTGTTTTCACCATGATTGGATCCATTGAATGAATGTTGAGAACGCGGTGGATTAATGTGAGGAGAGGCTACATTATTATGTTGTGGTTCTTCTTTTTTATAATGTCTGAACTTGCAGTTAACTCTTTGGCAATTGCCTTTCATAAAATCTTTACAAATTGGAAAGTCACTTTTGTCTTGATTATTTTTTGCACGAAGAACGTGTGGAGGTAATTCTCCAGTCAATCTGAAATGTTTTTCTTCGCTTTCAGTGCAATGAAGAAATTTACAGCCGGGCCAATTGCACATGCCATTTTGAAAATCATGACAAAATGTATATTCTTCAACTGGACTATCTCCAGAACGTTCATGAAGATATTTACAACGTTTTCCTCGGTGACAGACGTTTCGTAAAAAATCTCTGCATACTCGATTTGGTGATGAATCACCATTTGAATTTGTACCACCTGCCATTTTGCTATCGTTAATTGATAATTGCTCAGTTTTCCTCTTCATGTGTATAACATTTTATGTTCCCTGTAAGAATACACCAAAATAAAAATAATTAATACATTTTTAAATTACTTGAATGTGTTTTACGTATTCAATTATAATAACTCATCTTTTTAAAATTATTAAAAATTTTAGTCCACCTTCGAGGGGCAGAGTGATGTTTTTTGAAAATGAGATTTTCTAAATTTGTTCAGCTTTTCTTAAAGACAAAAAAGTCAAGAAGGAAAATTGATGATTAATAAATAAAGAGAAGTGTTTTATACAACTTGATCTACCAGAAAAAAATACTAAAAAATGGTAAAAGTACTAATAGTTGGTACTGTATTAATTACAGCTGACAAGTAAATTATAAATCCATAAAAGTTTTCTCAACTAAAAACACATAATTATTCTTATTTGTATAATTCATATATGCTCTTTAAATATTAGCAACTATTGTGAAATAAATCATTGTTAAACATTAGCTGAGGATTGCAGATTATATTGAATCAAAACCAATTATGCTTATCTCTAAAGATGAGGTCAGCTAAACAAACAAATAGACGATCAATGAATATTTTTTCAAACTGAAGCTTGGCATTGAAATAAACTGCACGTGCATCTATTTTAAATGTGTAGATATTGTCAACAATGCATACTTGCTGCAAGAATAAAATTATTCATTATTGCTCAATTAGTTTGGGAAAGTCATTCTATTCAATTCATCATTGAATTAGACTTTTGTCTGAGAATCAAATATAGAAATGTTCATACGGTTTACACATACATAGAAAGATTTACGTATTTAAAAGTCTGATGGAAATCAAGTCTAATAAGCCTCTTATTTTTGCAGCGTAGGATCTTAACAATATATTCAACCATTAATTTCATCAATGGTCGTACGAAGACATATTTTTCAAAAGTTTTTGTTACCGAAAAAAAATTTATCTATAATTGATTAGCGCAAGTAATTAATAACCGAATAATTATTTAATGATTATTAATATTTATAAAGGTTAAATAAAAATGAAAGAAACGATTCAATAAATGTTATTGTTTACTTGAGTTTACTTTTATTAACTTTTGTTTTGAGAATAATTGTTACATGATTTATTATTATGAACAAAATTGTTATTTACATTGTTATTATTATTATCATCATCGTTATGTCGTTTACTATGGTTATTGAAATCTACTGAAGATTTTTATCACCTACCATTATCAAATTTTATTTTTTGTAATGAATGAATAGACTGACAATTTTAATAGGTATTATACGCAATAATCATGAAAGTTTTTAATTTTTACGAATACAAATTGACTAAGATATGTAAACATTGAAAAATGGCACTCTAGACATAACTGAAAAATTAAACAAAACTAATTGGGTAGGCCATAATGAAAAAATTATAAATGTCAAACTATTTTAAACTGTCGAAAGCAGTTTCTGTTTGTTTTCTAGTGAATTGCACCGGTATAATAAATATAAAATTTATGTGAAAAAATAATAATACTTAATAGTAAAGAATAATATTATCTTCATTATGTAGTTAATTGTTAAATTAACAAATAGTTCTAAATTACATTAATAATTTTATATAACTAGACATCGAAATATATTTTCTTGTAAATAATTGACGTAGAAAAAAGCTTTTTAAATATTAAAAAACAAAACATCTCGCTCATGTTTATAACACGCTCCATAAATTATCTTAAACTATTCCAATGGATATTTTTACATGACAATTTTTAAATATTAATTTAACATACTGACAAAGAAAATTGTCTGACATAACAAAAACTTTATAAATATGTTGTTAATAAGAATCAGTAGTTTAGTTTATATATAATACCTTAAATACTAGAATTTGTTATAATTTAATTTGGATAAAATAATTGATTTCATTTTGAATGAAAGAAACATGGTAAGAATTTTCAAAATTTCATTTTAGATTAATTTTCTTTAGTACCTATAATTCTTTTATTTACATTAATTACGTTTTCATTTGTTGAATTTTTAAATAGTAGAAAAAAATAATAATTTTAGATATGATATTAAAATTGGCAGCTTATTGAACGGTAGAATTGCTCCTGATTAAGTCTTTTATATATTTGATACAATTGAATTTATTTTTGTTAGATGCTTATTCAAGTTTTTAGATTTGTCACGATTGAAATTGTTTTTTCTCATTTAATGTAATGTATTTTAAAAAACTTCAAATTGTCATTAAATAAACACAGTTGTTTCAGTACGAGAATATTTACAATATACAAATGGATTTAGATCTTAAATTTTTTAACATAAAAATTATTTTTAATTTGCAAAAATATTATGTACAACTCGTGTGGCTGTGTCAAAAATTATTTGAATACGATTGCAATTATTTTAAAATATTTTATCTAACATCAAGCACAAAAATGCAACAAAAACGGGCACAAAGTATTGGATTGGAACACTATAACTTGTATCAAGAATATCACCACATTGTGATTTTAATGTTTCAAATTTTCTTGAAATTTCAAGTTTATCTTCACTGCACGAATTATACTGTTCCTTAACCAAAACTAATTCTTCATTAACTTCTTGCATTCGAGATTTTTCATTTTTAGTACGATAATAAATCTCCTTGAGTTTATCCAAAATAGTATCACTTGTCTCCTGTACAAGCCAATTACGTAAATCATTTAATTCCTGTTTGACAAGTTGCTGTACTTCAATATCATCATCATTATCCAAAGATTCCAAAGAAGCCATCAGTAACTGTAAAATATATTCTTTATTGTAAGAGTGTTGTAATGAACAATCACAAGTATTCTTTCCAACTGGTTTAAGTGTTTTAATAAATTCACTATTCTTCTTCTCTTTATCTTCTTCGACATGTTCATCTTCTGTGTCAGTTTTTTCATTAATCTCAAAAGAATTTTCTTCATGACTTTCTAGACTATTTTCATTAACTGAAGATGCAAAGGAAGCTGAATGATTGGAAGAATCAGCAATATCTTCATCACCCTTTTCACTAAATCCATCTGATGCTTCGTAGTGGACAAATTTGACCCGGAATTTATCTGGTTCTTGATCAGAATTCGTTAAAGAATAGTCCTCAACTGGTTTAGTTTCAATGACCGACTTTTCAGTAACATCTTCAATAGTTGTAGTGCTATATAAATCATCGTTAATTGAATTGCAAGTATTATCAGTAGTTTCTAAATTGTTATTAGAAGCTTCAGAATTTAAATCACTGGAAGATTTACCGTTAACTAATGTACGACGTGCATTCTGAGGTGGTAAAATATACTCTGAAAACATTTCATTATCATTTGATCCAGTATAATTTTCATATTCATTTTTATAATGATTTTCTTGAGAATTATTTATAAATATTTGTTGATTAGAGTCAACATCAGATTTGCAATTATTATCTTCAGTATCACCAAGATTTTCTTCTAATTTTTCAGTTTCGGCTATCATTTCATTCAAAGTATCTAAAATAGCATTAATTATTTCAATCGGATTAATGCCATCTTTAGAATCTTCTGATAATAATTTTGAATTAATATCCTGTAATGTTTGGATGTAATTTTTTAGACCAGTAATTTGTTTATGAATTTTAACTGAATCAAGTCGATTTTCGCTGATTCTACGTCGAAGAAGTTGACCAACTTTTGCATGATGATGAATTTTCTTGATCAAATCTTCTCTTTCTTGCGTGGACCATTTGACAATTTCAGCAGAACTTTCTTCTTTATCAACTAATTTAGCTTCTAACTGTGCTAAACTGTGTTGGGCAGTCATATATTTAATAGTAAGATCTTGTAACTCTGACTGGCTATGTTTAGAAATCTCATGCAAACTTTGACATTCTTCTTCTGTTTCATTCAACCGACTTTCCAAGCTAATTAATTTTTCAGTGATTTGCAATTTTTCTTGGTGAACTTTTTCTAAAGCTTCCTTGGCTGCTATTTGATACTGAGATTTTTCTTCTTCACGTTTTATTAACTCTTTTCTGATTCTATCTTCGTTGAAGTTCTTGGAGTAAACCATAAGCTGGCGTTCAGCCAATTTGATATGAGATAATAAACGATCTTCATCAATTAAAGCTTTCCAAGATTGATTGGCAGCCTTCTTTGTGTTTTCAACTAGTTTTTCTAAACAGGCTAGCTTAGAATTTAATAATTTCTCTCGTCTAGTAGCTTCTTGGAGATATTGATTCAGTTTATAGAGATCTTCAACTGTTACATCTCCAACTGGATTCGGTACAAATGTACTCTTGCTTGCTTTAGCTTCTTTCCCATCCGGTAGATAAAGTTTTAACGTTGCTATAATACATCCATGAGTTATCTTTTTCATACTTTCAACAACATCCACACCAAATTGAACAATATCTCCAGAGCAAACTTCCTTTGCTGCAGACTCCGAGCCAATAGCACTAAGTCGCTGATTATTAACAAATGTTCCATTACTACTTCTTGTGTCTTGAAGATAGAATTTTCCAGCATTATACCAAAGCAATGCATGATTTCTTGATAAAACTTTACAATCAAATATTGCATTGTTAGGTGCTGCCCTTGTTCTAGCAACAGACCTGCCTATTTTCACTGGTTGATCAAGATTTAAAGTTCTATTTTGAAATGAATGAGAGTTATCCCGACATATCAATACCCCTTTGGCGGTCATTTTGGTATTATCTGTGCCAGAGTTCAAGTTATTATCTCTTTTGGATAAATCAAAATCGGCATAATGCGTCCAATCAATGCTTGCAACAACCATAGCCACTTGACTGAAGACAGAAATTAAATTTTTATTTTTTTCGTCAGGATACTCATCAACCAATTCAATTAATAAATTATCCTGTTCTTATATTTTTTTTACTTCAACTTTTCTTCTTTTGAACAGTCTCGTTAACAATTATCATGAAAGTATGCATAAATGTCATTCAATGTGCAATCAATTTCAATTCAAATATAAAATATTTTTCGTGTTTCTTTTCAATATGAACTGTTACACAGTCTAAATAATGACAACTAGAACAAAAGAACGATTATCAACGTAGTAATTGTGCAGATGATTGCAGATTTGTAAGCAGGTATATAAAAGACACTTGATTGAGGTTAAAAATTAATTTTGTTGATTTACTCTATCAATAAAAAAAATTCATCAATTTTATGGTTTTTGAAGTATTAATTTCAGCTTCTAATTGACTACAATTGTTTTTTTGTTTTACACTAAACAGTATTTATCATGAAGATTATTATGTAGTAATATCCATGAATGTTAGAAGTTCATAATAATTTCACAGAAATTATCATAAAACTCTGTAAAAGTTTTAATATATACACAGTTGGGGCGTAGGCTTTCCGTCTTGGCATGATGATACTCAAATGATGATATAATAATGATACTAATAACAAATAAAAAAATCACAAATGCATCTATATACGCTTCTCACCAGAGAATAGGTTTTCTTCAATTCGAATTGTAATCAAATCTAAATTTCCTCTGTCTGATTGACTTGTAATATTTTTTTATGGCCACTCTATAAAAAACTATTACATGCTGTCAAGTAGTTATAAGTATCAACCTATTTTTAGTATATTCAACTAATTCATATCTTGTTGGAAGCTTTAATGATGTAGCAATATTAAAATTGTCGTTTTTGTAGTATTATAGTCGCTAAAGTATATTTTAGTTTTATTCAAGTTCCTTTTTTTTCCTCTCTCTTTCACACACGTTCAATTTCACTTTCTTATCGTCAATCTTTGCAGATTTTCTTCTGAATTTTCGTTGCTATGGTGTTAAATGAATTTAATACTCGAACGAATGAATTAAAAATGATATCAATGATGATTGATTTTTATAGACATTAATTTTTCTATTTTTTTATCACTTAAATTTTCAGAAATAGTTTTTTCCACACACACAAAGTAAAAATAATACAAAAGTGTCTAGTTAAATATATTATTTGTACAAATGGAATTAATTTTAACTGTTATCGTTTTTGATATATATAATACACGGAAAGGTGTTTACGGTGATGATATTTATCAACTATTTGACATATAATTACTGATCGAACGACAAAATCACGGACAAAATACTTGTTTTTACTGTTCAACGTTCCTTGCTGTTTCTCAATTAACGAGGTTTGTTCCTCGATGTTCCTTCCGTCTATCGACCGATGTTACGCACATATAAGACGAGTATAACACTTTCAATAGACGCCAAGAAAGAAGAGTCATACCAGTGATACATACATATATATGTAGATAAAGTTCATGTATGTACCAATAGTAAATATGTATATGAGTGTATAAATTGTGCTGCTGGTTATGTGCTACTTGACTGTTAGATTTACATTTACATGATATTTAAATCCATTTTAGTTCACTATCACATCAGCTCTTATTATAAAGATCAATGTTTGTTAGACAGACTGTATTTGAAACTGTATACTAACATTTCAAATAATTATCAATTTTATACGGAAAGTTTGTTGAGTTATTTTAAAATAACTAATTTTTAAATATAAATAAATTTTCGGTCCATGTATAAGCTATTATTAAATCAATTCATAATTTTAATGCCAAGTGAAATTTCAAACAAGTACTACGTAGGAGTAATAAGAGTATAACCTCAAAACTTTTATGAATGGATACTTCGTTACACACGATAAAATTTTAATATTTAACAATAATCATTTTGAAATATACTATTGCTTTGATTTTTGAGTTAATTAAACAATTGGTTTGCAACAATAACAAACGAGTATGAATTAAATTTTCAAATTATAAAAATTCATAGAATAAATAATATATTTTTATAATTTTTTGTAGTAAATAAACATGTCTGATGATGAAGATTATATGTCCGACAAAATACTCCAAGGTTTGGAAGAAAAATCAACACCTGGTTTAATTTATAAAACAGCAGATAAACGAAGAATACAAGCTGAAAAAAGGAAAGCTGAAATCGATGCTAAATTAAAAGAAAAATATAAATCTCCGAAAATATTGGAGCAAGATCTGAGAGAGAAAAAACTATCTTCAACTATTGATGCTGAAAATAAAGGTAAATAAATATTAAATTGTTTAAATTTATTTTCTGTAATAAATAATTATTGAAGACTGAATGGTTTGCTTTTAGGCTTCGCGATGTTAGTAAAAATGGGTTATAAACCAGGCCAAGGAATTGGAAAAAATGAATCAGGAAGAGTAGAACCTATTGGTATTAACATAAAAGCTAATCGACAAGGTCTTGGCACCATTGATAAAACCAAACCAACTAAATCAAATATTAATCCAACCGCAAAACTAGAGAATCTTAAAACAGATGACTTTCGAGATAGAATTTTTTCCAAAAAAATGCAGCAATTACTGGAAAATGATTTATATAAAAGTCAAAAAGTTTGTGAACAATTAGATAGTAACAATAATATTAAAGAACCTATTGAGTTATGGTACTGGCCTGCTAAAGAAATAGAAAAAAACATTGACGATGATGAGTCCGATGGAAATAATGAGAATGAAATCGAAAAAGATGACAAAGATGAAGTAGAATTGTTACCTAAAGATAAATTAGAAATTTTAACAGAATATTTAAGAAATAAATATTTTTATTGTATTTGGTGTGGGACAACTTATAATGATCAAGATGACCTAACCGATAATTGTCCTGGACCAACAAGAGATAGCCATTAATTGTTAATTTTAATTTAATAAAAAATTCGACTCAAATAATCATTATAATTCTAAGTAGAAACAAATGAATATTAAACTAAGATTCCATTAAAAAACAACTAATTGTATTTGACTTGAATTTTTTTATAATCATCAAAAAAGTACACCAAAAGAGCATTAAGCATACCAAATGTGTAAATACTATAAGCATAGCTTTACTCAGAAAACATTGCTAAGTAGCCAAGAGACTATTGTGATTATGGGTTGATAAACCTATAGAAACTTAGCAGGAGATTTGGTACCCCCGAAGAGAAAACTTCCACTCTCAGTAGGCAAAAATTTCCTATAAAAGCTAGCGATCTTCCTATTAAAGCATTTATATTGAAGAACAACAAGGCGTAGACCAGTAATCACAATATTTCTCTATTTTTTTGAATCAAAAAAAAAAAAATGTTCATATATATAACATTGCCTCTATTATTGTTTTTGAATATTGGAGCTACCACTAAAAACAATGATGAGAACTGCGAAACTCTTATGTCAGAAATACATATAACGAAAGGTAAGTTAATAAACTATATTAATAAATAATATGAAAATTAATCTAAAATTTAATTTAAAAAAATTTTTTAGATGAATATGATGAACTTGGAGGATTAACAAGAACTTGCAGTGATGATGTTGCAGTAACAAGATGTGAGGGTTTTTGTAACTCACAGGTTCAACCTAGTGTAATTGCAGCAACAGGATTTCTTAAGGTGACTATTGTAATAACAACGATAACAATAAGAATGATGATAAATAATACTACATGTATATGAATAAAAATCAACTTATCTTACAGGAATGTTATTGTTGTCGTGAGAATTATCTCAAAGAAAGAACAGTTAGGTTGAATCATTGTTATAATGCAGACGGAGTTAAAATTGATGAATTAAATTTAGCCACTTTGGAGATAAAAATTCGCGAGCCTGCCGAATGTAAATGTTCTAAATGTGGGGATTTTTCTCGATAAGTTTGATAAAAAATACATTATAAACTTTATTGAAACACTTTTAAATGTATTAAACAATACTCTGTAAGAAATGATATCTGAAAATAAAAAAAAAAATTAAATAAACTAATGTTCAATCCTAATTTTCATAATTAATAAAACTTGCATGACATGTACCAATCATATATACATTTCTATCACCTTTATGTTTCTACACTTAAGTAAAAATTATTAATTAATTGGTGTTCTATCAGTACATTTAAATGTATTTGAGTAAAGTATTAATAAACTTTCGATTAAAACAAAATTAGAGAATTATATTAAAATAGATTTTGATTAAATTTGGCCTAGTATTTTGTTTTATATGATTTATGTAGTAAAAGCTTTTTTTTCTATGTTAGTATAATGGAAGCAATTACAAGAATATGGTTATAACCAGCATGAAACGAAAATTCTTCATGGATACACGACTTTCCACTTAAATCTTCCTGTTTTAGAATACTTCTCCAGGAGGTGTAAGTTAAGTGGGCTACAGGACTATAAGAGAATGTGTCGTTGTAGCCATAATCACAGTATCATTTTACTGTTTTAGAAAAATGTATCAAAACATCTAATGAAGTGTCAAGTTATTTTATAATCATTCACTATTTGTAATCAATTTGGTGTTAAAATTAACTTGAGTGAAAATTTTAAAATAATTTCATAAATTTTAATAAAATAAAGAAAATTAAATCAACTCATCAAATTAAATAATGGGTACTTACAAAATAGTGATATCTAATATTCTTCTCTGCTGTTTACAATCAAGTGTCCTAGCAATTATAGGAGTTGATGAATGTCAAGTAACTCCAGTTATTCATGTACTTCAATATCCTGGTTGTATTCCGAAACCAATACCAAGTTTTGCTTGCACTGGACGCTGTAGTAGCTATTTGCAAGTAAATAATATACATACATGTTAAATGTTTCATTATTTTTACATAAAATTATTATGTCAACATAATTATATGAAGAAATGTGTACATTACATTCACTATAAACGATCATTTTTTAAACTTTGGTGCAATACTAAATAAATTCTAGTGAAATGGAGAGATATTTAATAATATTGAATTTTCCAAAATATTTATCATAAATATCATTGAAATATATTATTAAATTATGCTAAACACAATAACATACCTGTAATTCAAGGTTTCAGGATCGAAAATTTGGCAAATGGAACGAAGCTGCATGTGTTGTCAAGAGAGTGGCGAGCGCGAAGCAAGTGTATCCCTCTTTTGTCCTAAAGCTAAACCAGGAGAGCGCAAATTTCGAAAGGTTGAGAGATATTGTTCGTTTGATAATAAAATTAATTAATAACATTTTATGAATTTTTAATGTTATATGTTGTTGAATTCTTCTAAAGTTTATAACTCAAGATAATTATTTTTCATTAAAAATTCTACACATTTGTATTTGTTTACACGTTAAAAAATGATCATCTACCATAAACTTTCGTATTTCGTTTATTCGTGATTCGATTGAACTCGGTTTACTTTCTAGACTAAAAATCTGAAAGAAATAAAATATCATAAAAAAAAATGTTAGATTGCAGAAAAATAATCAATGCAATTGTCAAAAAAAATTTTAAATCTGCTTATGGCGAAAAATTAGCAGTAAATCCAAATTTTGATAGTTATTCTCTTAAAGAAAAAGTTACCGATTTGAGATAAAATTTAATGTAGTGCTGAATAGATGTCGTAAGTCATATGTTTTGTATTGATAATACATTTTTTAAAGGTTTATTTCGCGGTAAAATAATTTTTTTTTATTTTGTTACTCTTTTATAATTTCAAGATATCAAAATCAAAGATTTCATTAAAATAATATATATAATTATGTATTTTTTAGGTACTGACGAAAGCTCCTTTAGAGTGCATGTGTCGACCGTGTACAGGAATTGACGAATATGCAATTATACCACAAGAAATTGCAGGATTTTCTGAAGAAAATATTTTAACAAGTTCTGCACATTTTAGAAGATCACCAGAATTATGAAAATACTGCTAAATCACCAATAAAATATAAAATATTTATGTTTACTATAAACTTATCAATGATGATTGAAATACATTAAGCAATGATAAAATTCAAAAATCTGACGTCAAGTATTTATTTTTCATTTTCTTGTTTTTTGTAGATGGGTTCATTAATGTAGTACATACGTTTAAAAGTTTATTATGGTGTTAATTTGTTCAATCAGCAATCATTATTCTATCAGCGATATATGTATTTATACTGTTTTACATATACACAGGAAGTACTGAACATTTTTAATGAAAGTTTGAATGTTCATTTCGACGTTTCATTTTTGTATTCAATATATTGATGCAATACAGCAGCTCATTAATATTTAACTTCACAATTAGAGTTCAATACACCTTTTTCCCAGAAGTGCTGCACAATAAAATACGCGCACAAGTTTTTTTTATGTTTTCGTAGTGGAAATGTTCATAATGTAGTTTTGACCCATTAGACACTTTTTCTACAAATTTCATTATTCCCTTAGTTAGTTAATTATTATTAACCTCGATATCACTACATAACTATTATTTACAAGAGTATATTTTTATCCCCAAATATTCAATATTTCACCAAAAATCTATTATCACACACTCACACTATGTCCACATGATTATTTATTATTTTCCATTCATAAAGTATCTTAACAATCTATCATTTATTTAACAACTTTTTTTATTCATATATAAATTATTCTAATATATTCATCAAGTATATCTTATTATTATTATTGTTACTATAATTTTAATTAATTAATTGATTAATTAATTAATTACCATTATTATATTTATCATTCATATTTATAAAGATTTTCTGTGCATACCATTACATGACAGAAAATCGAAAGCATGAAAGCAAAATAAATTTCATGAACTTATTAGTCGATAAATTTTACTATAAAATGGTATTTTTCCTAGGCGAAGATGATTTTAATTTTCTTCGCTTTTATAACATTCGGTAACAAGCAAAAATAATACATATATGTATAATATGTAAAAAAAATATGTGGTATGCGTCATTCTTATTTAATTGACAAGTGAGAGAAAACAAATGAACATTGAGTGTATTTTCATCATTTCATGTGGACGGTGTTTGTATTCTGTTTATCGCCCCTCACCGCTTATAAACTTATTGAGTTCATTGGATCTCTCGTTAAATTAAAATAATAACATAAAATTATTTTTATGTTCATATGAATATTATACATTAATATTATTCAAAATCTAAGTTAGATATATTTAGTTACAAAATAAATCAAGAAGAATATACAAAAATCAAAACTACCTCAAATCTACTGAGGTCAAATTTATTTTTCGCAGACATTTGCAAGAGCAATTTTTTTATTCTGTCGTTTTTATAAGTTTTTTTTTTTTTTAATTTACAAATACGTGTCTTATTTTTATAATATTTCAAAAAAAGATGAAGAACATCATTGGTGTTTGGATTTTTTTTATATTTTGTACAATTATGAATATTAATTAATACGAAAAATGTAAGTTACGAACACGTATAACTCCATTTATTGTTAAAATTTTAGCCTTAAAAAGACTATCATAATATCTGTCACAAGTAAGATTACTTATAGATGAAATCGGCAAGTATTTTAACACCATAACATTCCTTATTGTTAATAAAAGATTATATTTTTAATCTTTTCGTAGAACTTTTTAGTATTTCGTTAATTTTCTCTAAAAAATGTATGCTGATTATTTCTTGTAATGCCTCAATTCGCGGAATAATTCTGACTCTGCTAATTTGTGTAATCAAAAAAATCTACCATTTGTACAGATTCATCGGAATATTTCATTTATTTTGAATGTTATCTAATGCATTGTTTATTTTTTATATGTTGACCGCTGATCACGCTCTAATCGATAATATATTTAAATTATTTAGAGATATATATACGCGAAATTTTAAAAAATAGTTATCCCAAATCAGGCATTATTACTGCAAACTGAAATCCTCAGACGCTTTTTTGTTTTTTATAGCTACCGCATTTTGTATTTTAGTTTTATTTTTTTTATGAAGTTCTGTAAAATAATTATACAATATACTATCTATAAGGTTACATTATACGACCTTATTCATCGAATTCATAAATAGCGTATTTGTTTTTACAATAGAGAGAATTTTTGCATTTTTCATAGTGTATTTTCCATTTTTCAACATTTATTCATCAGCATTATTACACTAGTACAAACGTAAAATAACGAATCTATCGTTGTCAGAGCGATAAATAATTAATAATACAATGATTATGTATTTATCTTAATATATAACATATGTCAAATATAATATTTATTATATTTGTTGTTTTCTGTATATTTTTTACAATTGCTCACTATTGTAAAATGATTGTATAATGTATTATTTTTAGTATAACCATACCAAATTGTATACATTCACCTTTCCACGTTTAACACTTGGTAAATTATTTTACCGAAGCTGTTCATTTGTTTTCTTTTATAGTATTACTTGTGTTCATCGTTCTCAAAACACAATTATATAACATTTTTACCTTTTAAAAAAATCAATTTAATTATGTTTGCATGCGACTTGTAATAAATTTACAAATTTCAGCACAATGGATTGATTCAACAAATCCATAAACATTCATACACTTTTGCATGCACGCACTCAGCGTAAAAACGCTGAGAATCTTTCAAAAAAATTCTTAATGACGATAAGAAAATTATTGGTAAATCGTCAATAGTAATTTTTTTTACATTTATTGTTCGTAGTTTAAAATTAGTTATAAATATCTAGAAGACATGTTTCACGATTCTTCACTAGATTCACTACGATCCTTTAGACCTTCAAAAAATGTGGCTAAGTTTGTCACCACGATGGGATGACTACGTATGACCGTAGGATCCATATAATTCTGCCAGGCCAAAAACGCTTCGTCTGAAATTGTGCTACTGTCAAAGAGGATTTGAATTATATTGCTCAGTATACCTATAACAAAAATCACAAATTGTATCCATTAGAATACTGTACATCATTTATATTGGTATTTTATTAAACATAAAAAAAATTAAATACCTTGAGGGTGGTCAAGTTTATAGTCTTGTATTTCTAATGCCAGTAGACATTGAAGTTCTAGTTGTGGCTCAGCATCGATATACCGTGTTAAAAGAGGTACAAATTTATTAAAATTATCACGAAGGAATTTATATGTCTCTTTTACCGGTTCTGAAAGAAAACACAAATTAATACTAAATAAATTTGACTGTTTAATTAAATAGCTTATAAAGTATTAAATATCGAAACTAATCCTCCTATTCATAAATTTATATGGATATATGAAGTTAGCTAATAATTAAAATATATCGAAAAAATGAGCGATTTTTTCTTTATTGGTTATTTTATTCATGCAGGAAATTTAAAAAATTACTAATTTTCATTATACATCTACGACGCGCACTTTGTATGCACTCAATTTTAGTAAATTTTACCTGTCGAAACTTCCATAATTGCAGTGACGAGAGTTTTTATAAATAATTTTTCTTTTGATTGTGGACCGACATTCGCCTAAAAAAATTATGCTTATATTAGATTACGAACACCAATATAAATTAATATCTCTATAAAAAAAAAGAAACACTTACAGTTATCCAACTTGTAATATTGTCGAAGGAACTACCACGTAATAATTTTATTAAGTGATCATGAATATCATCTATACGCTCAGCGAGAGGAATTACTTTGTCAGACATTGACATTTCAGAATTATAAGAGCCATTTATCAAAAATTCTAGCTTATATTTGCTAAAAATATTATCAATATTTTCTTGTTCTGAATCCAGCAGATCACTCCATTGTAGTCCACTTTGGTCCCATTTATCAATAACCCATTTAGGTCCTTGATCTTTAGATAATATATTAAATAATTCTCCTAGCAGTTTTCCACACGTTCCAGCAGTCTTGAGTATGTCTACAGTTTGTTTCAATTCGCTGAACGGATGAGCATTCGCCACTAACAATTCCGCTATAAAGGTTAATTAAATATTTCAAAATTAATGACAAATTATTAAGGAATAATGTTTATGATATAAAAATTTTTTATTTTCAGGCCTGTTGAGCAATCTTAATAGTCATCAATATGATTATGGTTAAATAAAAATCATCATCGAAGTATCATTAATAATTAATTATAGTCAATAAAAAATTAATTAAACTTACATAATATTTCTGCAAAGTATGCCCAACACATTGGAATATCAATGACCAACTCGTCCGCACCTTCTATAATTTGCTTATATCTAGAAAATAAATGAAAATGCAATGAAATTCAAAGTTCTGAAAATATAAGTAAAAATATGTATGTAACGAAGGTAACTTACTCTGATTGAAACAGACTGAGAGGAATAAAATTTTCGTTAATCATATGAGCAAGTAAAATTGAAAATCTTTGACGAACCACTGTTGATCGATCAAGTACAGAATTTATTGATGATCGAATAAAGAGTGGATATGTTGAGCTATCAAAGTTGTCTTGGATTTCTTCCATTGCAACCTATAATAAAATAGAAAATTTTATTTATAAGAACTATGTTAAAATTTAACCTATAATAATTAAATATAAATTGAACAATAACTTACTGTGATGAATGCCTTAGTATCTACAAATGATTTACATTCATCAAGTAGAGCCTTAATAACGTCTTCTAATTCATCTTCACTCTTTTGGCGTCTATTACTAATCGGAGTATTACTTGGCGGCATACAACTACTAATAGTAGTAGGTTTGAATTTATTCGATGGTGGTGGCATAGAAATACTTTGACTCTTTGATCCATCCATTATCGAATTTTCTCGACTTGAATTACTGCTACTGCTACCACTACCCATTGGATGACTTCCATTTCGGGAACCTCGGTTATCATTCCAAGCAGACTTATGAGTGTCGGGCTCTATTCGATATTCTCTTGGACCGGTTGATCGTGATCTAAATATGATCAAATAAATAATTATTTTAAAAAGCACAAATAAATTATTTAAAAAACCATGTTTCTTGTTAAATAAACTAACCCAGAAAGTGGTAAACACGGTGACCGTTTATCTTGTTCTGATGATATACTACTGAGAACAGCAAATTTATTTCCAGCATTAGCAACGTTCCATAAGTAATTAGATCTGTTGCCTAGCTTGATTTCATCCATTGCTGGAGGTTTCGTATTGAATTTCGAAGTTTCTACAGCGAATGGTATTCGTTTACCTACTGAGCTCCAACCATCATCTGAGTGGGGACCTCCTACAATTATAAAAATTGTTAGACATAAAAAAAAATCTTACTATGAATGATAAAAATTTTGAACATACAAATTAAATAAGACTTTAATTATATGCTCAATAATTTAAATATAAAATAAACTCACGATTTTTTCTTCTATTATCATTGTTTCGATCGTCCTTTCGAGGAGTATTCATGATCGGATTATTTAATGGATATTCGATACGCTCTGATTCAACCTCTTTTTGAATTTGATCGATTGTCTTAGGATTATTTTCCTCTCGTCGAGGAATCCAATTGTTTAATCTTAAATCGATTACATCTTGAATCATAAATCGAACCCGGGAATTAATTTTTCTGTTTTTTGTACTCACAAGCTCTTCTAGTTTTTTAAAGTAATCAGATAAATTATTTTTCTTTTCATATATTTTTCCAATCGTTGACAATAACTTGCACAGACATTCCAAATTTTCTTCATCAATACTTCGTAATAATCTTTGTATGCATTGGTCCATAATATCAGGTTTAAGCATTCTCAGCTTATAAAGTTCTCCAATGAATCGTATGTTTCCAACAGATTTCAATCTTATTCTACGATCTTCTTCTTCAAGAAGCATTTGTAATTCCTTTTTCTTGTCAGGTTCTGTACAGTCGTCAATTTCTTTCAGTTTTTTAGCTCTTTCTTCTTCATCGACTGCATTTTTTTCAAATTCTGTTTGGCAGCGAATTAAAAGTGTCTTACGGAAAGCAGCATTTTTCTCTTTTTTATCTTGTTCAGTAGCCGACAATGTAGTAGTATTAGATAGTTCGGAACACATCAAAGCATAAGCTTCTGAGAAATTGGGTTCATCAATAGCTTTCTCGAATACTAATTTAATAACACCATCTAATTTTTCTTGTGTATCGATATTTAATTCTTTCATTTGATTTACAAGCGTAGTGAATTTTTGTGGTGTTAGTTTGTTTAATATACTACGTACTTTTTTATAAAGCGTTTGTATTTTTTGGTTTTCTTCTTCTTGATTTTGCGGTTTAAGATGCGTTGGTCTCCAAGCATTTTCAGTCTCACGTAACTTTACGTCTTCACGTAGTGATAACGATACATGAATCACATTTGGTTTGATTACTTTAGATTTGCCCTGATAACTCTTTTTATTCATTGGAGGAGGCTTAAATGTTAAAAAGTAAAAAATTGTTATAAAATATGCGTCAACTGTTGAAAAATAATACTTTTAAAAAATTCTATTTATCAGTAAATTATAAGTTTTCCTCAAAAACTTTTCAGTCCACTACTTTCATCAATACCATCATCTAAATTTTCGTTATATAATATTTAATATACACAAACTAAAACTAAGAAAATATCTTACCAATTTCGAGCCGAAGGAGGATTTTGAAAATTCAGGGAAAAATTGTTCGTGTACCCTGGTGTCTTTAAAAATCCGCATACCTATGTTATTATTACGAGTTGTTTGCTAAAATGAAATTAATAAATTTTTAAACTCTCATTTAATATCGACCTAAAGAAATTTATGATTATTAATAAAAAAAATTTACTTACTCTTGAGCAATCTTTCAGTACAACTTCTAAGTCAGGTAGATTTGCAGGTCTGATTTTACATCGTGGATCGTCTTGTAGTTTCATAAGAAAATCACGATCATATTCTTTTTTGCCACTAGTATTTGTTGGACTCCATTGATAATTATTATACTTATAATTTAATTGTGGTGCTGCAGCCTTAACCACCGTTTCTATTTTATTTGGAGGCTCGTTATCATTTTGTTTTTCAATCACAGATGTATCAGTTAAATTAGTCTCATCAGTACGACGAAGATTAGCAGACACTTTAGTATTCTCTTCATTTTTTTGAGCTACAATTGCTTCAATATCAGTATCATTGACAATTGCATGATCAACAACATCATTATTCTTTTTTTCTGGCAAATTAGAAGATTTTTTACTGTCTTCAATGATTGCTGGTGAATCTTTAACTACTTTTTTCTCTAATTCTTCAACTACGGGAGCAACTATTTTTTCAGTCAATGAATTTTCAACAGGTACATCATCTTTCACAGGCGTTTCTAAAGAATTAGGAACTGTTGTCTCTACCGAAAGTGATTTAACTAATTGTTCCTGTTGACTCAGTACAGTTGGCTCTACTTTCTCAGAATTCTTTTCTTTCTTTTCAATTACTATAGCTTCAATAATTGGTGGCTGTTGTTGTTGCTGTTGTAGCTCAACATTTGGACCAGTCTTCGATGGCAAGGGTTCTTTTTCTTCTGGTTTCACTGGTTGTGGCACTGGATTTACAAAAGCATCCATATCGGTGCCTTCTTTCTCAGCACCTTTGCGATTGAGATCCCGGCCTTTAAGTTTATTTTTATTTTTTTGTTTCTGCATTGATTTGCCTATATAACAATTAAACATTATATTTAATAATTATATAAATTTAAAAGTAATTTAAGTTTAAAAAAATTTTTAACTCGCAATTTATAATGATAAAATATTTCTCTTATTACAAACTAAATTAAAAAGTGATTAATTATCAAAGTGAAACATATTTTTTCATTGAATTTTGTTGACACAAGATATAACTTAAATCAATTTAAATAAATTTGAGAATGTTGGTCTGAACTTGATATAAATTTTAAAATGTTGAATTTGATCGAATTTTAATATTGAACGCTTCATAACTTAAAACTCACTGAGCACTTCTTATCATCTTAACCGATAATTGTAAATTTAGTTTTTTTTGTGTTGATAAAATTTACCTAATAGTAAATTTACATTTAATTTTAAAAATTTATTCAACCGGTTTTTTTTTTATTATAATGATATTTTGTAATTTATGAAGGTTTTTACTTATTATTTGAAAACAAGTTCCTGTCGTTTAGGAATGTTTTTTGCTTGTTATTACTTAAATATATCTGAAAATAATTTGCAATAATGAATAACTTATTACATTCAAAAGTCATGAAATCAAATTTATCATAATTAAATATGATTTCTTAACATAAAATAGATATAACTAATTACATCAATTTATTTGACTTTTCTGGATAAAATCAGATCATTATTAAAATAAAATATTAATTGATCTAAAAATATTTTTATCTACTGTGCATAAGATACGAATTCTTTTTCATTCATGAAAGTTCTTGCTACTAAAATTAATGTTGGCACTTTTTTGAAACGTTTTTTATCAAATTAATGTTGTAATTGACTGAAAATAAAATCAAGGGGAAAGTACCATGATCCCGGGAACTTTGTCGATTACGACTTCTCGATCTTGAGTTACTGCTAGCACGTCCGCTGCCATTTTTTGTCCTCTCGCTCATTCTTACTGACCTCAAGTCACGTTCCCAGTGTTCTGTTCATGCACAAATATTCACTAAAATAGTCTTTAATGAATCTGCACTTGTATTCACTCAATATAAATTCATTCATATGCTGAATAAACGCATGATTAATATTGATAATTAATTAACACACGCGAAAAAGAAATAAAAATGGCGCAAGGTATAAGAGCATCTAGATCTTGAATTTCACGAGGTCGCAACAAACTGTACTGATTCACAATTTATTTATAAAACTATCGGGTCTTCGCCAACGTCAATGTAGTTTTGCTTTCATAAAAGCAACAATATGTGCCAATTAAAATGAACATTTATTATTTTGTCATGTACACATAGTGACAGAGAAAAAATTCAAATAAACCATGTATTTTCTTTTAGTGAAACTTATTTAAATTGAGTATGTAAAAGTACGACAAAATGATCAAGTTTGGAATTCTTGGAATTTCTTTTAAACATGTAAAAAGTCAATATATGGTAATTGAGGCCAGAATGTCTAGTATAGCAATTAAACAGTAGTCAGATTAATGAAATAAATTAATTAATCAATAAATATCATTATTATTTAAGGTGGTAAAAATAATTATTGCCAAAAAAGACGTTCAATTTGTTGGTGTTAAGTAAATATTTGTCGTCAGACATAGGACACGACAAGATATCAACGCGACTTTCACATGTCTATTTTAACTTGCAAACTGAGGCAAACCAACAGGCACTACATATAATTTCTTAAATTAGTTCCCCCAGAGTTCGAGGGCCGAGGAACCGAGCAAGCGCGTTAGAGAGAGTTATTTTTCTATAAGTGTGCATAGAAAAAATTTTTTGATGCATTTCTGATGTATCTATTTCATTGAGTTTTGAAAGTTACAACTATTAAAATATTTATGGCATAATTTTTCATGTATTATTTACTTATTAATTTTCTTTCACATTTAGTTAGCAATTGTAAGCTGATAATAATTATTATAACAAAAGAAATAAAAAACAAAAGCTCCTAAGCAAGTCAGACCACATTCTCAAATGAGCGAAAGGTGCTTGCCTCGTTTGAATATGACAAGTTCTCTTATACTGAATTAATCAACTAATCACGTGTCTGTGGCATATATTATCATTTTACTTTTAATTAATCAATACTGATTAAATTGTTTATTGAAACAGTAGTTAATTCATTAAAATTTATCACTAATTTGTTAATAATATTAAAAAATCGAAAAATATTTAATTAACTCACTGTCAGATGCCTTTTGTTGAACATCATTTTTAGCTCCAGATTCCATTTCTGTTTTGTCTTCAATTCCATCCTCATTAGATTTATGATGATAAGTGGGTTGTTGTTCGTTTTGGTTCGGAATCGTAGACGATGCAACTTTATTTGAAGTATTAAGAGTCTTATCATTAATTTTTTTATCCTTAATAGAATCTTTATTCGTTGCTGGAACATCAGAAACTGAAGAATTATTAGCTGCAGTAACTACACTAATATTCGCTGATGGTTGCTGGGGCTGTTGATAGTGATTATGAGATTTCCGTCGTGGTGGTGAATTTGATGAAGTTTTCACATTCTGAGTGTGGTCACGATTAGAAAAGAGCACTGGTGAACCATTAGCTGGTTGCGAATTATCAGTTATAGCACTGGGTCCTTGAGAATCAGTTGGTGACACATTTTTTGACTCTGTGTCAGGTATAAAACCACTAGGCGTTGACAATGATGATGGCGACTGAATGGTCGAATTATTTTCTTTATTAGAAATAGTAGAGTTGGATAATAAAGTTGGTTCTTCAACAGAAGGCTTTGAATCTTTGCTAGAGGTTGATTGGGTTTTAGAGTTCCTTATACTTTGATTATTTGCACTGGATTGTGTAGACGATTGTTGATTATGTTGGACATTACTGGCCGATGAACTTGTAGTCGTAGCCGAATCTCCGTTTGCTGCCTTGGCAACTAGCGATGCGAATTGTGCAACTATCGCATGATTCTTAACAAAATTAATAAAAAAAAAACATTATTATTCAACTCGTTTATAGGTTCAAATCATTTAATAATTACAGAAAATTATAATATACTCATGAAAGTTTTACAAAAAAAAACTGTTTCAAAATTGGTTTCTAAATATTTACCTGTAGTTGAGAAGAATCTTTACTATTCGAGTCTTCACTTGGGGAAGCGGCAGCATGTCTAGAGTTCCTTATACTTTGATTGTTTGCACTGGATTGTGTAGACGATTGTTGATTATGTTGGACATTACTAGCCGATGAACTTGTAGTCGTATCCGAATCTCCGTTTGCTGCCTTGGCAACTAGCGATGCGAATTGTGCAACTATCGCATGATTCTTAACAAAATTAATAAAAAAAACATTATTATTTAACTTGTTTATGGGTTTAAATCATTTAATAATTACAAAAAATTATAATATACTCATGAAAGTTTTACAAAAAAAAACTGTTTCAAAATTGGTTTCTAAATATTTACCTGTGGTTGAGAAGTATCTTTACTATTCGAGTCTTCACTTGGGGAAGCGGCAGCATGTCTAGAGTTCCTTATACTTTGATTGTTTGCACTGGATTGTGTAGACGATTGTTGATTATTTTGGACATTATTGGCCGATGAACTTGTATTCGTATCCAAATCTTCGTTTGCTGCCTTGGCAACTAGCGATGCGAATTGTGCAATTATCGCATGATTCTTAACAAAATTAATAAAAAAAAAACATTATTATTTAACTTGTTTATGGGTTTAAATCATTTAATAATTACAAAAAATTATAATATACTCATGAAAGTTTTACAAAAAAAAATTCTTTCAAAATTGGTTTCTAAATATTTACCTGTGGTTGATTAGTATCTTTACTATTTGAGTCTTCACTTGGAGAAGCGGCAGCATTTCTATAAATGTCTTCAGCAACATTTTTGCCTGTAGTTGGATCAACGATATCCATCAATGCGCAAGGTCTTGCTGTTACTTTTTGATACGTAGGATTTATTGAATTTATCGTACCAGTACTATGTCCAGTATAAGCTAAAATCATTTTTTACATTAATTATATGTAATTAAATATTGCGTTTATTGCTCTCATAGAAAGTGAAAGTTCATATTTATGAATATAAATTAATCGATTTAAGAAGTTTACCTGTTGGGGTAAGCGATATCGCCATTTGAGGTATTGTTTGTGGCTGCTGTGACGGTTGTTGAAGCGTACCTTGTGGAACTCCAGCAGTTCCTTGGGCTCCGGCCAGCGGACCCCCTATATGTTGACCGCCTCCACTCATTGTATTAGTATTTGTCCTACTCAAGTTCATCGCAGTATTTTGTGGATGATGAGGAGGATAACAATCTAGAATGTATTGGTTTTATTTATAAAATATTTATACAAAACAAATTTCCTATATTTCAACTTTTTTTTTCAAACAAAGTATGATATTGTACATAAATGATAATAGAAATTTGAGTGAAAGCTGATTTTGAAATAAATTACTCACATTGAAATTGCGCTGTAGGCCCGGGTGTGTATGGGAATATATTTGGTTGTATCAGTGCATGTGCTGGAAAACTAGTGAAAAACTGTTGACCTTGATGCGCTTGATGTCTGTGTTGTTGAAACTATACACAAACAAATACATAATTATTGAATTTATTCAAAGGTGTCTAATATTAACTTATATTGTATGGAGAAAATAATTCATAGGCTAAACGAATTTGGTACGTACTGCAATTTGTGACATTTGATTGTTCACAGAATACATAGTTGTATGATGACCTGTGTGGATACTAGGAACTTGACCAGGAACAAGCATCGGTGTTCCTGGTACATTTATGTTACCATGATGTGAATATAGAGTAGGTGGTTGTCCAGCACCTCCCGCAACACCGGGCATACTAACTACATGAGAAGCGCCACTTCCTTGACTATTTCTATGACCTGAGTTTCGAGATTGTACCGGTCTAGTAGCCATTGGAAAAAATCCCTAAAATAAAATTTCATTAGAATCTAATTCATTTTCCATCTTAACTTCTGTTTTACTTTTGCCATTCAATCTTCTTTTCATATTATTACTTTCAATCAAAACAGTTTTCATAGATGTCTATTTAATCTTTTATGAGACTCACCTGCTGAACTGCTCTTGACTGATTAGTAACATAAGATTGTTGTAGAGAAGCTGATTGTGACGGATGATGAATTTGTTTTCCCATTTCTTGGGGTGATGGTGTGTGTACTGGAGGTGTTGTCGTAACTGGTGGGCCTTGTGGCTGTTGTTGTTGAACTCCAGGAGTTGGTGTTTGAGCCGGTGGTTGTTGGGCTCCAGCAGGTCCACCAGATTGTAACCCTGGTGTTGTTTGTCCTAGCGACTGTATACCACTTAGTGATGGCGGTCCTCTTCCCCCTGATACCCCTAAACTACTTGCACCACCACCCACCTGCCCCCCTGGTTGGGCGCCGTAACTTTGTCCTGGCACATGAAAATCAGAACCTAAAACAGATATTAATGTTTCATTTAATTTAGTATTTTTAAACAAATTCCTAATAATTACTGATCAATTTTTTGGACGTACATAAGGTTGAGAATTTTTTTTTTAAGAATCTTCAATCATTTAAAAACAATGAAGTGCGGAAATCTGAGAATTATTCTTATTATCTGAAAAATCTTAACGATGAATCAAAATTTTTTAGATAAGATAATTAATAACAATGTGATACTACCAAAAGTTACTTATTGGACCAATAAAGTTTAATAAGTAGTCATATATTAAATATTAAAATTGAAAGTCAAAAATTATATAAATATTTTTAGAAAGAGTTAATTTTTTGATATAATACTTGATGCGTTTTTAGATACAATTAAAGATGAACTTTTTAAAGTTGTTTTATACGATGTAATTGAAATATTTGAATAAATTTAGAAATATAATTTTATATTGAAATTATAAACTATCTATTATATGAATAATTGTAAATGGTTAATCGACTAACAATGAAGTTAGAAAATTTGTTAGAAGATAAAATCTTCAATACATTAAGAAAATTGCTAACATATAAGCCACGTCACTTTACCTCACATTAAGTGTCGTAACGTATGTTACTCTACAAAATGTAAATTTTTAATTTAATCTAGAGAAGAAATACACAGAAAGTTTAGTTATAGCCACTACAAAAACAGTATCAAATTTACAATAAGAGATTGGAAACAAATTTTAATTTGCACTAATATGATTATTTTATAAAATGGTTTTTTTCCAATTTCATTTTCATGGATTTTTAAATGACTTATCTCTAGAATAGGTTAAGCATTAGGTACATGGTATTTTAACACAAAATACTTATAGGACTTACTCAATTAGACTGTGTTTGCATACACAGAATTTTTCCTAATTTTTGGAGTAGATTTTGATTTTTCTTTTTATTTTATATTATTTTTTTCATCATTGCTTTCACTCTGATGAAACTATCATCACTTTCATTTCCTACCATTCGTTTTTACATGAAAATTATTAGTTAATAAATGACTATTTTTTAGTATAATACCAAAATTTTTATGCTAAATTAATTAGATATATATAATAATAAAAATATAAATATAGTTTATAAAATATAAACACTACAAAATACGAAATCAATCAATTTTCACAAAATATATTCCACATAGAAAATTCCGAGTAGCCATGTTTGTACAACATGGAGAAAGAATTGAGTGCTGCTATCTGGAGACAGACAGATGTAATTGCTATAGCAACAAATAGATTGACCAAGGTATTTTGTACTAGTTCTAGCTAAATAAATTTTTCAAGCTTATATACAGTGTATGCTTACATTTAAAATTAACTTCTCAATAAAATTTACTCCGTTTAATTAAATAATTTTAAACAGGATTTTTTGAATATTTCATCATTAAGTTTACAAATATTTTTTAAAATATTGTAAATGTTATTAATAAATTAGAACAATCAACCAATGAATAAAAAATTTAAAAAAAAGTACCAAGGAATGATAGAAAATTATTTTGTTACACGCATTACCAGCAATAATTCGATATTGAGGTGATTGTTGACTTTGATGCTGTGACTGTTGTTGAACGTGATTTATCTGTCTCAAATGTTGTTGAGGACTAAGTGACTGAGGCGGTATCAAAGACTGGTGGTTATGGGGATGAATATGATTGTGGTTTGGCGGATTATTTGGTGGATGAGTTGAAAAATGAGCTGGACCACCAGCACCTCCGCCACAATGAGGTAAAAAGCAATGCATTGGCCCAATGCTGACAGCTACACCAATCGTACCATCCTTAGCTACTCCGTATCTTGATACCATTATTGCGAAATCCCTTTATCTTTATTTACTTATAATTCTTTTCTCTTCTTCTTTTATTTATGTTATTTTTACACTAATTTAATGTGCTGATTTTTTTCTTGATTTTTTATCAATTTTATAATTTTTTCACGTCATTATTTTTCTTATAAAAATCGATGTAAGTATTATCAGATTATTATTTATGTTCAATTCTATTTATTGCATACAACCCTTATTTTCATTGGTTTAAATTTCGACAGTTCTATTGTCAGAGAAATATCGACTCCCAGGATCGATATAAAACAATTGCCACTCTGACCAATAGATATCGATTGATTCCTCTTGTCTAGTATTTGCATTTCTTCTAATTACTGTTTTTTAATAATTAAAAAATTAATCACATTACAGAGCACATCACAGCCTAAAATTACTTTTGAATGATAAGCAATCATAATCATAATTACACTTTTATAATTAATTTTTAAATCAATAAAACTGTTAATTTTCAGTTTTTCTTGAATTCATTATCTATCCACTATTCTTCGTTTTAATTTTATTATTTAATTATATGTAATCTCCTTTCTTCCAATTGATTAATTATTACTAATTGTAATCACTAATATCCACATTTTTAATGATTCTCTAAACATTTATTAATACTATGCCGAGAAAAATATCAAAAACTTCCGAATATTATCAAGGAATAGTTGCTAAAATATAAAATCAAACTAAATAGGTAATGTTGCACTAAATCGATGAAATCTTCAGAACACAAAACTCGTCTGCCAAGGGTTTCGTTGAACCAAAAAATCCCAACTTATATTCATGATAATTCACTAATAATCTAAACTGTTCAATCACTCAGTATTATCAAGTTCAAAACTTATAAAATAATAAACACTTTGTGAACGAAAATTTTCGTATCTTCATCATTTTCATGTGGTGCATCAAATCGCCGCAACACTCGTATCGCTGAACGTCAATTGCTCCCTTCCTCTTTGTAATTCTCAGTTGCTGTTCTTTCACACCAGTAATGTGCGCGCGCACATCTTCTTTCCTTTTCTAGTTCACTACCATCGCTGTACAACAGTATATATTATAACTAAAAGCATCTATAGTGACTAGACGGTGCCCATGTGTTATGTCTAGTGTTATCCAGTACCGGCTGACGTAGGTCAGAGATCTTTTAGTTTTGTTCACATTTTTTGCACCATTTTTTTCTTAAAATTCTTTTATTTCTCAACCATTAATCACGCATTCTATTCTATTTTATTATTTATTTTAAGTGAAACTAAGTATAGAAATTCTTTTTTATTCATCAAAAAATATTTTTTCTGATTACCTACATTTGTCAACGTCCAAGTTAAAGCAAAAATTAATCAACTTAATACGGTGGTGATGCAGAGAACTTGCGCAGTAACAACTTAAAACTAGATAAGTGTCTACATATATTCATCATTCTTTTATATTTATTCTTTTTCTTAATTTAATTATTTCTTACTATATTCCAATTAGAGAAGTTATTTTTGCTGGATCAATAAATATGTCTGAGAGTGTACTTATAAAAATGACCTAAGACAATGTTTGGGGCGTTGTCATGGTCGTAATTCAGAGGAAACCAATGTATCATAAAAATTAGTCGAAAGTACAATACAACAATCATAAATGAATAAATATAATGGTATGTATACTACTGAGTATTTATTATGTTTTATTAATTGTGATTGACTGATCTAATTTTTAGGTTTTAATTCTTCAGCTGGAATTAGCGGATAACCTACTTCTAACGAAGTACCAGAATGAGTGCACTAAAGTGTAGACGAATCGATAACATATGGCGTCTTTTCAATACATTCATTGCTTAAAAAAATATGATTTTTTTCATTCAAAACCGAGATTAATAAGTCTGCAAACTGGAGAAATTGTTCTGCATGACCTAGTTGAAGAAAACCATTATAGATAAATATAAAAAATATTGTAACTATATATTATACACGGAATTGCCTTCTCCAGTTGCAAAATAAAAACATGTAGAGTGTAAAATAATATTGAAGTATCAAATGAATACTTGATACTCCAATTCACGAAAATTGAAAGAATAATATTTCATATAAACTTCTACATGAATTTTAATCTTCATATTAATGTAATTATTAATTAATTCGAGTAATCAATTGAAAATGTATATTTTTTACTGAAAATAATAATCAATTGTTAAGTTTTTATAATAAATTGCTCCAAAATATTAGCATGATGATGAATTAATTTAAACAACGATATTGATCATTACAATTTTTTAAAGTTTTAAATTAAGTATTTTGTCCCGCTATATTGTAAAAAAAATGTACTTGAGAGACATCTATATGGCATTGCATCCGGCTGTAACTATCAAATAAAATTGCATGCTCGATACATATAGTCGGACTGAGAAGAGAGTTCCTCAGATGTTCTTCATGTGTTCTTGTACGCTTGCGCAGTAGTAAAAAACATGGTAGAAGGGGTAGAAAATCAGTGGTGGGGAGCCCGAAAGCATTGAAGCAACTGAGGAACTCTCTTCTCAGTCCGACTATAATCATAAGAAATAAGTCATCACGCCTATTGTATTCATGTGATGAGTAGATTAAAAAATTATTAATTTGTAGAAATTAAAAAATCATTCTCTCTGCAACTTGAATATTACTAGAAAGTCAATGACTCCGTTACACAGACAATAAAAATATATATAATTATCAAAAGAAAAATATGTATCAAAATAATTGGAGCTTAACAATTTATTACAATCGTCGAAACTAATTTGATCATATTGTGCACTCACCTACTACTGTGGACATGTCACTTTCCTAGAAGCTTGTGAAACTGAATGTTACCATGTACTAGACAGATTTTTCAAATTGTTCCCAATTAGGGGATGGTAATTACGCTATATTACGCGTAAAAATTAATAAATATCATGATTTCACAATATTTTACGCGGCGATTTAAACCTTTTTCTTGTATATTAATAATGTGGTTAAAATTTCTTCTTCATAAGAATGCGCGCAGCTATTCCACTTAATAAGCACGTGCTCGGCACTCGTGGCCAATTACTTTTAAACTAAACTTCACACGTCATGTATAATTAATACTTGAATTATTTTATCAATATAATATTTATTATTTACACACAATTAAATGTTCAAAGTTTATAAGAACATGTTGGATTGCAAGATAGTGTATCAACTAATCCACAGTTATGTTGATGAAATTATATAACCTCACTTTGTGATGCGTGGACGAAAGTGAAAAGGAAATAGAAGGTCGATATGGTCGATAATGTCACCAAATAACTTGACCGGTATAGTAGAATCTGGGAATTTGTCCTGTTGTTTGGCACACGTTGCAAGACTAACTACTACTTGAGAAAAACTGAGAGAGACAGAGTGAGAGAAAACTATTTATCCATAAACATATTGTTAAATTATATTTTAAAATCTTTAATATTTTATGTCTTTCTTTTTCTTCGACAGTATTATTTTCAATAAATCATCTCAATGATCATGAGTCAACATAATTTTTGAATTGTCAATAATTTGAATTTATTTCTTGCATTTATCACTCATCAAACATATGTACGCCTTACGATAATCGATCTTTTTATATACCAGTCTTTTGTATATTTCTCTAAAAATATATTCAGTAACCGGGTATTTATATCCAGTATGTTCTTAATTCAAATAATAATAAAAAAATAATTTAATTGTAAATACTTCAATATTTTTTATCAATATATTTGTGTTCACTATTGTTTATAAGATGTCTTTTTATATTGTTACTTCAACACAAAGTGTACCTGTACAAACATTGTGATAATTAAATTGACGTGTATGTGAAAGATAAACTCACAATAAAAAAGCCCGTTTCACGATATAACAATCATGAGTACAACGTGTATGACGTGTGGCTCGATTGCCACATGTACGACTATGTTCTGATGAATAAACGATTGCTTTTAGAAATTCGGCTACTCTCGACGTTCTTCGGTATTTTACGTCGTTACTGTTGCACATTCGTACTATCTTTTTTTTACTACGTTTGTTAAATAAATTTTATTATCAATTTTACTTCAAAAAACCATTTTCATTAGCTATCAAGACTATTATCCTTCTATTTATTTCTATTCTTTTTCAACATGTCATTGTAATACTTCTACAAGAGTTAAACGAATAATAACAAATACGCGATTATTTTACATGAAAACGTTGATATGAGTAATGAACATGCTTTCCTAGCAGGTGGAATGGAATTTACCACGCGGACAAGGCAACTTAACCTCAAAATGAGAACTTTTTGAAATAAATATCGAGAAAATGGTTAAATTAAAGAAATATATATGCAAGTTAATTTTTAAATATAAAAATTTAAAAATATATAATATGTATGCTAAAAATTTTTTTAAAATAAATGCAATGTGAATATAAGTAATACGATTAGATACGACTTTGGAAGGTTTAGTTCATGGCTTTTGAACTATACCAATTTAGCATACAGCTGCACTCTAGTAAATCTTTGCATGTAATAATAAGGATGGCGTTTGATTAACACTTTGTTAAATAAAAACCAATTATAATTCGTGGATATTTTTAGTCGATAAAACATTATGAGTTAACCAAGAATACCGAATATTTTATAAATTTACTTATTTTTATCAGCATAAAACATTTTTCTTCCATAATTAAAAACAACCGAATTATTAATTCGTTCGATTGTCATTCTATATGAATGTTAAATAAAAATACGAAACTTTATTTATAATCCTAGGTAAATTTGTTGGAGTTTAGTTTATGAATATAAGCAATATTATGCTGTAATATTCTGTAGTAAAAAAAAATTACGAAAAAATCGAAAATGAATTAACATACCTTTACGTAATTCATCAAAACTAATATTAATTGTTAATCAATGATTAAAATTACACAAAAATGTGTACCATTATCAAATTAATCTTTACTCTTATAAACTAAACAGTAACCAAGGAAACTAACTAATTCGATAAACATTTTTTTGTAATCATAAATCTAGCGTTCTCATATACATTTTTACAGAAATTATTTAATGTGATGTATGTACGTAAAAATGTTTGGAATCTAACCTCACTAATAACTGGTCTTCTTTGAGGTCATGATGTTTATAGAATATTTATTATATGATAACGATTCATATTAAATAATTAAATACATAATTGAATACTTACTGGCATGAGCAACGTATCTCGTTGCCGCAACTGCGTTATATTGTGGAACTCCAGAAATGCCAGACTGATTAACATTAACAAGATGCTGTTGTTGTGGAGCTTGAGACTGCGGCTGATGATGATGATGAGATAAATGATGATGCTTCTGTTTGGCAGGCATGCTGCTTATCGGAAGCTCAATCTGCCTTTCGAGCTTTCCTCTACGTACAAACCTTTACTTTTGTCGTTTCTTTCGGTCCACATAGAGATTTCAGTCTTTGATACACTGACCAACTAAAGGCCTGAATAAAATATACGCAATGCACGTTTTGGCGATAGCACAAACACTTTTCAAAATAAATAAAAAAAATCGGCTATCAATTTTCTATTTCTTTCCATTAATAGCACCCAAAATTCATATTTATAATATCACTAATGATTAAATTAATTAATTTTCGTTTTTACCTCACTGCTTATGCAAAGTTGCACATATTTTGAGGCTCATGTGCCTGCAGGCATTATAGATATACGTTAGCTAACCGTGCCCCGTCTCTGGCTTCGTTTTGCGGACTTTTTCCCGTTTATTCACCGTAAATCTTATCCATTCAAAGCACTCTCAAATTACTTTGTTTCAAATAAATTATCTTTAATTTATTGAAACAAAGTAGTGTATTTTATATATAAAATGTCAATTAAGTACTTCTTCTTTAACGAATATAAAAATACGCAAGTATGAAAGAAAATGTAGAGGTATAGAATTGTGAATTGTATTACTACGTGACGAATAGCACAACACAGATTATATTCAGAAAGTACTATTGCAATTTAGGGTACGTCTTGTAGTGTTGCCAAGGTTGCCAACAAGATCTACATGATGTTATTTCAACGCTAAGACGAGCAAAAACTGGTGGTGCAATTGCCAAACACAAATCTTGACAAAACTATTGTTGTTTGCACGGCCATTTTCGGCAGTTTCGTCGGTATAGTAGTTCCGCCGTGGCAATTGAAGCGGGATTTTTTAAAAATATTTACATAAAAATGAGTTAATAAGACAATCTTATAATATTTACACAAGTATTTGCAAAAAATTTTCAACGATTGTTATAAAATATAATATGTTTCATAATTTAGTTATAATTTATTTATGATTTTCTGATAATTGGCCAATTTTATAAAAAAAGTTCATATTCATTAAACAAGATTTAAAAAAAAAAATTAACAATACTTCAAGTATTTTTTAACAACATAATATAGGGAATATTAAATATAAATGATAAAAATAGATCGAATAGGATATTAATTAAATACTTATGTATTTTGATAAGGAACTTATCAAAATAAAATAAAATCAACAGTAAAGTGATGTAGTTAAATAAGATATGCATTTTACAAAGCAATAACTTACATAAAATTCATCTTTTTATGAAATTAATCAAATATTTAACAATTGACTTTAATAATTGTAGTCAATTCACAAAAGCGTTGAAGTGTTATCTGAATATCCTCCTTTTTCATTCAGTATTGGTTAATATAAACAAAAAATATCCGTTAATTTATTAGTGAATATCGGAGGAAATAAGCAATATCATATACACTACTTTATGAATAAATTGATACATTTCTCTGTTTAATCAAAATTATATATAAAAATGATAATGCCACGGGTTTTGTAAGTCACAATGCATGAATAATATAATTCGTACCGCATGTGTTAAATAGATCAAATTCGAACAGTTCATTCATTAGCACTTGTTATTCTCATTTTTTGTTATTCACATTAGAAATTAATAACTAGTGTTGACGTTGAATAAATTTATCAGTATTTAAAACATTTAATTTAAATTTAAATAAACATTCTTCAATGGAGTTGCATAACTTACGAAAAAATAAATTCTATGCCTTATTTTTATTTATAAATAAAATAAAATTAATATAATATTTATATATATATGACGTGATGAAAAAAATGCACAATTATTCTCGAATTGAGATAATATTTTAGACAAAGTTCGTGTTTTCAATTTTGTGTATTGTACACTTAAAATATTAAAATTTTTGTTAAATTAAATTTTTGATCAGTCGCTGAAACAAAAAAAACAATTTTGATTAGTTAAGAAGCTCAAAATTTCGATTGCATGCAAATTGCAATAAACTATTGTTAATATACACCATAAAAAATATGATTAATTTATAATTGTACAGATGAAAATACTAATGAAATCAACAATTATTTTATTTATTACATGAAATGACAAATAAAGGTTCATATATGTTATATAACTTATAAATCATAAGATAAATTAATAAGTTATAATCAATAAAAAAAAATAATTTACCTATCGCTATTGTCAGTGGTAGTAGCTTCCTCACTATCATCCATATCAAGTTCTCCTTGTATTGCACTTTGAAGATCATCAATTCGTTGTAATGCGAGTCTTAAATCATCCCTGACAGATTTAGTTTCAGCTTCAGCAGCTTCAAGAGCTTTTTCAAGATCTCTACGAATTCGCGTTGCTTCTTGTTCTCTTGCGGTTGCACAACTAGCTTCGTCCTTAACTTCTCGTAAAGATCGTTGCAATCTTCGTGCTGTGTCCTGTGCTGTTTGTTCTTTAGTTCTTAATAGTGCTGCCTCTGTTTGCAATTTATCTACATTCTCTTTTAGACGTGTAATTTGTGTCTCTAGACGTGCCCTAGTTGTTTGTTCTAATTCTAATTTACTTTCGAGTTCTTTAACGCGGAATTCAAGACGTCGAGTCACGAGATTAGTAGCTGTTGGATCTCCAAGTTGTTCAACAGACTCGAGTCGTTGACTAAGTTCTAACAGTTGATCTTTAAGAGATGATTTTTCTGCTTCTAACGCAGCAATTTGCACCTGAGCGTCTTGCAGTTCTGCTTGTTCATTAGACACCTGTTGAACTGTAGCACGATATTTTTTTAATACTTCTGCAAGTTCCTCTTCATTTTCTTCTAATTGTGATAAAAGTTCAGTCCTCTCACGGTTAGCAACATTAGCTCGATCTTCAGCGTCTGATTTAGCTTTAGAAACTTCATCAAATGCAGCTTGTAATTCATTTAATTCTTGTTCCAAAGCTTGTTTTGCTTTAACTGCAACTGCTTGTGCACACTCAGCATCTTCTAGTTGATTTTTTAATTGCCGTAAAGCTGCCTTCGTTGCTGCATCGCTTTTAGATCTCTCCAACATGGTCTGAGCATCTCGAAGAAGAGCTTTAGTTCTTCTAAGGTCTCGTTTAAGTCTTTGTGTAAGATCAGCTTCTGCAGCACGGTCAGATCTTTCTTGTTCTTCAAATGCAACTAATCTCCGTTCTAATTCATGTTTTTCACGAAGTAGAATAGTTCTTTCTTCATGTTCATTTTCTAGCTGAGCCTCTAAAGCTTTGACTTTCTTGTGAGCATTACCACGAATATCTTCAAGTTCATCGTCTTTTTGTTGAATTTCTTTTTTCATTATTTTACGTTGTTGCTCAATACTCATTTCTAGTCGTAATTTAGCTTGTTCTAATAATTGAACTTGACCAGCTAAATCATCTAACTCTTCTTCTTGGTCTTTACATCGTTTTTCCAATTCATGTTTAGCTTTCTTTAGCTGCATCACTTCTTCTTCAGTTTTTCCACCATAAGTTAATTCTTCAAGTTCATTACTCAATGTATTGAGTCTTTCCTCTTGCAATTCAATTTCCAATCGTGCATCCTATCATTATTAAAATTATTCATTAATACAAACGAAAGCGATTAAATTTATTTTAAAAAAATTTTCTAAACACTTACGCTTAAATTTTGTTCAATAGTAAACTTTTCTGCAATTGCAACTTCTTTTTCTCTTATTAATCTTTCTTTTTGGGCCTTTTCTTGCCTCAAGTCATCCATTAGATTTTGAGTTTCTGAATCAAATCTATAAAAATATTACAATTTAATATAAATACATAAATTTCATATTCTTAGCCTTGAATTTATTTTAATTTCAAATTTCGGATAACATCTACAACGTTAATGGAGTTTTGTAATAACTACATAAAAATATAAATAACAAGTAAACTAAAAATAACTTACTTCCGTTGCTTCTTCTCTAAAAGATTGTTTCTTGCAGTTTGCTCTTCTAAAAGAATTCTAAGGTCATGCATCTCACCATTAAGTTTTTGAACTCGTCGTTTCCATTGGTTTACTACTTGACGTTGCTCCTCAACTTCCTCATACGCATCAGCTAGCTATAAATATAAAAATAAACCAAGTAAAAAAAATTATCATTACAATGAAAATATTTTCATTAAATATGAGTACAGTAAAATATTTCACTACCTTTTTCTCTAGTTGTTTTTTCAATCCGACAAGTTGTTCTAAATCATCTTCATGTTGTTGAGCCATTTTTCTTTTAGTAAATTCAAGCTCACGTATTGCATGTTCATATCGTTGTTTATAAATACCCCCATCTTCATTATCCTCACCATCAGAAGTAATTTGATTCAAATCTGCAGCTCTGGCATATAATAGTTCCATTTCCAGTCTTTCTGCAGTCTGTTGCAGATTTTTATTTGTCTCTTGAACATCTTGAAGTTCACGTTCCAAACGCAAGCGTTCAGAAGTTTCAGCGTCTATTCTTTCAGCAGCTAAAGTTGACGTTGAATGCTCCTCTGCATAATCAGCAGTTAAAACGCTTAACTAAAAAATAATAATATTATTAAACATTCATTTAGTATTAATATTTTGCATAAAAGTATAAAAATTATTATAATCAATTGTCGATTCTTAATTCTACTTGAAATTAACTACCTCATCATCATATTCTGAAAGAGTTCTATCCTCCGATTTCATAGATCGTGATACAGTATTTGATCTAGTTGTTCTCGCTACACTATTAGCTCGACTTAAGTATTGAAATCCTTTGATCAGAATGTTAGTTGCGCTTTTGCTTTTACCAAGTGATTTACTTTTATCATGTGGCATTGTCAATCGGTCTAAATCGTCATTATTACTCGAACGTCCAAGTCGTTTCCATTCTTCCATAATATGATCAGTTCGTTGAAGAAATTCCGAAATTTTCGATGACAAAAGTGAAGATGCTGTATCAGGTTGTAAATGTGAAGCAGTAGGTTTATAAGATTGTCGAACTTTTTGTTTTTCTATTCCCAAAATGAAATTCAAACTCGCGTCAATAACAACAGGAGCTTGTTCTTTTTTTTGTAATTCTCTACTAAAATTAATCTCTTGAGGTACATTTTCTTGTGGAAAAATTCTTCTAGGTGTTGGTGATTTTTGATAATTTGATGAAAAAATAGAATCACTTCGAAGAGATGATGATCTTGATAGATTGCTGATTGTTGATAGATACGAAGTGGAGCCATGTGATTTAGAGCTTAATAAACTTGGTGAAGGACTTTTGGAGAAAGTAATGGCATTATTTGGTGTTTTTATAAGAGGGATTCTGTTAGATAAGCTCGAATTGAATTGGTTTGGCGGTAAAGGTGGCCTTTTGGCCAATCCATTACTTATTAATTTTATAGGTTTTGATGTTTCCAGCGGCAATTGAGAATTTGAAAATATATTTTCATTAATAGAATCATCGTTGAGTGATATAAAGCCAGAAGACTTTGAGATATTACCAGACATATTATTTTTATTTAATAGATAAATTTTTTTTCCAATCCATCGAAACTGATGTATTGATTTAATTTTATTAATTTTTAATTTTTAATTCAATTATTTTTCCATGTTTTATCACATTTCCTACTCACAAACACTTTTTTTTAATTCTACTTCACGTCTGAGCTTATTGCATAACCATTGAAGATGTAGAAGAATGAAAAGTGACCAAATTACTGCTGATGTTCGAATCTGGATGCAACGACAAAGACACAGGTAACGTCAACGACTAGTACGATGAGCTCTGATCATTTTCAAGTTATTCTAAGAAAAAGAGTGGGGAGTATAGGAAAGAGAAAGAGAAAGTTGTTGCTTTCTGGCTAAAAGCCAAATTTCCTACAGCCCAGACTGAAAGATCAGCAGGGTGATTGAGAAAAACAAATAGAAATTGGGGAAAGAAAATAAAGAAGACAATTGAATTAGATGCAATAAACAATTAGATACTCAGTATTTGTCTTATAAGTTCTTGTTTCTTGATATACCTAATTTTCAAATAAACTATTGATTCTCTATTCTAAAATTATAAATTATAAACTGGGAAATAGATTGAAAATAGATTTTATACACACCTTCGCTTCTAGTTTGTCGTTATCATGTTTCAAATGATTTCTTTCCTGTTCCAATTTCTCAACTTTCGCGCGTAACAACTCCAATTCTTCCTGGAAATCACATAAAAAAATTTTATAGCAGTTTCGGAATGTAAACATTTCATAAACATCATATTTTTATTTATTGATCAATAAAAATAGTATCATACGAAAACAATTATAAAACTATTTTTTTGCATAAAATTCTGGAAACAGTCATACCGTTCGAGCTTTTAATTGATCTTCAGTTCGATGAACATTCAAAAGTGGTGCAACTTTAACGTAGAGTCTCCACCAAGGCCATTCTCGAACGGACATTAATTTTCGTACATTTCTTTGAATACATCTTACTGCCAAATCTTGCAGCTGTTTAGGGATAGTCAGAATTATTTAGGAATTTAATGTTCTGAATGAATGATATAAATTTAATCATGTAAGTTCTTCTTTAATTACCTTAAGTGTATTGAGTTTTTTACGAGCTAGATATCCTCGGCATCTTGCTTGTAGTAGTACGATATGATCAGTCAATTTTTCATCTCTTAAAGATTCAAGCCTCTCTAAAGCACCAGCTCTGAAAAATATCTGAAATACGATCCATTGAAAATTATTGAAAATGAATGAGTTATCATAAAAAAAGATATTTAACAAGACAAAACACACTACTTACTCGACTTTGGCCAATACGGTAAGAAGCAGGGTCAATATCGACACAAAGTAACATATCCTCAACAGCTTTACGTTCATCAGCAACAGGACTTCCTGGACGAACATTCATATCATTGGATAATAATCCAAAGCGTCGTCGAAATTCAGCTAATGGCATATGTTTTGGATATCCAACTTTATATAGACGCATCGCATCTAGAATTTGTCCTCCACGAATCTAAAAAAAAAACAATTCTATAAAAAAAAAACGACAAATATTAAATATTAATAAAATTTAAAATATCATGTACCTGAGATCTTAATAAAGGAACATTAATAACATCGCTCTCATTTTTATTAAACTTTGCAAGATATGTTTTATCCGTACAACCTGAATTATGTTGTGGAAGTAAACAATGAACAAACTTCATTCGTGTTCTTCTCAGAGTTTCTATTAAGTCATCCTGAAATAATTAAAATAACATACAGCTTAACGTTTAAAACGTAGCATGAGATATAAAGACATCTTTTATATTTACCACGGTCAATTTAATTCGAAGACAAGTACTCTTTCTTTTCGCAGTAGTAAATGTTCGTCTAATACTGGAAGCCCGTCGTAATGACTGTGAACCTTCTAAGCCTGGAATAGAGTTACCCAATCCTCCATAAATTCCACCATTGCGAGCTTGAACGAATAGCCTGTTCAAGTCCTCTCTTTAAAAAAAGGATACCGAATTTATATTTTAATCGATTACATAATAATTTTTGAATAATTTATCGAATCTATGTAAAAAATAAACAAAAAAGATACCGACAGAATAACATAAAAGATTGATTATTATTTATAAGATTTATTTTAAGAAATAAAAAAAGTTAATTGAATATTATTATGAAACCAAACAACTCACCGTGTGCTTTCTTGTAAAATATTGACCGCAATCTTACTAATTGGATTATCTCGAGTAGCTTTCAACCATCCTGTGGCCGTATATAATACTGGATTAGTACCTTGGAGATGTTGAAGAACGAACTGATTGTTTCCCGGTGCTTTTCTCAACAAAAATTGATAATCTCTATCACCATAAAGAGCAAATAATCGATCCATAAATGATTCATCACTTCCACCCCCTGGAGCAGTAGCTTCTTCATCAAGTAGCCATAAAAGTCCTTTTTTCTCTTCCTGAAATCTTCCACTCAAATCACTCTGACTTGTTCTAATCATCGTAGCCGTTCCTTGAGCACCACGATCAAGAAGAGATATAAGAGCTTGTGGAGAACCAACACAGTCCTCATCATGATCACACATATCATGATCAATGTTTATTTCTTCTTGTATATACCGATTTTTCGGAGCTTCTAAGGTTGTGTAATGGAAAAGAAGTTGAAGTCTTTCTTGTAAATAATTATGACAAAGATCTTCAAAGTTTGCACCAGTTTGGAGGCCACATGACGCAGGATTCTGAAATCCTGGCGCATCGCAAAGCAACAGGGATGATACTGTGTGTACAGGTGATGATATGGATTTATTAATGAGCGAAATAACACAATAAAATACTTCAGAATACAGTCCAATTATGAATCCTTCAAGAGAATCCAATCCTGAGAAATTATTTCCATCTGTTGTTGGACTTGGAGTTCTCAATGATGCTCTTACATTATTGGAATTCACTCCATCAGCATTTGGAGAAAAAATTATTCTACTTAGTTCTTCCACAGTTGTACCTAATAAATTAGCGGCTTTTTCTGCATACTCTACTTTAGCAAACTGCCACCGGCTTTGCGAGTTTACCACAGTCTTAACAGCACCAGCACAACTCAAATGATAAATTCCAGCTAAAGCAACCCAAATCATTTTCACATCGTTTTCTAATATTTCCAACACTTTAAATGACGCCACGATTCGATTAAATTCCGCTATTGCACGTTGTTTCTCTTCATGTTTTTGTAAAGGAATTATGAATGGATTATTTTCAGTAACTAAGTTTGTCAAATTTAATTCTCTTCGAAGAGCTCCTTCTACTCCAGCAAGAAGTCTGTAGATAATATGAAATGTGGAGTCTCCGTTGTATCGTCTACCAATAAGTGATTTTTCTAATAACAGTACTTGAAGGGATGCAGATGCAATTTGTCCTGACTGATCAAAATCTAATCTAAATATTTGTGTAAATCGAGTTGCATTTGAATTAATATGTGTTCTGCTATTTCCAAAAGCCTCTAATATTGTGAAAAGCGCATTCACTTTTTCAATTGTTAATATCTGAAATTTAAATTTAATTATAATAATTAAATTATACCATAGCACACTTTGATAATAATTTTAATTTATATTAATTACTTAATAATTGTTTTAAATGAAAAATATGCCGAAAAATATTTAATTGCTTTCTAATTTAATTATACAGAAAATGAATTAATCAATACTATTTAAAAATTTAATTCAAATTAATTTAATTTAATAAATAATTATTTTTTAGCTTTGAAATTCTTTATGTGACAGGCAATTAATCTGGTTAAGTTTAAAAATTAAAGGGCCTTCAAATTCTTTCCATTAATTTTTATGACATTAAATAACGAATAGTCATTAAAAGCAACTTTACCATGTATCTGATGAATGATAAAAGTTATAATAAATAAAACTCACTTTATTTACTGCTCCTGCTGCCAGGACAAGATAATGCAATGCGTGTTTGAAATTTGTTGTCTTTCCAGCTCCACTGCGACCCAGAAAAACTAACGAATGTTCTTTACGTGTAGCAAGCATTCCTCTGTAGGCGGATTGTGCCATAGCATAAATATGTGGAGGCATGTCTTCATTTTTGCAGCCTTTAAACATATGTACCACCTGTGTGTATGTGTAGTAATAGTAGTAGAAGTAGGCGCGATTATGCGTATAGTATTACATTTCTTTTTATAATATATGCATTATTCAAAGATTTATACTTTAAGATATACAATTGTTAGAATAAACATTTTGAAAAATTTAAATGATAGTCACCTTTTCCGAATATATTGCTAAGGGAGCGACAGGATTGATCACGATCATGTTGTCTCCAGCATATGTATGGATAAGATTGTTGGCGTATCTCTGTCTCAACGTATGAAGCATTGAAGACTCATTAAGGAATCGTAATTGTGAAAGCTCCTCGACCATATCAAATTGTGGTGGATTAGCCTAGTAAAAAAGTCATTAATGAACGAATATTTTGTGTCATCGTTCTATTATTGTATTATTATTATTATGATTATTACTATTGTTAGTATTGTGTTAAAAGAATTAATAAATTTTTGTTGTAAGCAAGCATAACTTTTTGTATTGAGAGTTAAATGTATTTAAATTAGTCTACCTTCTCTACATCTTCTTCATCGACAAGAAGCTCCTCTGAATTAGGTATAAGTTTAATTCGTAACTTTCCTGTATCAGGATCTGCATTACCACATCGAGTTGCTAACGTAAATCCTCCTCGATGGAGTAACCAAATATATTCCGAAGTCAGCCAATCTTGATCTCCACTTCGTCCCTTCAATAAAAAATATATTTGGATTTTAGCAATTTTATTGATAGATAACTTATTATGAATAAAGTATTTTTAACCACTCACAGTGTTTTGTTGTAATCGCAAACTACCCGATCTTCTTAAAGTTCCACTGCAAATGTTAGCAGGTGTTAATTCCATTTCTCTACCATCTAACAACCCACTTCTTCGCGATAGCTCCGATAATTCAGCAACCGGTTGCACCTACGATAAATCATAAAAAGATCATTGAAATAAATCATAACAAATATTTATCTAAGAATTTATTTTTTAATTAAAAAATTCCAATTAGTACCTTAACCGTAACACTACTACCAGATCCTTTAATAAGATCAATAATTTCTTCCCGCGATTTATCATCAACATTAATTCCATTAACTTCAATAAGACGATCACCAGGTAATAAACCCGTATCATTATTGTTTTGTGAGTTCGCACCTGGTTCGGCAAAAATAACGGACTTCATATTGTGTGCCATACCATTAACGGCACGATCAATAATTACGGCACGTCGTAAAGAAAATCCAAAATCATTTCTAGGTGGTGGTTGTCTTTGAATTGTTAATTCACGAGGCTCAGATAAGACTAAAGGAACTATATCGGGTAAAGGTAAATTAATTCCTTGGTCTTCAAAAGAGTTAGAAGATCGCCATCGTGAAAAACCTTGAGATTCTCCGACAGGTGAAAGACTGAAAGGCGGAGTAGCGAAGCTCGAATTTGTTGTGTCAGTTAAAGAATCTGCTGATGGACTAGCACTCGTTATAACTTGTAATAATTTTGTGTCTCCTTGATTTTGATTATTATAGTTGTGATGATAATATTGATGATGGTGTGATGATGACTCTTCTTCACTACCCATTTCATCCTTCTCATCTTGATGCTGACTCGGGATATTTTGATAAGTGATCACTTCGTTCTGGAGCGTATTTCTCACAAGAAGATTGCTTGCTTCAGCATTACTATTTTCACATTCACTTCCGTTCTGTATAACATTAGATCCTTCAGCGACAGTTGCTATATTAGAAATATTAAGTCGTGAACCTTTTAGAATCCCACGCTTCGGTGGCTTTGGTGGCAGAGCAGGAAGTGTTTTACCACTGACATTAGTTAAAGATGTTAATGATGCCTCTGAAGAATCACTTTGCGTTAGTAATCCATCACCACTACGATTCCAACTTGTACTAGCATTAGTATTTGAACTTGAATTTTCTAAAAGATTTCTGTCCAACTGGGCAAAAAAGGAGGCGCTGTAATCTGCTGTTATTCCACTGGGGAGTTTTTCCTTTTCTTTACGACGCCCTCGAATTTTTAATGATCTTCGAACCTAAAAAAACCAATAAAGAATTTATTCAACTTTCAATAAGAACTTATGAATAGGTATTATTACTTGAGTAAGGTATTCAACAGAAAAATAACTATTATTGATTAATTAGTACTATTTTTCAAGAATCCTTAAAGATATATCTCATTAGTTAAATACCTCATCTAGTCTAAGAAGTTCTTCAGTAGACATGCTACCCCGATCTCTCTTTTTGACATCTTTTCTTTCCTTTTTCTCTCTTTTTCGTTTGTCTTTTTCATCTTTCTCAGAAGCTTTCTTCATAAAATTGAACATTTTATTGTTTTGATTATTAACTCAATCAGAATTTATTTTCATATAAAAAATGCCACCAATTTATTTTCAGAGTAAAATGCACTCACAATCGTTTTCTTTTTAATTATTAATACATATATTTCTTGTAAATAAATGAAATTTCAAATAATGGATAATTTCTTTTCTTTCTCTCTACTCATGCACTTTGATAACGGCACATTGTTATCGTAATCACTAATGTTAATATTATTACTATAATTATTATAATTTAAATTACGACAATAAGCAAATTGATAAAACATCACTCCCAACTTCACATTCACTTGTTTTTATATTTTGTATAAAATATGTAGAAAAGTTCTGAATAAATAAAAATTTTATTCAACGAATCATCATGTTATGAAAAAATGATGATTCTTCAATTATCAAACTGTTGATTCAATATTTTCAACAGTTTTTTTTATTATAAAGCTTATTTTAATCATTTCTTAGATTAACAAAAAATTACTTTCGGTGTATTTTTTACTTAAAGCTTTTAATCTATTGGCACCAGATCAGTATTACATTTACTTATGTTCAATTTATTTAATTCATAAATATTATTTTTCATTTGAATTCATTGAATGTCACCATTTTATGCTCCAATTTATATATGTTGATAAACTTTATCGTATTTTATTGACAAGATTAAATGTGCAAGTTTTTTTACGAGATTATTTTGTGGCTTGTGGAATTGTGAGAAACGCGTAGACCAAATAGCACACAAATATTCTTCCTGAATGCTCAAGCAAATATATCTATGTATGTAGTTATTTTTTAGTCACGATTAGATTCTATTAAAAAATTTAGATTTACTTTAGCGACACTGATTTTATCATATAAAAATAACCAAAAATGATATAAACATAATGACGTTTATATGTACAGAATATAAAACAAATAAATATGCGATTTAACGGCAACGATAGCACGAACTTAACATGAAGTTCAATGTGCCGTTGAACAGCACAACTGGACTAAACTGTCATGGCTGATGGCATGCATTAGCACACATGTATACAGAGTGCTAGTGTATTGGGCTTATCGTACAATCTGATGATCTAATTCAATTTGTTCCATTAGTCATACGTTAAACAATTATTGCATTTTGATTTTTAATTATCGTATGCTATTAGAATATATCCAGCTGTTAATACTTTATCAATACATTTTAGAATTGACTTTATTTCATTTTAACAACACATCGTTAGACTTATGCTAGCGATGAGAGAAATGTTTGTTTGTATTGGTAAACTTCTGTATCAACGGTGTATAGGTAATGTGAGCTTCTGTTTTATCAGTTAATGAAGAATTTTTTATTCATTTTTAATGCTTTATTTATGTTTTTAATTTTACTTCAGTGTTATTTGTAAATAATGAGTGATAAAGTTAATGATTATTCTTCATCTGATGATGAATTTACTAAACAAGCTTTGAAGGAAGCAACAGATCAAGAATTCTTCACAAATTCACTGTTCAAAGCCAAGAAAGCAGAAGGAAAACATGGTAATTTCATTCACTTTAATATCTAACCTCTCTAATTTTTTTCTACCTAACAAGGATTCCTCATGTTTATGTACAATTGTTAATGTTTATTCTAGAAAGTGAAAAAGCAACAAATTCTGATGAAAACTTGGAAAAGCAGTTGAAACCTTCGTTAAGAATAAATCCTCATCGAGTTGATAATTTTCATAGTTTTGGAGTTACTCAAAGTTATAAAGATTATGTTGCTAAAAAGTTATCAGAAATTCTCGACAGGTTTGTTTCCTAACAATAATATTTTGCTATAACTCAGTATTGTTTCTCAGTAATTTAACAGAATTATTCATTCAATCATTATTTTTATATCCATTTTCAGAGAAATAGAAATCGAAGACGTTGAGAATAAGGAAGAACACGAATCTTCAGAAAATAAGGTTAATCTAGTAGGAATAAAATTATTAAAAACATCAGCACATATTTTAACTGGTGATGAGATAGAAGAGCAAAAAGTATTGAGCAAGAGAAAACGACCATCAATACATTCTGAAAAAACAACAGAAATTTTATCGAAGTGTAGAGAAGCTGCTGTAGATCCAGAAAAAATTATTTCAAAACTGGAAGTTCAATCATGGGATGAAAGACAAAGAGGTACTGTTTTTAAGTATAAAAAATTAGCCGATGGATCTCTGATTGAAAGGTGATCGAATTTTATGTTAAAACATAAATTAAAAAGCCCGCCATTTTATTGAACCTCACGGTTCACCGCTAGGTGTAAAAAATTCATATGATAGAAGAACGAATGTAAACAAACGTTTATTTTTGTATAATACATGAAAAAACACCAAATAAATAAATATAAATAATTTCTAATCTTCTATAAATAAAATGGATTTACCAGGACCGAGTAATACAAATTCAGACAATGAGTTATGTCAATTGTAAGTATCCTTTAGGAATATTCATCACTTAACCTCTAGATGAATTAAAAATAATTATTAATTATAAATTGATAGATGCAATTCTCGAACTAAAAAATATACTTGTCCGCGATGTTCCATCCCTTATTGTTCAGTAGAATGCTACAAAGCATCTTCACATTTAAATTGTTCAGAAGAATTTTTTCAAGAATGCGTCACTTCTGAAATGAAAGTTCGCTCCAAAGATCCTGATGATAGAAAAAAGATGATTGACATATTAAAACGTTTTCATGAACAATCAAAAGATTTTCAAGATCTCTATGGTAATTATGAAGATATGTTAAATTTAGATGAATCAGACGCTTCAGAAATATCCGGTGACTCTGATGATGATAATGAGGTATTTGTAAATTGTTATTCAGTTTATTTTCAATTTTTCTAATGCAGGGTATTTATTAATCAGGTTCCTGACTTATCCGAAAGAATAAAAAATATAGATATCAATAACGTAGATGATCTTTGGGGAATTTTAACGGACGCCGAAAAACAAGAGTTTAAAGCATCTGTACTCAACGGAGATGTAGAAAAATTATTGCCGCAGTGGGTTCCATGGTGGAATCAAGTAGTTGAAAAAAAATTAGTGAAAGAAATTGATGAAGAAGAAAAACCTGCTTCATATGAAAAAAATTGTCCTCCGATTGTGCATATTTCCCCGTTCAGTGCATTAGAGGTAATAAAGAAAAATAGACAGAAGATCGAATTTTCAAAATTATAAAATAATACTTTTGCAGAAAGCTTCCCCTTTGATTGCATACAATCTTCTTAATATATTGTATGCTTATATATTGACGGTTTTGCATAATAATGGAGAACATAAATCTTCTCCTAAAGAAGCTGCTGAGTTATTCCTTCAATTGAATGATGTCATTGGAAGTAATAAAAATTTTGAAAATAGTCATTCAGCTACTAAATCAGTAGCTGAAAAAGCTATAGAAGTAAGTTAAAAAAAGTTTTTTTCTTAAATCAACTTTTTGAACTTTAATAATAAATATTATATTTTTTCAAGTACGAAATTTTATCAAATAGAGATGAAGCAGAAGAATTGAAAAACGTTTTAAAAAAAATTATTGAAGGACCTGAACCAAATAAACAAACCTATTACTTAAGTGCAGCCTTATCAGATTTACATGCATTATTCAGCGAACTTAATGATAAGATCTGTAATATGAGTCAACAAAAGAAAACTACTCCGTTTCCAAAGCGATTCAAAAACAATTTAGATAAAAAATTTCTAAATATAGACAAAAAAAATATAAAACTTTATATTAAAAAATTAGAATATTACTTAGCATGGATTGATAAATACGGGACACGGTTGGTCGATGTGAAAATAAATGAATGAAGAAAAATTAACTGCAAAATAAATATAATGTATGTAAATAAAAAGAAAACAACTAAAAATCATCAATAAATAATATAATTGTGATTATATTTTACAGACAATCATATTTAGGTATAATAAAAAATTTTGTACTTCATTCAATATTTAGTTATTTTTACCAAGAAACAAATAATTCAAAAATATTAAAACTAAATATATAGTTTATGCAGGACTTTTTCGTAAAGAATTTGTAGAATTTCGACAGCTGACTAACTGCAGGTAGTGAAAATACACAAAGGGAAAGTACACCTGACCCGCCCACTCAAGGTTAATGTTCTTTAAAGTTCATTGTTATCTTAGTGTCAGGGTATTTTATTATAATGAAGTTACTAGATGCTAGCTAAATGTTTTTCTTAGGCGTTTTCTATGAAAATTTATCTTTTTCTTCCCCTCCAATTTTTGTACCTTTACAGAGTTTATGTAGGTAGTAAGCAAAACTTCACAGTTTCTAAAGTCATTTCTTTAACTAAAAGGATTGGTATTCGGAACCATTCCAAAGTGCATAGTCAGTCAAAAAGTTACAGTCGTTTTGCAAATATTTAAAATTATTCCATCATGTTCGATCAAAATATTATTGATAGACTTGATCCACCAAAAACAATCAGGCATTTTTTCTGTCATCAAATGACGTATATTCTACGAAGAGGACATTTATTTTGTGAACTTTGTGTAAGATATAATCCAGAGCCTCACGTCAATTCTGTTAAAGTTGTGAGACATTTTTTGAGTTCAACACCTCGAACGTACATCCGGACGTGCCACAACTGTCATCATCCTTTGATGTTTATTTGTCGGGCTAGATTTTGCAAGGAGTGTCACGACTATTTTGATACAAATATAGAATTTATGCAGTATGAAGATGGAGTAGCTGATATATCGAGACATCAATATTACTATAGATAATTAATTCTTGAGAAACTGGATTGACATTTCAAGAAAAGGAATGTCGTGTAAAGATGTGTAAATGTCAGAAGAAATCTATTTATTTGTGAACATTAGTATTTATACTTATTTTTAAATTATTCCTGACTAATATTATTTTACTCGAATAATTGAAATATTGTTTGATTTAATACTACACTGAACCAATACCGAATATGTTTTCATAATTAATGTTTTTTTAACCAAAAAAATGAATTAATAATTTTTTATTCGCATACGGTGAATGTTATAAAATAATAATTTATTTAAAACGTGTACAATGAACCACAAAAATGAACAGTGACTTTAATGATTTACTTTTAAATTTAAATAACATAAATATTTATTTACACGTATTAGCATTTAGTATTAGCATTGTAACTTTTTCTAAATTTTATATTTATAGTACCTCCAAATCACAGTGTCGTATTTCGGGATGATTTTTCTGTAATAACAATGATAATAGTGTTATAATTAGAAATCATGTAGTCTACCTCATAAATATTCAATAAATTAGCAGTTTATTTATATTACCTTGAGTTTTATTTCAATTCTATCAATTTCTGCTCCCAACATATCCACAATATTTTCACCGTGCTTTAGTAGAAATGTTTCAAGTTCATCAATACTTTGCATTTTTTTTACTTCCTAAATAATGAATAAAAATTAACAAATAATTTAACGAGCGATAGAATAAAAGTTTAATAAAATTTTCTTACGTCCAACATTGCAGTTAAATCATGTTTATCAAGATATGATCTTGTAAGTTCTCGGCCATCAAAATCAATTTCTGCTTTATATCGAACGAGATTATTGCCCATATCTATTCCTTTAACATCATATATTGCCCGCACCTAAATATAATTCCGTTGATTAAAAAAATGAATTATTACAATCAGCTATTTTTAACATTATTTTTACCATAACATCAGCCTCAAGCTCAGCATTAATTTTATCTAAATTTTCTTGAGGTATACTTCGGCCGACTAGTGCAGCAACATTTGTATAAATTATAAAAGAAGCAACTCCTCCAAGAAGTCCACCAACAAGCAACGATCCAACTGCATCATAAATGGGGTTTCCCAGATACGAAGTTAATCCCATGCAGCTTCCAGCTATAGCTAGGCCGATAACTGCAGCAAAATCTTCCATAAGAACGACATTTACTGATGGATCTTGTCCCGAGAGCACATAATCCTTAAAAGGCTTATTCTTATCTTCAGCTCCTTTTTTTATAGAATTAATAGCGACTAAAAGCGTAGCTCCTTCAGATATAAGAGATCCACCAAGGATAAAATAAGCCCAGTAGAATGATTCAACAGGAACTGGAAATAGAATGCCATGGATGCCGTGATAGAGCGATAATCCTGTTCCTACGCAAAATATTCCTACTCCAGATATTAAAGACGATACGTATTTCATATTTGTATAGCCATATGGATGATCTGCGTTAGGATCCTAAAAAGTTTACTTTTAAAAGTTTCAATAAATAAATTTATAAATAAAAATGTATTTACCTGTACAGATTTATGAATTCCATAAGCTAGAATTAATTGATTTGCGGTATCAGCCGCAGAATGAATACATTCTGAAAACATGCTGTGGGAACCAGTATAAAGCCAAGCAAATAATTTACATAAAAAATTACAGGCATTTCTGAAAAATAAATAAAAGTAATATAATAAATATCATCAGGTTTTAATAAATGATATTTATGGATAATTTTGTTTTACATGGTGACTGCAGTCAACACAACTTTTCCAGACCTGCCGAAAAGACCTTCACGTTCATCTATTCTAACTGATTGATTTTTTATTTCTTTTCTGTAATCTTTAAGCCTCCTTTTTACAGTAAATAAATCTAAAAAATTTATTAGTTGATGTATAATTGAATATTAAAAAAAAAATTTTTTTTTCATTTCTTACTTTGTTGATAGACTTTTTGCTCAACCTCTCTTTTCAGTCGCTCTTTTAATAAAGCTTCTCGTGATCCCCATACTTCAATAGCTCTATTCGGAATCAATATACATGTTTAATTATGAAAATTAATAATGGAAATATTGAACCAAAAAACATGAAGATTAAACAATATATATATATATATATATATATGATACGAAACAAACCCTCTTACTTAGCTTCAATGTCTTTTCTCCAATAGACAGTAATAGGAGGTTTATCCTCATACGGTGATCTTCGTTTTGTTTTTGGAAGAGATTCTAAATCTGAAGGTTTTAACATAAAATCTAACATAGCTCTAACGGGAGTAATAAAATTTCTTTCTAAAGACGATGCTGAATGATCTACTCGCAAACGTTTCACTGCAATAAAAGCAAAGTAATGATTAGCAGAGAAACTCAATTAATAACATTAATTCAAGTAATACCTTTTTTTGAAAGTACTTCTCCTTCAGTGGTTTTACTTGCATTGTTACGTAAAGCAGCATCAATTATTGATGCTTGAATATTTTTGTTTGACTCTAACAACGTATCAGAGGGAGTAGGTTTCGATAATAAACGTTCTTTTAATTTACCTAATTCTTTGCCATCTATTTCAATAATTTTTTCTTTAAGAGTATCGTTTATTTTTTTGACTAATTTTGGGATTTCTTCATTTTGAGATGATTTATCATCAGACATTGATCTTCTCCCTTCAATACTTGTCCATCTGGAATCCAAATTATTTCCTGTTTTTTTCGTGTTAAAAATTTTCCATACATTTTTCTTCAATTGAACTTGGTAGCAAGTTTTGCATTGTTTTATATAAATACTGGCATGGCGTTTTGCTAATGATATTTGCAAAAAATAAAGTTGATCTAGATGATAATAATTTAACTTGCTTCCTACTACAGATAACAGACTGTATGACCGATAAATCATTTTTGACGTGTTTTTCTGAAGCTCCTGAAAATAAATTATAACGATTATTTTTTACATAAATATAGTAATGAAGTAATATTAATATTTTAGTCAAATTGGGTTAACCTAAAGTTTTAATAAAACATTAATAAAAAATGTAATGATAACATTTGCTAAGCTGTGAATTATGGACTTTTTCATTTTTTATAAATAAAAGAAAAAAATTTGCCTACCTTTTTAAATAATTATAATGTTAGAGACATGAAATTTTCGAAAAATCTGTGGAAATTTTTTTTTCGTAAACAATGTTGTTCACTTATAATAGTCAAAAGCTATAATGACAAATATTATCATTCTGTGAATCTTTTAAATAATAATTTATGATAATTAATAACAGATTGTGATTAGATTAGTCAATGATTGAAGTACAGAAGTAGAACCGAGAACAAAATTGGCAAACGTCACCTTATTTGCCAGAATTCTTAAGTTACACACATTTTTCTTGTATTTAGGCTAAGTATTTTTATTTAAAAACTACATGTTCACATTATGGTATAGTATTGTCGTGTGAAAAATTATTGAAATAAGTTTTCAATCAATAATTTTATTGTTTTACAAATTGACTTAGCGTATTTTAACAATTTGCTATCAGCTTGGATTCTTTCGAGAAGTCGGCATCATAGAGAATCTTCTTATCTATAAATCATTTACGCGGGTGATATTTAAAAATTAATAAAATATGATCATCCATTTAAAAATATTTTGTATTAAAAATTTTTACATTAATTTCTTATTATAGATAAACAATATACATGTGTAATGAACAAGTTCAAATAAAACAATAAACAACATAATTTTTCCAAAAATTATTCATTGTTTACCATGATTTTACCAAGTAAAAAATTCTCAGTAATTTAATTGTCAAACAATTAAAAAGTTTACATTTAACAACGACAAACATCTTTTATTAATCAATTTTAATTTTCTCAAACGAATGCAATCTCATTGTTAACATTATATCCCCTATTCTTCTTACTCTCAAACAGGAAGTTCCAAAATCAGTTCCTATGCATTGTGTGTGATCCCACTAGTTCGTACGGATCATTATAAATCTCCAACTCTAGATGATTTTCTTCATTCTTCTAAATTATCCTCTAATCGACATCATCAGTTGATACTTACAATCGTCATTATGGCCACTATTACTTCATTAATCCAACTTTTAATAAGTTTGATCTTTTTAACTTTGGTAAGTAGTCATCCTGCACCAGAATGTCCATGCAAATGTGGATCATCTTACGGATCTCATCCATTGGTTATAACTAAACACGAATTAGTTCCAAATCAGGTAAATTATCTTTAAATAATTATTCATTAATATATGCAATTTTTTACAAATTATGTTTCTGATTTTAATTCTTGAATTTTTTATTAGGGGGCTTTCGTAGCAGCTCCTAAACCTCAAATACCCTATAAAATTTACTCACAACTTTCTCAACGGAAGAATCTAGAACCACAATCACGTTCTCAAGAAGTTATTGTCAAACCCACTTTTACTCTAAGACGAAATGAACCAGAATTTGTTCCTGTAAGTCTTCAATTACCAATGCCAACTACATTTGCCCAAAGCCGAACTTTAGAAACTTCAATGCCTGAACCTCAGATAGAAGTAAGTAGTTCTGCACCTTGTCAGTCAGATGAGTTAACTGGAAGGATGTTGGAATTCTATTTTGAACCTTCAATGGCTCCTAATCCATCTGAAATTAAATTCGAAACTTATAACACTGAAATTCAAGAAGTAGTTCCAGAATTAGTTGAACCAGCAACGAGATCATTGGAACAGACGTCACTGTAAGTTTTGTTAATTAATTTAACTTGGATAGTTTAATTTTTTTTATTGATTATTTGTAATATTATTTTTATTTTATAGTCCAGTTATGGCTATGGAAGCCCAACCAGAAGTAACTTATATGATAAATGAGCCAGTTTATCAACCTGTTAAATATTTCACAAAAGTATCTGCACCAAAAGTTGAAGAAGTTCCTGTTCTAAGATCGAGCTATGTTGATGATATGTCTCCTCGTCACATGAGTATTCAATTAGTACCATCTTCAAGATCATCTTGTGAATGTTTTCAACAATGAAAAGATCTAAGTTTCCAATATTGATTTAAAAAAAAAATATATTTATAATTTAAGTCAGAGTATTACACTACTTTAAAGAATCATTAAAAATGTAAACAAATTTTATTGTATTATTCTAATATTTATTTATTTATTGAAATAAACTATCACCATGCAAATAATTTTATCGTTGTATTATTTATTACTATATTCGATTATAATGACTATTTATTTAAATTATGATATCTAAATGCTAAGTGAAAAAAAGCTGACTACGAGTAAGATCAGATGATAAAATATAGTCAATTTGTTTGGAGGAGATAGTTATTGTCAGATATTATCTTTGATTTGATAAATTAACAAAAATAAGTTCTAAAAATTGAAAAAAATATTTGAACAAGATTCGTATTTAAAGACATAACTATGTTATTTATTTATTTATTTATTGATAATGTTTAGGTTCGTAAAACCTATCACAAAGATATACAGTGTAAAAACATAACTATGATTACTATTCTATTCAAGAAAAAATACTACAAAAGAGATAATAATTATTAAAATGGATATTAATATAAATAAATTAGTGAAAGAAAAAAATCACTTGTTGTTAATAAAATTCCAACCCAAAGAATTTGCATGAACTTTTTAAAATAGTTAGATTTTATATTCAATTTGACTTTTTTAAAATATAGTGTATAAATATTAATGAAAGAATTGATCTCTTTAATACAATGAAAATATTTTAAATTTTCTGTGATGATAATTTTTTTTCATTCTACCAATGATAAATTATTAATTAATAACGTTAAATAATTATTTGAAACAAGCAAAAAAGTTTTTTTTTCATTATTCGAGGATAATTTGTAGAATTATTTAATCATCTTCCGGGTCAAAATGTGGAAATAAGTGATTGGACAAGAATGGTTCAACTCATTGTGTAATATAAGAATGCAAGTATTTATAAATATCAAGTCAATTTATTTAAAATGTTGCAATGATTACATTTAAACAATCTGATATGTTATTTTTATTCAGCACGATTATCACGATAATTATTTGAAACACTTCCTACAAGGGACTATATGTAAGCGGTTTGAAGATTCCATGAATCAAAGTGGGTGAAGAATTCATCATGAACAGATCTCTCAAAGGAACTTTATCGTTAATTTTGCTTTTAACTGCAATTTCTGGACAGTTATGTCAAACTTATCCAGAAACTAGTGCCAGTAAAAATGAAGAAGTTGCTGAAGAATTTCCTACTAATGTTCAGACGCTATCTCAAATTGAAGAAGAAAACACAGAACAAAGTTCTGAAGTAACTATAAAAAATTTATTATAAATTAAAATACGATGTAAAGTCTTAATGAATTGATTTTATTTTCAGGGAGATTTAAAGAGACAAAGCCGTAAAGTACCATGTCCTTTTCACAAACTGAAATCAGGTCTCAGTAAAGCAGCTGCCATTCCTTGTGGAGCTGCTGCAGGAGCAGCAGCTGCTGCTGTAGCAGGAAAATCAGTTGGAGGAAGTATCAGTGGAACATCAGTTGGAGAAGCATCAGTTGGAAGTGGATCTTTTGGAAGATCATCATTTGGAGGATCAATTGGAGGCTCAGACACGACTGAAGTTGAAGGAGGGGTTCATTTTGGTCTAACTGATACTTTCGACATATTGAATGATAGAATGTTAGAGATGAGTGCATCACTCCACGGTGCACTTAGTAGTATGCAAGACCTTCTTGGTGCAATGCCCACCATGTTAGAACGTATTCAAGCTGAGATAAAATCTATAGATGCTTCACCTAAACTGCGCTACGATGTAGTACAAACATGTGATAATTATGCTCAAACAGAAAAAAGTGTTTCGGGCATTATCAATCACATTTATAACTCTTTTAAACTTCCTTTTTCCAAAGGAGGACAAGTTCAAACCAGGGGTAATTTTGAAATTGGTAGCTGCTTAGACAATATCAAAGCCAACATGATGAACTTTCTTGCAACAATTCGATCGTGGTTTTCATGTGATAAGTTATTCTCATCTAATAAAGGTATTTCCAAACTGCAGTCTTACATTCACAGTTTTCCATCTAGTTCTCAATGTAGTGTCTTGAATGGCTTGGGAAGATCATCTGGTAGTTATATACTTGTTCCTCATGGAAGTGGTGAAGGACAATTTGGAGTTAGAGGTTCAGGAGGCCTCAGTTTTAATAGTAATAGTCAAATCAACGAAGCTGTTATTGGAAAACAAGTTCAAGAACTCAATCAAATAATTAACCGCGTGAAAGAGTTGCCTGGTATGATTACTTCTTTAATAGAAGAGGTGGAAGTTGGAGTAAACAATCAAATCCGTTTAGCTACTGCATCACAGAGAACTTCACCGTACGTAAGAACTGTTCAAATTGCTCCAGTATATCATGTACCAAATTATCCACAATTAATAGGATCAGAAAATATTATGTCTGTAAGACCTTCTTTATCGGGACAAGCAAATATTAATATTAATCAGAAAAGTTCTAACATCCCTACTTCTCAGTCTCAATACTACATAACATCACCACAGCAAACTCTAATATCCGCACCTGTAGCTTGCTCTGGTCAGAGTATAATTGACAATGTTTATAGTAGAGTATCTACTAGTCCTATCAAGAAAAATACAGAAGCTTATCTTTTGAATAGGTCAGTTGGAAATATTAATTACGACCGATCAGCTCTTGATCTTCTGAATATCAGAGTTAATCTTTCTAGAGATACACTCTATACTTTACTTAAAGGACATACTCCTACTGCAGGAGATATTATCATATTAAATTTAACAGATGATATAATGATGGTTGGAAGTCCTAGTGACGATTTTAGTCTTGTTACATTTACTTTTATTTATAGAGGCATTTCTTCTAGAACAGCTCATAATAATAATGTATTTGTATGGAACGTTTCTGAAGATGATTTTTCATGTAATCCAAATATTTTTAATGATATTGTGGCTCATCTTGTTTATGGTTAATAATATGTTTAATATTTTTAGTAAATTATTTTAAAAACTTGTATGTAATATTATTATATTTATTCAATTAATGACAATAGATGATGTGTAAATAAAAAAATCATATGCACAATAAATTATTTCTTATTATTCCAAATCCCTTATAACTGATTATTTTATTAGAACAATTTTTAGTAAAATTAAGATGATAATTTTAAAAAATTGAAAACTAAGTAAATACAACATTCAAAATATCTTCAATAATTAAAAGAAATTGAGAATATACTTTCAAGTATTATCGTTCAATAAATGTCACTGAATGTCATAAGTTTTTGCAATATATCTTTATAATGTTCTCTCGATATTTATGAAAAATTTGAAAACTAATGATTCTGATAAATTCCTTCAAGCTTTAGAACAAAAGATGAACGTAATAGTTTCAAATTTTACTAACTGCTTGTAAAAGATATTCAAATAAAAATTTTGATATTCATGTCTAATTGTCAGCTACACAAATATTGAATTGTTTATGATTTAAAAATTTGTACAAATAAATATCAATAAAAAATCTTTAGTCATAAAAATTGTACTGTATAACGATCAATAAATAATAATATACGTTCAAACATTGATTTAATTTTATTTAATAGTCCAAATATGAAGAAATAATACTTTTCATTGATTGTCAATTAGTATTGAACAAAGAGATTGGCCTTGATTCTTACAAAGTTAAGTAGGAATAAATTTCAATTGGAAATGAGCTGAATGAGTTGGACAATAAATTGAAGGAGCCAAATAAGGAAACCAAGCCAACATAATGAATTATTGAAAATCAATAAATAAAAAATTATAAATAAATGATTGTAAAAAATGTATAATTATTTGCATATAAAATCATTTTTTACAAAAAAGATTAAAAGTATGTCTTTCCGCCTTCTGTTTGATAATTATTGGTAAATAAATATTCTTATCAGTTGAAAAATTTTGTAATTACATCAGATTTTAAACAAGTAATCAGTTTTTAATTTTATCTAATTCCTATGTAATAAATACGGATGTAGCAACAAGTTTACATTTAATCATGATATGATAAATGTACTTTTGACCATTTCTCTAAATAAGATCACGTAGATTAGCGAACGCATCACTTCAACAATCTCATTATATTTTTCCGTTGACGTGCCTAATCTCTCCAAATAAATGCTGCCAACGACTATATGAAGAGCTGGTATAATTTTCCAGGATCAGAGTAAGACCGAATTTTTCATCATGACCACTGTGCAGGTTGGCTTTTTTATCGCCATATCAATAATTTTTTGTTTAACTTCTGTAACATATTGCCATCCAAATGAATCAAGAATTAACGAACATCAAAGTCAAAAACTTTCAAGACTTCTCAAACGAGAAACTTTAAGTGATGTCTATCATTCATTGGAAGCTTTTGAGAATGACGAGGAATCGTTACCAGATAATTTTCAGGTATTGACCATTTTTACAATAGAAAGTAAAACATTAGAGATTTATTGAAGTAATCATTTTAATTAAATAATTCAATTTCATGAATTTTTTAGACTTCTGCAAAACGTTCCATTAGCTGCAAATCTGATTCTATTGAAAAACCAAAAAAAGAGGAAAAAAAACCAGAAGTAAAAGTGACTTCTTCTAATAAAAATGATTGTCAAGTTGGAACCACTCATAGCCCAGAATTAACTTTGAGTCCACAAGTTGTATCAATTGATACTACTCCAAACAAAACTTGTATAGTAGACATATTTCGAGACACGGATTCTTTCTTTAAAAATGTGAATAACAATTTAAGATCATTAACTGACGAATTATCTAAAGTATACCGGGATTTAGCAAATAAAACTTTAGAACTACAGGCTTTGACACAAATTACGAATCCCACTTTTTTGGATACAAACAATGGTAAATCAGCTACAGATATCAGTGCGTTAGGTGAAAATATTACTGAAATGAAAAAAAGTTTCACACAAATGATTCCAACTATTACGTCAATAACTGGTATACTAGCTCCTTTGAAGACTCCTGACAGTGTTACTACCAAAATTTCGACTTGCGTAGAAAATATTAAAAACAATGTGACAGAATTTGCAACGAAAATGAGAGTAAGAATTGATGGAGCGAATAATTATTTTAATAATTTTCTGAATCAAATTAAAAATGCTGTAAATCCTTTGAGGAATTTCAATGTCACAATTCTTGATAGAGTAAAGGAAAAGTTAAATATCAATAGTGAAACCAAAAATCAAACTTTAGTAATCGAACGACTGATAAAACAAAATGCTGCTCTTGGAGTACTTGGACAATTTCTAAGTCAATTTACCAAAGCGATTAGTGGTTTCTTTCATGTTATTTCAAGAAAATGGTCGCACGAAAATAAACATCCACATCACCATGGACTAGTTGGTTCAATTAAACATGTTTTTGGCTGGCCGTCACATGTACATCCAGAACCTAAATTCTTCCATAGAATATTTAGCTTACCAAACTTACATTCGAAGCATCATGATGAACATATTTCTTTGTTAAAAAAAATTCTTAAGATTCCAGATCATCATCACCATCATCCTGGAAGTATTATTAAACATCTTCTCAATTCTTTATACTCTATTTTTCATTTAAGTGATCATTGTGAATGTCCACAAGATTCTAAATCTACAACATCATGTCCAGTGAGTCATTTCTTCAATTGGCTTGGTAAACCTACTCCACACCACCATTATCATCATAAGCATGCTCCAGGTCATATCAATTTACATCATAATGTAGTGAAGCACAAACAGCCAGGTAGTTATTAAAATATTTGTGTTTTTGATATGAAATATTTTAAAACAATTATTGACTCATAACATTGTTTCAAAATGTTTACATGACCCATATCTTAAATTTCAATAATAAAGAATTTGCTGACTGGGTTTTTTTGCTGGTGTTCATGGCTAATCGTGACATTTTACTTAAAAACCCAAGCAGATTAAACTGATTCAGTTAAATACATAAAATAAATTAGTGGAAAAAATGTGTTCTATCAAAGTGTTTATTTTTTCCAGCATGTTCTTGTTCTTAATTATTAATGCTCTGCCAGATAGAGTAACACCAAGACCTCTGAAATCTTCAGCAAAAACAAAAAAAATGTCACTATCTGGATCACCAATTCAACAAAATTCTATAGAAAAAAATTATCGGCCGGAAATTCGGTTTATCATTGACATACTAAATGATTTACTCATTAAAGAAAAATCTGAAACCCTTCAAAGATCGAAACAGAAGAGGAAAACTAATTCCAAAAGAACTAAAAATCATATTTAAGTGGAAATGGAGTGGAAAAATATTTATCTTGTTTTATATATTATTGAATAATACTTTATAAATAATATTTAATATTAATTAATTAAATAATATAAATTATCATTAATGTAATTAAAGCTGTTTTAAATAAAATTATCATAAGATATGTTGTGAACACTTGGAATTAATATTAGTCTGCTAAAATTGATGGAAAAAAAAAAATTAACATTGAGTTTTCGATAGTTTCATCAAGAAATTAATTGACAGGAAATAAAATTGATGGATTTTTATCAAAGATTCATAATTCTTGATAAACTTGGAACTATTGAAATAAAAATTTCTGGATTGTGACTCATATTTTACATGTAGAATCTGTTTACAACTTTTACACTTATTTCATTCCACGTATTGAATATCTCATCATTCAAATAATTCAATACAGTCATAGATGTATTTTGCTTACGTAAAAAAATATTTTGATATAATTTGACCCCTTGATTCTCACAGCTCGTTATCACATAAAAGACTGTTTCAGAATGCTGAAGAACGTCAAAGAGTCAATCTACCAGTAAGCGATTATTTCTCGTAGAAACAACTTGAACACTATTTATTGATTTATTTTGTTAAATTTAAAAAAACCAAAACAATGGCTCGATGGTTTATCTTTGCTCTTGTTATAGCAGTTCTATTCATTTGTATTCAGGTATGTGAATGGTTATGTTTTTAATATCTGTTTTTTATTAAGATTGTAATATTTAGTTTTAATTACCAATTGCCTGTTAGGCTGCACCTGCACAAGAAGACACCAATGCTAATAAATTGCAGGAAGTTTACACCAAAGCTATGGAGAATATTAGTAAAAATGTTGAGAGTATGATGAAGAATCCAGAATTTCAATCACTTGTAAAGGAAACTTCTGCATTTTTTGAAAAAGCTGCAGAAAATATCAAAACTGAAGCTGAGAAGCTTATTCCAAAGACAGAAGAGCCTGCAAAAAATTAAATTATCTTATTCAACACAATTCAAAAAATTAAACATTTAAAAATTTGATAACAATTTATTATGAGAAATAATTGTTTAACTAAATTTCTTAGTGGTTTTGTAATCGTAGTATTGGCTCTAGTATTTTTGTTTTTTGTATTACTCTAATAAAAATAATTAAAACTTCACTTATGGAATTTTTCATTTATTTATTTTTATTGCAAGAAGTTTTTATTTAAGTGGTTAAGAAAAATCAATAAAAAATAATAATCAGAAAGGGCGATAGATATTGATAATGATTTTTATATTTAGTTCTTCTCTCACTTGTTTGGCTCCTATATTTTTTTTTATTTCATTTTTTTTTATCTTGACCTGACCTCTCTGTACAGTTAAGATGTCACAAATTATCATCTGTATATCTCAAAGATTGTACGATACGTGACAGAAGACTTTGAATAGTTGTATATCATTTGTTAATCGAAAAATTATTAAATAAAATAAGAAATATTAAATTAACAAATTATAAATAAAAAATATAACTAAATAGTATCAATATTAACTTTTAAAAATTATGTAATAGGAAGTAGTTTTTAAATATGAATAGATAATTAACATAATTTCAAGAACTTTGGAAGATTTTTTGTGTCATAAGAGGACAGATGAACAAGAGAAGAAACAGAGATGATTCGTAATAAGCACTTTGCCCTCAATGTTATTGATAAGCGATCACTATAAAAGAATTCAGCATCTGAACTGGATGTATCAGTCTCACTCATCGAGTCGAAGTGATTTAATTATTTATTATAATCAATTATTTAATTTATTTTTATTACAATGAAATACGTGTGTGGGCTCTTATTTGCTACTCTTGTGGCTCTGACTTGTGGGTTTCCTAATGGCGAACCTGAAGAAAAGCCCAGTAATCAATTGGCTGATTTAATTACTCAAGCGCAAACAAGTATTCAAAATCTTGGAAAAGAACTTCAAGAGAAACTTAATCTCCCTGATCAAGAGACTGTAGTTAACACCATCAAAACTCAGAGTTCTACTTTGGTAGAAAATGTTCAGAATTATATCAAAGAAGTATCTGAAAATGTGAGTATGCTTTTTATAAAATTTTTTTCTACACGATAAACTTTTACATACTCTTAATTAATCTAGTATCAAGAGATAAATGAGCAATGATCCTCACTTCTACATTGAATATCATTTTGTATGCATAATTTATTCCTTAAAAAATATTTAAATATTTGATTCATTTACTTTTTTCTGTCAAAGTACTTTACATGTTACAGAAATGAAGTTTTCATGAATTATTGAATTTTTTACTCCAATATGATTTGAATATTCATTAGATTGGTATTTTTGCGAAAAACTTTAAATTCAAGCAGAATTTCACTAAACCAAAGTTTATAAGGATTAAACTCAATAAAATATTCATTTTTACAGGTCAAATCAAAGAATCCAGAATTAGAAAAAGCCTGGGAAAATGTTAAAGAAAAGCTCACTCAAGTGGTCGATGATATCAATAAGCAAATTCCCAATGCTAAAGAACAAGCTACCAAACTTCAAGAAGTAGTCACACATGGTCTCAATGTTATTGTTGAAGAGTCTGGTAAAGCTGCAAAAGCTATCGATTCAAACTCAGAGAAGGTTAGAGAAGATATTGCCAAGTTCACCAAAGAAGCAGTAGAAATTGCAGTTCAAACTACCAAGAATCTAGATGCACAGTTACGTAACATGACAGCTGCATCAGCTTGAGGACCATCAGCAAAGAATTATTTTTAATTGATTAAAAATAACAGCTTAACTTTAAATTGTTATTTAAAATTGAATGATACAATAAAAAATCAAAAAAAAAAAAAAACATTAAATAATTTATTTAAGACTTTTAATGTAATTTGAAAAATTACTTCTTGCATTGATTAATCATAAATAAATAATTGAAAGTATACAAATGTGTCATAATCTACTTTTCTTGGATAGAATTACATCAATTTATATGTAGAAATTGGTCAGCTAATTTTCAATTGACTAATCAAATAATTTCGATGATTAAGTAATTTCTTATTCCAATAAATATTACAACTATTTGTTCAGTTCATTTTTCTTTCCTTGCTAAACATTTCACTTTAAAGTAATATTATTATTTTTTCGACATTAAGATATTAATTTTCACAACAATATTTTCAAATTACGTCTGGTTCCTGTTATTTTTAAAGATTTCATTACAAAATCCAAGTGAATTTATTTGATTATTTCCTGAAAATAATGAACGTGACTTTACCAATAATATTAATGGTGAGTATTTTTTTCAAAAATTTTGGTGAAGTAAGAAATTAATGTTTCAGTTGTTTCGAAAATTATTAAGAATAAAAATAATAACAATGTATTGTTTAATTATTTAGCTAAATGTTCTCTTTGTTAAATTAATAGTAAGTATTTTTTTTATAGATGATAGTTTTATCTTGCAATGCTGAAAGATTCACAAAAGATCACAAAGAGCTTTTAGACAAAGTATCAAAATTCATGCAATCTCACCCAAGAGCCGTGAGATATTCTGAAACACGTGAAGAACGATCAGAGAGAATAAATAATGGATTGGAAAACATCGTTACATTTTTCAATGTTGTAGGACAACTTGATAACTTCATCTCTGAGAAGGCCAAAACTGTTATTAAAACACTCAATGCCATTTATAATGTTAATAGTGATGATGATCAATTATGTGTGAATTGTCATAATGATTATTAATAAATCTTATTATATTACTTAAATAATATCAATTTTGTATATTTATAATTGTATTTCATAAATAAAAAAATTTATTGATAAAATTATCATCTACTAATAACCCAAACAGTACTATTTTTAATTTTCATTTATGGTAAATAATTAAGTAGCATGTGTTGAATAAATATTTAAATAAATTGACTTCTAATAATTTATTTGTTGACAAACTTTCATTAAGTTATGAATTAATCAAATTTGTTATCACTTGATAACAAATATTTACATTATTAATGCAAATACGATTAACTGAAGCACGTGTCTTACGTAATAGAGAAGTCTTTCTCTCTGATAATAAATCAAAAATATTTTTTAATTAATCCTAAAGTTTTATTATACTTTGAAAATCTAATTCGGAAGATGTCATTGCCAGATTCGAATGCAAACTATATAAATACAGCTACGAACTTTCTATGAATCATTTAATCTAGACCTTTCAATACTTTTGTACTTGAGGAAAGGATTGTTAAAATTTTTTAACAAATAAATTATTTACAAATAGATTTCTAATAATTAAAATTATCATGAAAAAATATTTTCTGTGGATTTTTTTCTTAAGAATTGCTTCTTCAATGGCAAACGATTATTGTGACTTATGTAAGAGTCATACAATGTGTGAGTTCAAGGTAGAGTCATTAATTATTTGTTAAAGTTATATCTGGGTCAAAAAGAAAGAAATGTTAATTATTTATTATAATATTTTGGTATTTTTTAACTAAATAATTATTTAAAAAATGATTCAGGGTCAAAGCCCAACATGTGGTAAATATGTTGAAAGTGGAATCACAGCAGCAGAAGCTGAAGAAATAGTATTCCTGCATAATCTTTATCGTTCTAAAGTTGCAAATGGTTCAGTAATATGTGGATCACCAGGCCCTCAACCACCTGCAGCAAATATGAATGCTCTAACGTGGGATGAAGATCTTGCAAAAGTGGCTCAACGTTGGGCTGATCAATGCAATTTTGATCATGATAAATGTCGACGAGATGGTGAGCAAAAATAATACATTTAATTATCATCAAGTAATTTTTTATATCAATATTAATTTTTTTATCATAATCAGCTCGATTCCGAGTTGGACAGAATATGTACGTCAACATTGGTCCAATAACAGTTGACTGGAGAAAAGCAATCAAGTCTTGGTATTCTGGAGTTCTTAAATTTAATAAATCAACAGTCGATAGTTTTCAATCTAACATAAATACCAACTCCTACACTCAACTAGTCTGGGCAAATACTAGATATGTTGGCTGTGGACGTACAATTTTTGAAACTACTTCCAATGACCAAGAAAACTCCCTAAAATACGATAAATTTATTTCATCAACTATAAATGGCTCGAAAAACAGAACAACTAATAAACAGAGTGACACTGACGATGCTAAAATTACTCGACAGAAAAGAGACTATGCAGAATATTTTGGTGAAGCTTCATTGAATGAAAACGCGGCAAGAAGAGCTCTGGGACCATTTGATCCTATCTTTACACAACAGAGAGATCAAATGAACCAACAGTCATCAGTTCAAGGCATTCAGAACCAAAACTATTTTTCTGCTGATCAATATGATTCTCAACCTACTTTCTATCAACAACCTTTTAGAAGTGATATTCGATATTATTATACAAATCGACAGCCTCAACCAGAACAGCAAAGTTATGTTCATTTATATCAACCTGAAAGCAAAAGCTATGATCCAAGAAACATGGCTAGTTATTCCTCTGATTACAGTGGTCATTCAGACTTTTTAAGAAGTGATGAATCAAAAGCTCTTCTTGCTGAACAGTTACTTAAAGCATTTGGCGAATTTGTCGATAATGAAGAGGCTGGATCTTTGGAAGATGAAAATGATTCAGAAAGTCAATTTGAAAAGCGTATTATGTTTCATCCTAGGTTTGGATTAGTACAATATTATGGTGAAAAGACTCCTAGAATTGCAAGATCAGTCAATTCAGGTATAAATTTTATTTTTGTTATTAATATTATAACCATACTTTCATATTCTTTGTTCCTCTATCCTAGAGTTAGAATTACTTTTAATATAATTTGGTATAAACAATAACTCAACTTGATGGTTTTTCGTTATAATTTAAATTATTTTATAGAATACTTCTCTGATGACGATGGTGATGACATTGCATATGGAAGACAAGAAATTTTAGAAAAGAAATTTCGCCAACAATCACCGGCTCAACATACAACTCTAACAAGAAAACAAATACTTGTTTGTAATTACGGCCCAACTGGAAATGTTATTGATCAACCTATTTATATCAAAGGGAAACTATGCTCTGAATGTCTCCCGAATACCACGTGCAAAAATGGACTGTGCTCTTATAATTAGCTTAATGAATTTTTTATGATGATGACGTTCTCATATACTATGTTTTTGGAAAAGCACATTTTTATCAATGATTCATCCTTTTAAACAGAAGTCATGTAACTTTTAATTCATATATAATGGCATACGTATTATTTTGATATTTATAATTTAATGATCGTTAAAAATCTACTTTTCTTATCATTCAAGTTATTTTATTACATTATAATTACTTGAGCTATTTAAAAACTATTTAAAGATTCAGAATAAAATTGTCTGAATGAACTAATTGAATGAATAGAATTAATTCTATTTAATGAAAAAGATTTATGTAAATCATCATGTCTGTATATAATATATTCAACATGACCCAATTAAATAAATAATAAATACACTGAAAAACCTTTTAGTTACCTTTTTAAAAAATGTCAATAATTCCCAATTCGTTTTAGTCTGAATATTTCTCCAAAAATATCTTTCAAGAGAAATGATGAAACAGTAAACTTATATTTCATCAATAATTATTAACATTATAAGAAGAAGAGTAATTATGTATTTCAACTTTCTATTGATTGAAATGATTTTATATCATTTACTCAATAATCAAAAATAATTTAATTATTAACAATAAATTCAATTGAACGGTTGAGGTGTAGAAAAATCTTAAAATAAATTGAAATTTTCGCGCGGAAGGTTTTCTGCTTAAGGTCCTGTGTGATTGGTCATTGAATGGACAGCTCGGTGACTCATTGGAGTACAGTTTATCATCCTAACATCAAGAGGAATAGAATGATTGGTAATTAAACTACAAAGTTTATTAAACGATTCACCACATGTTGATTAATAAACTAAAATTAAACTCTTGTGAGTAGAATCGGAAATCGTAGGTGTCATCGCACCAGTGCGAAGACGCGCGATAAACGGACAGAAAAGGTTGTCCATGTTCGTGTGTTTGAACTACGAATTCCGAGTGTTCACGACTGCGAGAACAAGGGGGTAGAAGTGCGCCGTGTTACGTCACACGCGACACAGAATTATCATTTTCGTGGTGGCCGAAGATCGGCCGTCTCTCTCCCCTAATCGTCGGTTGCCTTTTGCCACGAGGTGTGGCTAGTGATTTATTTTCTTTTCGTAAACAAAAGCCCGTCTTGATACAGACGGTAATAAAGTGTTTACTAACGCGCGCCTTGTCTCAAGCAATCTAGGCGCGTCATCAGCATAACCTAAAAATCCCTAATCGTTCATGTTGCAAAATTGCACGGGCATAATTGGCCCTTGTTGTCGCACATAAATCACCTCGGCTTGACCCTCGCCGTGGTCTCTAATTTATAGTGAGTTAATTAAATTTGCCTTTAAACTAGACACTATTTCATCATATTAAAGATTACACCGGAAATTATTCAAAATTCCGGTCCCCACTAAGAAACGAGAAAGCGCCCAACGAACAGGCGATAGAAATCTACAAATCAGTGGCGAAGATACATCGTCAACTGGTACCATGAACAATAAACGAAAAAACCGCTCCAATCCAGCTAGGTAAATTCCTTTATTTCATCTCATTTGCTAGTACATCTTGTCAAATCTTTTTTCAATCAATGCTTGACTGGATAAAAATGACAGCCATCAAATTTCCATGTCAACTGATAAGATACTACTGAGTCACTGCATAAAAAATCATAGTTCTTAGCTCTAAAAATTAATGCTAGCATAGAATTATGTCTAATTTTATTTTACATTATATCTGGGAATATTTGATAATTTGTACTTTTTTAATTTATTCTGTTGTGTGACATAATTAAATCAATTTCAATGTTATTATAGATCCCCAAGGGGACGAGGTCCCCAAGAGCGAAGTGTTGTAGCTGAAGGTGTTTATAATAATGCTCATTTTATGCATGCAATAACAAGTCATGTTGGCAATACAGTACAGGTACGATTGTTTGTTCAATTTTTTTTAACAATTATGCAATCATGTTTAACAATAATATATTTCAAAATGTGTTGTGTTTTCTTTTAGATTCAAACTTTAAATGGCTCACTTTACGAAGGTATCTTTAGGACTTTCTCAAGTCAGTTCGAAGTAGTACTAGAAATGGCTCATCGTGTAGAAAATTCAGGCAAAATTTGTGTTGATACTGTAGTTGAAAAACTTATATTTAAGCCACAAGATATAATTACAATGTCTGCAAAAGACGTTGATTTGGGTTACGCAATAAGAGATACATTTCAAACTGATACAGCTATTAGTAAGTATAATGGAATAACGGAAGAAAAAGAACTAGAGCCTTGGGATGCACCCTCAACAATAAATGGCGATGATTATGAATTAGATGGAGCTGCTGTGAGTATCATAATTGATAAGAAATTGTATTCTATCAAATAAATTTTAATGTAATTTGTTTATGTTACAGAATGGTTGGCCTGCTCACGAAATGTTTAGTAAAAATGAACAAGTTTATGGTGTTCAAACTACATTTGAACCTTCTTTAGCTGGTTATACTTTACCTTTGCAGCGCAAAGATACTAAAGAATTTAAAGATCAAGAACAAAAAGCTGCAGAAATAGCTAATGAGATAGAATCTCAAGCAGAACACAAAGCACGATTAGATTTAGAAAATGGCGATGAAGAGGAACGTTTTGCTGCTGTAATAAGACCAACGTCTAACGAAGGTAAATATGTTCCTCCTGCCAAGAGAAATAGTGTTAATACAGGTAAATTAACACGATCCACACCGCCGCCACCTTCATCTGGTCCAGGAAATAATAAAGTTTTCAATCAACCTCCTCCGGTTAATACAAATTCGCCGCAGACAGGCAACATTCCAGTTGGTGGTTCAACCAATCATCCTCCTGTGCAACATGCTGTTATGCCTATGCCACCAAGTGGTGTTGTTGTTGCTTATAATACACCACCACCATTCGTACCACCGCCAACTACTACTCAACCTCCATCTGGTGCTCCAGTACCAGTTATGGCTCCAGTTCAGCCACAACCACAACACGGTTCAACAATTCCTCAAGTTACTTTTATTCCTCAACAGCAACCACCACCTCCAAATAAGTTGAATCTTGATAAACGTGAACGTCTGGGGCGGCAGCAAGGCTATCAGGCAGATAAAGCTCCTCCTGCACCATTCCCTCAAACAACAGCTTCACATCAACAACAATCTTCTCCACATACTCCGCATACTCCACTTCAGCAGCAGAATTCGATAGAGAATCAACGCAGTGATCTTCTGACTCCTAAAACTGAACACAGAAAAATTCCTACTCCAAGAAGTAGAGAAGAGCAGCACGCAGAGCTTCGTCAATTTTCTACTGATTTTAAATTAGCAGAATCTTCAAATCAGGAGCCACCATCAATGCCTCGAAAGCAGCAGCAACAGCAACAACAACAACCGCAACAGCAGCCACATCATCATCAAGATGCTCATACACCACAAACGATGCCTCAATCACATCATCCTCCAGTTCATCAACACCCACCAACTCCTCAACAGCAGCAGTCAGCACCTCCAACATCACATCAAACTCCTCATCAACAACAACATCAGTCTGTACCCGAGGAACCAATCGTTACAGGCAAACCACCACCTGGTCCTGTATCCGTCAGAACTATTACACCACCTCAAGCTCAGACGCAAACTTCGCCTTCTATTCAACCGAGCATAGAACCTGCTGTTGAAAAAATTACCACTGCCTTTAAGAAGTCAACGTTAAATCCAAATGCGAAAGAGTTTAATCCTAATGCCAAACCATTTACTCCGGTATGTATTAATATAGATTTAAATGTTATTTTTGTGCAATATATTGATGAAAAAATTTTTTTAGCGTTCACCTAGTACACCAACTCCCAGTAGACCACACACACCCCAAACTCCTCAATATTCTGGAGCTATGCCTGCAACGGTGGTCATGACTCCTGCTTATGTAATGACGAGTCAACCACCCGCGGCATTCTCACAGCCACAGGCCCAACCTGTACCAAGGTTCCGGAAGGGTCAATATCTAGGTACTTATACAACATCAATTATTATATTACTTTCTATTAATTTCTTCTCACTTAATCAACTATTCTATTTAAAATTATTCATAAATAAACATCAACGTTTTCCTATTTTCTAGTACCAATGATGCAACATCGAGCGCCGGATATTGCGTCACAAATGCAAGTAGCAGCAGCTACAGGTCAACCTTTACTCGCTCCAGGGCCTCTTCATCCATCATTTCAGGTGCCTTATCCAGGTCAGCCAGCTTATCAGCAAATGGTACGTATGGTGCAAGCACCACCGCCACCGCCACATATGGCTACGCCTTATCATCATCATCACGAATCTCCGGGACCTCAAAATCCTGGTATTCAGTATATGGGACCCCATGGACATCCTCATCAGCATCACGTAGGACAACAGCCTCCTAATCAAGCGCCATCGCCAGCTAACCCAAATCCTCCCCACACACCTGGTGCATATAATCCACCAGGTACCCCTCAACCGTCGTATCCACAGCCTCCACCGCAAGGCCACGCGCCCAGTTACCCAATTATGTGTCCATTAATTCCACCACACATACCTATTCCCCCTCAACATATGCCCTATCTTCAACCGCAGCCACCACCTGGTGCTCAACAAGCTATACCAGTTATTTTACCCCATAATCAGTAGCCACGAAGACAATCGAGAAGAGAGAAACGTTAGTATTTCTGCTGAAACGCTAGGCAGTAAAGAACATGAAGTGAAGCCGTATGCTCTGGATTTTTATTTTATTTCGCTAACAATGAAGTAAAAGTACGGAATACAAGATCGTATATACACTAGTATACTTATATATCGAGATCTTACATACTTGCTATTGGTTTTTTGCTGTTAGCTAATATTAAAGCTCTTTACTTTTTCCTGCTAATAATTATCACTCTTCTTACAGCTTTGAAAACGTACCTTATTATTTGTTTTTCACTGGGTACTAAACTGTTGGGTGACTAACTAAATTTGTTCTTGAGTCTATTATTTCTCTTCGGCAAAAAACCATACTGTGAGTTTAGAAATGCAAAAAGTAAGTAAGAAGAATAAGAAAAAAATGTGAAAAGGAATAAAAAAAGAGCATTGCGTCTAAACACGTGTTCGAATAAACGTTTTCTAACTTCTTGAAGTAATTCTCTCAACTTTGGAATGTTTAAATTTCCAATTGTCGGCTCGATTGTCATCAAATCTGCCAATCTTACGATTTAGGTCGTAAAACGATGAGCAGTAGCCTTGCATGTGAAATCTCGGGACTTTCACATGACTTTTATTTAATTTTTTTGTCCCCGATTGTTTTATTATCGATCAATTCAACTAAATTATTAATATAGCCAGTTAATTACTATCCAAAGTGATTTACTAATTAACTGACTTTTTCTGAATCTGTTTTGTTTCTTCGGAAACATTCTCTATTTGCCGATGTATGTCATTTCATCAAATCAGTTGCCTCTCACTTTCTAAATAAAATTTTCAGCTCGATTAATTACGCGAACAAACTATTTCAACGTGCTGGATCACATTTGAAGGCCTTTCTTGAGTGATTCTTGTACTCACTACAAGCATATTAATTCGCAATCATAACTTAATTATGAAAAAAAGCTGTGAGCTCTTATATAACGTGAGAACTTTACTACCACTTGTCCCACTCTGTAGTTTACAAATCTGATAAATATGAAAAAAAAATCTAATAATGAAGATCAACATGCCCGCATGATCTTAAAGAGGTTTGAAAAACTGATTGTTGAATGCAATTAAGCAAAGTATTTGATAAAAATATTTTGAATGAACAAAAGAAAAATAATTTAATAAATCGAAAAAATGTCATTTGGGAAACATCTTAAAATGAATGAATGAATAATAAAAGTATGCGAAGGATGCTATTTTTTTTAAACTAAGTTTTATTGGCATGAGAATGTTGCTGGGGAAACTCGAATAGTTAAAATTTGACAAACGTAAATGAATGTTAGTGTAATGTGCTTACGTAGAGCATTAATCATCGACGCTCTACGGTTTGTTGATAATAAAATGATTTTTGTTACGAGATGGTGGATGTGTAATGTGTAAAAGTCATCGACAATCTAAAGGATAAAATACAAGAAAGACATGAATATTAATATGCTAATTAATAAGATTGTCGTGTAAGTGAGAGAGTAAAAAAAGAACGAAATTTCTCATTCAGGCGGGGAATCAACTCGTGTATGAATGTTTCATTTAATATAAAATTTGTTGAAATATCATCTAGCCACCACTCGATGTCACTTTTTATCTCTTTAGATAACTATGTTCCACAAAAGTTTGTTTATCAAGAGAAATTATTTTATTAATGTAATAATAAAATATTTTCTTTGGATTAAGAACTCGACTTTTAATTTACCATCAGCAACCATGAAATGTATTAACTCTTTGTAACATGAATCGCTCAATATTTTTGAAGTATTGAATGTTTTTTAGCTCTTTTTATAATATAAAGAAAAGCATTGTTTAAATCGAAAATAGTGCAGTGTTATAAAAAAAATACTTCAAGTGAATAATTTGTTTTTTTTATAATAAATTAATACTAATCATGTGTCATCAAATCAAATGACAAATCAAATTGTACGTATGATTATTATTTAATGAATTAATTAAATTTCGATGGAATTTATTGTGCGGAATGTTCATACACGAGTAATGAAAGTTATTAAATCTATTAATTAAAATGTTTGAAATAAAATTGGCACGGAAGAACTAGAAAATGAAATGAATGAATTGCCATTTGACTAGTATTGTTAACGAAATCAAATTTGATTTCAAAAATTTCGATTAAAAAATTAAATCTTGAAAATAATGAATATCATAAATGTCAAAAGATCTTTAAATTTTGAATAATGATTAATAAAACGCTGTAAAGAGTATCATACAAATACATAATAACAAAAATATGAGTGTGTGGAAAATGACTTTCCCTATAAGGGCGACAATTCGCTGCGTGGCATCGTTAGACACAAATTTTATATCGAAGAGATTTAAAAAAAAAACATCAAAATAAACTAAATAAGTAAAAACACCACATTCATCTAGTTTTATTTATTCAATTTCTTTTTAAATTTATTAATGCTTTTAAATTTACCGCCAACCTGTCTCTCGGTTGATCAAATAGGTATCTTATTCTTATTTATGCCACGGGAGTTTGTTTTTGTAAAACACGTGGTCATAAATATAACCTTATTTCAAGAGCATTTGCTGTCAATTTTATTGAAGAAATGAGCTCAATGGAACTGAAAAATAAAATTTTTAAACAAACGTGGAAAGACTTAGAGGCAAATCTAAGTAATCCTATCGTAGAAACATTAAAAGAACTTAACTTCAATTTCCTTACACCTATTCAAGTAAGTTTTAATTAATCTTCATTTTTTCTGCATTTTCGTATTAATGATTGATAAAGTTGAAAGCCAAGTACATTCAATAAAATTTTGAGGAGATATTCATAAGTACCATTGAAAATAGTGTGGTAATTTTTAAAACATTTTATTACACTTTTTTTTAGTTATTACCAATTTAAGTAAATCCCAATCATAGGCTTTTGTAGAGGTCACGTGATTTTTTTTATTAAAAATATAATTTCTTTCAGTATGATGAAGTAGTTTTGATAAAAAATTACATGATTTCCATAAAAGCCTATGCATAACGATCTACTTGAATTGTTAATTACTAATAAACAGTGCGATAAAATGTTTTCAAAATTACCAAACTATTTTCAATCGTACTAATAAATATGTCTTTAAAATTTTATTGAATTTACTTGGCTTCTAATTTAATCTTTGAAATGCTCAAACTTCCTTAATTTGAACAATTATTTTGCAGGCAGCATGTATACCTATTTTATTATCTGGAAAAGATGTTGCAGCAGAAGCTGTTACTGGAAGTGGAAAAACCTTAGCGTTTCTCATTCCTTTACTTGAACTGCTTCAGGTTCTCTTACCTTAATTTGATAACAATAAATAATTTAATAATAAAATTATTAATTAAATATTAAAGTATTTAATAAATAATTTTTTTTTCAGAAAAGAGATGAAAAATGGAAAAAAATAGAAATCGGTGGGATTATAATCTCTCCTACGAGAGAATTAGCGACACAAATTAGTGAAGTATTAGAAATATTTTTAAAAAGAATACCAAATTTAAAACAAGTTTTAGTCGTTGGTGGAACCACAGTGAAAGAAGATATTTTGAAACTCAAAAATGGAGTAAATATTATTATTGCCACTCCTGGGAGATTAAAAGATCTTCTTTCAAATTGTAAAGACATTAATTTAGCTGCTGCTGTAAAATCTTTGGTAATTAAAATAACTTTTCTATACACCATGATAGAATAACTTCCGACTAAGGTCTACATCAGTTTTACAATCATATTTCTAGGAACTGCTTGTACTGGACGAAGCCGATAGATTATTAGACCTCGGATTTTCTGCAACTTTAGACTCGATTTTGAGCTATTTACCACGATTAAGAAGAACAGGATTATTTTCTGCTACACAAACTAAAGAATTAGAGCATCTAATCAGAGCAGGATTAAGAAACCCAACAATAGTATCTGTGAGAGAGAAATCTAGTATCTCAACACCTGTAGCGTTAAACAATTATTTTACGATCGTTGATCCTGCTCATAAATTCAGTATTTTAATCGACTTTATAAAGTCTAAAGGATTAGATAAGAAATACATGATTTTCTTTTCTACGTGCGCTTGTGTAGATTATTTCAATTCCGTAATAACAACGTAAGAAACAATATTTTTATTTTTTATCACGCTTTGATCAGTTTTTAATTAATTTATTATAATTATTAATTTATGATTATTTTTAGAATTTTCTCTAAAGAAAATGTATTTGCACTTCATGGAAAAATGAAAAACAAAAGAAATAAAATTTTTGAAGATTTTAGAAAAATTAATAGTGGAATATTGGTATGTACAGATGTAATGGCACGAGGAATTGACATTCCTGAAGTAGATTGGGTATTACAATATGATCCACCGTCCTCTGCGAGTAGTTTTGTTCATCGATGTGGTAGAACAGCTCGTAGTGGCCATGAAGGCAATGCATTACTTTTTCTTTTACCTACTGAAGATACTTACATTGAATTTATCAAACGAAATCAAAAGGTTGAACTTAAAGAAATTGAATTAAACATTTCAGTTAAAATTTATGAAAAATATTTAAATATTATGAGAAATCTACAAATTGAAGACAGATTTTTATTTGATAAAGCAAATCGAGCTTTTGTGTCATATATTCAATCTTATAGCAAACATGAATGCAATTTAATTCTGCGATTAAAAGATATGGATCTTGGGAAAGTTGCTCTGGGTTTTGGTCTGTTAAAAATGGTTCGAATGCCAGAGTTGAAAGGCCGTGACATTTCGGAGTTTAAAGAAGCTGTAGTCGATATTAATTCAATTGCGTATAAAGACAAAATGAAAGAGGAAAAGAGATTGGAGAACCTTAATGCTTATAGGCAGACAGGAGTTTGGCCAGGGAAAGGTAAACGACGGGTAAAGTCGACGGAACCTTGGTCTGAAAATAAAAAGAAAACACTTGAAAGAAAAGAGAAACGCTTGACAAGGAGAGAAAAAAGAAATAAGAAACGTGTGGAAGCGGGTGGATCGGAGAAAACGATAAAGAAAAAAAAAAGAAAAGCTCCTTCTCAAGAGGATATGGACGAATTAGCGAGGGATATTGCGTTGATTAAAAAATTAAAGAAGAAAAAGGTATTTAATTCAATGCTAAACCAAAATAATCTTAAATTTATTCAATAATTAATCGTAAAAGTAGTAGATTTATTCTTTAAGTATACTTATTACTAATAATTTGATAAATTGTTAATTCTTTTTTTAAGTTAAATAATTAATTAATCATTTTTGAATTATTTTGCATTGTAAAAATATATTTTATTTGATTACAGATATCCGAAAAAGAATTTGATGAAATCTTTGCAGTAATATAGCAAGTAACACAAAGATGTGTAAAAAATTCTTAATAATAAATATAAGATCGTCCTTAAAGATCTTGAAATCTTTATACAAACTCGTTTAGTTTTTTTATTATTGTTTCTTTTTGTAGAAGTTAAAGTACTTAATATTAAATTGAAATTCTTTATTTCATTATAATCATAATGATTAATCAATAGATTTTTGTTTATTATTTAAAGTCATTTTTTGGAGCTGTATGCATTACGTTATTTTAAAATATAAATATTAATAACAAAGGGGTCTTTCAAGACCTTGGGGTGTAACATAAACGTGTATTTCTCAGTGCTTTATGGACTACAGAGGAAATATCTTTACGTTTCCTGTTTCAGCAGTTGAAGCCAAACAAAGAGCATTGAAAATAAAATCGTATTCTCTTACTTTTGCAATAGTTCCTTCAAATTTCTACGAGTGGTACAGCTAAAGAAAAGATTTCTTTATTTATACTTGTATGTATTAAAATGATATACACTCGAAAAAGTCATTCATAAATTGACTCAATGAATTACTGGAATCAAGTATAATTGAGAATTCAAGTTAACATTCCTTTTATAGAGAATATTCTAGATCATTAGCTAATCGAATTCGATATATGTATATATATACATATATATGCTATAACTTATCTTTGCATTAATAGTTAATATAATATGCCATTCAAGTATTTAATTGTTGGGTTGAGATAAAAGAGATTGAAGTATGAATAAAAATTGGAAAGGAATTTAAAAAATGTTGAAGCATGTGATCTACTGATCCAGTGTGTCTTCGCTATGCATATTCGTGTTTGCTATACTCTTATATAGTACGTTCAACAACTGGTGACTCAATGTTGAATGAAAGAGTGGGGCGAGATGAGTCAGAAGGCGCGTAGTAGCCGAAAGTACTGAAGAAACGAGGGTTTTCTCCAGTCAACAGTGAGCAGTCGTCAGCATAAAGTAGTTAAGAACGTGTATTATCATATAAATGAAACACCAACAAAGCCTGCATAATTTTTAATGCATTTTTTTTTTGGAGCATAGTTTTATTTTTTTATAATTAGAATAAGTTGTGATATCATGGGTCAAGACACTCAAGTAGAAAAGGAAGATGATCGTCCCAAGTGGCTTTTGGAGTTGGAAAATCGAAAAAGAAAGGTCAGCTATTCACTAAAAAATCAATATACTTTTTTGATGATTCAGAGTAAAAAATTATATTGATATGATTGGTAATATTGAAAATTTTCAAAAAATTGACGCATTTTTCAATGGGTTAATTAAATAATTCATTATCTTTGTGTGTCATATCTTAAGAAGTCGATGAATCATCCACTATTCTATCGTATATGTATATAATATTCGATTTTTAATTATTATATTGATATTTTTAAATTAATCAATCTAATAATTAATAAATCATTATAAAATAGAGTATTTTTATAAATTATTTATTACTTACATTCCAGCCACGATTAGCTCACGAAGTTGGTGCAGGATCACCATGCATAAAATGTAACTCTGATTGTCCAGGTTTAGATTTGCATTTTTGGAGAAAAATTTGCAAAAATTGCAAATGTGGCCGCGATGATCATGATGTTCCTGATGATGAATTTCCACAGTTTGATTTATTATTTGGTCCTTCAGGCAAACCTAAACGACGAGCGATTGGTAATTATAATTTCACTTTCTGATTTGAAAATTAACCTTAATTTTCAAAACTTATTCGTGACTATTTTATGAGTCTATTAAAACATAATTTGTTTTTTAATAAATATGCATGCATAAATAGTTTTTTTGTTTTAAACAAATCCATGAAAATGTATACTACAATTTTGTATGAAAAATTTTATCAAGCATGGTAGAAATAGTATTATTTAGTGGTTATCGATTTTTTACTTGTTCGATTAATCTCTCAGATAATCATTACTTTTACTTTTTTAATACAGATGAAGATACTGATTTAAAATCGAAACCAATTTTTTTTTTGTGACTTGTTTTTACCAGAATTACTTCATTTGACATTGCTTACCACTTGAGTCAAATTGAAGGATAAATTTTATCGTTACAAAATACGATTAATATGAATTTTTATCATTATAAAAAAATAAGATATTATTTTTTTGCACAATAATAATAACAACAACAAAATCTGAAAATTTTATTGTTACTTTTAAATGTTACAGTGCTTAAAATAAATAAGCAACAAGTAGACAATGAAGAAACATTTGAATGGGCCCCACCAGACACAACAAAAGAGTTAGCAGCAGATTACATGAAAGCATTACCTCAAGACAAATTGCCCATCAAAGGGTCTATAGGAGCAGCTTTGAGAAAGCAACAACTTCAAAAACAGCTTCCATTACATGACATTGATCATAAAGTTTGTGATGAACTGTCCGAGTCAGAGAGAAAGCAGTTTGAGAAATATTTAGAAAATATTAAGAATTATGTTGGTCAAGGAAAAGTATCAAAAATTGTGACTGCTAAACCATTTGAAAAGTCTTTAATAACTCCAGCTAATGCTTCCGAATGTTTTACTCCTAATCATAAGATCAATGTAATCAATAGTCAACCTCCAAATTTAAGAACTCCAAGTAGTTTTGTTCCTAAATCAATCAAAATGCAGTTAAAACCGTCCTTTACATCTCAGGAAGAAACATTAAATGTTAACCCAAATCATAATTTAAATCGAAGTGTTAATAGTAGTAACAGTTTATTAAATAATGATTCTCAAGCTACACCAAGTCAATTGAACGACATTCCAAGCTCTCTTTTAGGTCAAAAAATGAACAATAAGCTTAAGAATGATACTCAAGCCATACAAAGTAGGCTAGATAAGGTAAAGAGTCCTATTATGGATAAAGCTCTTAGTGATTCTTCAAAACTAGAACCAGGTAGATATCATCATCTCTTGGAAAATATAAAAAATGGGGAAAAAATGGCAGAATCCAATTTATTACCTTGCGATTATAATGCTGCGATTAATTTTGCAAATATTAAGAAATTATCTCCAGAAGAAAAATATTCTACTGCTGATCAATATAATAATGGAGTTACTCGAAAAGATTTTGCTAATAGTTCATCTAATTTTGGTCCAAAAAATTTTAATAATTCTCCATTACAAGGGTCTTCCAAAAATTCTGAACAGAATGGATGTTATAGTAATCGCGAAATAACTCCAAAAGTACCTGAATACTTAGTATCAGTGAATTCTGTTCCATCTAATAAATACAATCCTTTATTGAACTTAGTTAAGTCTAATTTAAATACCAGTAACAAACTCAATAATGATTCCAATAGTCTTCCTTATCAATCAGCGCATCAAAAAATTGAGAATCCACGTTCTGAATTAGCAAAAATCGATTCCGGACCACTCAAATCTCATTGTTGGGCTAAAAAATGGAATCAATTATCTGATGAAAGCAATATAAATTCTGACAGAGATGAAAATTCGATTTTGGCTTCAAAAATGCTATCAGATGCTCTACTTCCCCCAAGTTCTATTCACTCTTCTGATATTATTGGAAGTACTTTAGATCAGAAAGGGCTTTCGTTTATCAGGGAAAAACTTGCTTCAAAATACAATCCAACAGACGGACCAGTTGATCAAAATAATCTTTTGAAGAGCCGAGAATTGAAACAAGAAAACCAAAAACCACTTTCAAAGCTTATTAATCAAGGATTCAATACAAATTCAATAAATCAAAATAATTCTAAACCAGTTCAAGCTCATTTCAGTAGTTACAAAACTCCAGAAAATTCTACAATTAATTCAGAAAACTTGAAGTATCCTGTGTTTCCTGAAGAGGCTGTTGGTACTACACGAATCGTGGAGGATCCTAATGTCAATAGGTTGGGAGGAGCAATGAACAATTTATCAATGAATCAAAATAATCATAAAGTACAGAAATGTCATCAGTGCCAAGAAGGAATTTTTGTTGGGGATGTGGTCGTAACCGCAGAAAAAGCCAAAGATGCGGCATGGCATCCTGGATGTTTCGTTTGTTTTGAATGTAATGAACTACTTGTAGATCTAGTTTATTTCTATTATAAAGGAAAACTTTATTGTGCTCGTGACCTTGCTAATTTATTGGGAATTCCTCGATGCTTTGCTTGTGATGAGGTAAGAACCATTTTTAAAATAAACGTAAATTCTCCATATCATTATTAATATTAATTCTCTAATATTTTCAAACGTTAAAATTGCAGTTAATCTTTGTAAGAGAATATACAGTAGCAGAAGGTCACAATTACCATGTGAAACATTTTTGCTGTTGGGACTGTGATATGCCATTAGCAGGACAACAATATATATCTGAGAACGATCGACCTCTTTGTTTCCTTTGCTATCAAAAAACTTATGCAAAAACTTGCTATAGCTGTCAAAAATTAATAGAAGCCGATCAACAAGAGTTAAATGTTAAGGATTTAACGTTTCATGCATCTGATAAATGCTTTTGCTGTGCTAGTTGTAGTAAAAGTTTGTTAAATGGTCGAATGACTATAAAAGAAAATAAGTTATTTTGCAGCAAGGAATGTGTTACTATGTATGTCAATCAAAGCCGATCTTGAACTATTATTCTTTTTACTAAGAATATTATTATATTAATTATTTTATACAATTGATGAATAATAATTATTTATTCATATAAAATGCATAATTTTGAGTTATTTATTTAATGTCATTTTATGAGTTAACAGGAATTGATTTATAATAAAATAAAAATAGCAATAGATTTTTTTCGTAAAATATGTATATTTTTCTAATAAAAATAATAGAACATTTAAACATTAATCATATTATTTCAGAATTATATAAATGTATGGTTAACGTTTAATTTTAAAAATATATTTATCATTTGAATAAAAAAATATATATATTCAATTGATACAAGCAAATAGCAGAAACAATACAGTTCAAATGCAAGAGTAAATATCTTTAATGCTAGTAATTTTTTAAAATATTTTTTTCAATCTTCTTACAAACTAAAATTATTATTATAAACTAAATTTTTTCATTCAATATCCATGAATGTTTTCAGAATGTTGTCTGATTATAAATGGCTATCTGCATTAAATATCAATGAATAATTTTTTCCAGTTTTCCCAATACATATCTCAACAAAATGACAAAAACAATTACTCAGAGTCGTCATCGAAAATAATGTTATTGATTTTTTTGCTTTCTGTTTTAGCTGTAGTTTTTTGAGACCGAGTAATACGACCTGAAATTTTAGAGAAAATTTTCTTAGATAAAGTGAGGTACATGATAACTTTATAAATAAAATAATTTCATTTTTTACCTTCAGAAATTATATTTTTCGGGTCCAATTCTGCCACCTCTTGTAAACGCTCTTTTTTATTCTTAACTGCTTCACACTTCTCCAACGTTGGTCTACCAATAACTCCATTTTCCTTCAGTAGTTCTTTCAAGCGATCGACTTTTTGTTTTGGTGTCTTACATTCAGCCCAAAGTTCCCGATAACATTTTACTTTAATGCCAGCTGCTTTGAGATATTTTTTTAAGTTTGCAATTTTTTTCTCATTATCGGATGCTTTATATTTTGTATCTTTTTTCTGATTTTTATTGTCACTATTACTTTCAGACTCTTCTTCACTTGATGATTCTTTATTACCATCATCATCTTTGTCTTCAGTTTTTTTTGTCGCAATTTCTTTATCTTCTTTATTCTTTTCATCAGATTTTTCTTTTTCATTTTCCTTTTTTGCTGGTTTCTTTTTATTATCTTTCATTGCTTTCGTATTTTTTTTCACAGCTTCATCTTTTTCTTCTTTTTTTTCTGTCTCTACAGGTTTTTCTTCTTCTTCTTTAGATTCATCATCGCTCTTTTCGGTTTTGCTTTCACTTATTTTTCTTAACTTTGATTTTGTCTTTGTTTCTTTTACTTCTTGATCATCTTTATGGTCTTCATTATCTGATGAGGTATTTAGCCGTTTACGGGGTCGGCCACGTGGTCTCTTTTCTCCTTTAGCAGGAGTCTTAGCAGGAGTTTTAGCTGAAGTTTTAGACGGTGTCTTAGCAGGTGTCCTAGTTGTTGATTTTTTGATTTTCTTTTTTGATTTAGTATCATCTTCGTTCTCAGAATCATTTTCTGAACTTGAAACTACTTTAGTGCTTTTCTGTGTTTCAATAGTTTTTTTCATGACAGGTTTTTTATTCTCTTCTACATCTTTTTCATCTTTTTTTTCATTCTTTTCTTCATCCTTATTTTTTATTTCAACTTTTTTTTCTTTAGTAGAATTTTCTTCATCTTCTTGATCTGACTTTTCTGCATCAGATACACTCATATCTAACTCATTCGAATGAGTCTCTGAACTATCCTTTACGATAATTGTCTTCGATTTTGGCTTGACAACCTCTTCTTTTTCACTATCAGAAGACGCTTCTTTGTCACTTGCGCATTCTACAGAAAGTTCTAGACTATCAACAACTTCAGTACCTTTGCTATTCTTACTATTCATTTTTTTTGTCTCTTTTTTCTCAAGAAGTGTTTTCTTCATTTTAGATGAATTTTTTTCTTCATTTTTTGGATTGTTCATTTTACCATTTGTTACTGTTTCTGAATTCTTTGTGTCTTTATCCTATAAGTTAATTTGGAGAATTAAAGTTAAATCAAAAAATTTAAAATATTATGGTTTGAATTATATAAGACTATTCATTGTACATATTAACTAATTTATTACCTGGTTATTTTTTTCTTCGCTCAAATTCTTTGTATCCTTGTCAAGTGATATATCAAATTCTTTGTCTGTTTTAGTTTTGTCTCTCCCGTTTTTCTTTTCAGTATCATCATTTATTGAATCATTAGAATTGTCTTCTTGGCGAGGCTTTTTTACAGTTTTTTCAACATCCTCATCTGTCACTGAGTCATCTCGAGGACGTTTATTAGAGATTTCAGTAGTAGATTTTGTCTCTGAATTTTCAGTAGTACTATTTTTTTCTTTATCTGGGGTTACTTCAGTTGATACTTCCATTTTTTCTGCATCAGTTTCCATGACGCCAAGTTCAACCATATCTAAAAAATAAGACGGTTTTATATAACGATTGTATAATATTAAAACATTGAGTAATACATCTTGAAGTAATATTAGGATTAAAATAAAAATTGAAAATAGTCTATAGGAAAATATTTTATTAAATAATGTCCAAAGATTTCATTTATATTGAATTAAATAATTTATGAGGACCCAAAACATTAGTTATCAACTAATGCCGGCTTACATTTTTATTTTTAATGAAAAAATTTGTTAAAAGTATTCATAAAATTGTTATTAAAAATATATTTTATGCAGTCGAAGTAACTTTTGACAGAAAAAAAAACAACTTTCCGATAGCGTTCTTTTCTAATAGGAATGAACAGAACCTCAAAACAATACTAACATTCGTTCTTCAATTGCCGGTTATTTTTTAAACGTAAATATTTATAAAAATGTAAGAGAAATATTCAATAAATTCGAAGAACTTACTTGGTTAACTATTCGTTCTTTATTATGCTTCAATTTCCACACGTTCGTTCTTGTAAAAAATGCGCGGCAATGTATTTTTGCGGTAATAACTTACATGCTGCCATTAGAAAAAAATTTCAATATGGCTGTTAGATATAGTTGATTCTTATTTTATCGACAACTAAAAAATTTAAAATGATTTTCTGTAATACTAACTTTTGGTACATGTGATTACTTAATTCAATTTTTAGAAAGCAATTAATTCTGGTGGAATAATGTTTAATTACATTTAAATTATTTAAAATGATATTTAATGAACAATAATCTGAATAAATTACTTAGTATACCATAAAAAGTAATTATTAGGATATCAATTAGGGTAAGTAAATGGTTGCAATGTTAATAGATAAGATAAATCATCTTACTTCAAATTATATACATGGTTTACACATATTTTACTTATTAATACAATTGGTAAAGCTGTACACAAGTTTTATGACATTATGATTCAACTTAATTATGTATGCTGTAAAATTTTAAAAATACTTTTCAATTATTATTTTTTTTTTGTTCTTAAAAATAGTAAAGTATTTGTGTAGTGTAATCAAAACATACACTTGATGATTATCCTTATCACTAATTATATTACCATTGTGAATCTTCCTTCATTTTCATTTTATCGTCCTTTTTATAAACACGTTGATATTCATCACAATAACTCATACCATATATAGGTTTTTGGAGTGGAGAATGATTTGGTGAAAACTTCATTTCTTGAAGTTCTTGAAGTTCTTTTAATGAACGCATAACCATTTGGACATCCTTTTCTTGTTCACTTGGTTGAACTATATTACTAATACCTTCATCTAACATTTCTTTTCTTTTTTCATTATTTAATCTCGGCGCATCATCATTTATTATTTGACTCAAATAATTAGTAGCTGCCATTGTTTCTTCAATTTGTCTTTTTTCTTGTTCTTCTTTAGATAATGTTGATGGTGATAACATAACATTTAATACCCCAACTCTGGAAGACGGTTGTTGATTTGATTCAGCCATCTTATGATCTTTTCTCTTCTTTTCAGGATCAAATGATTTTTCTTTCATCCATCGATCTCGTTTTCTTATTTTTTGATCACATAAATAAACATCACTTTCTCGATCGTCTGTTCGCTTTTCAGATATTCCACTTACACTTTCTTGTAATATTCTTTGTTTAAGTGATACAGGTTTGGGTCCAGAAAATGTTGTTATAGAATTTGGAAATATCACATCAGATCGGAATATAGGATGTGATCCATCATTAATAACAGTTATTCCAGAGGAAGATTCATAGGGTGTAATAGAGACAATATCCTTTTTAACTTCATCTACCATTTTGTTCATTCTTTGATAATCGTTAACAGGAGTAATTGACAATGAGTTGCTAGTTAAATCGATTGGATCAAACTTATCAGTATGATTTTTCAATGGCTTTTGCGCCATTAATTGAGAAGTTGGAACTAAAGTTATTTTTGCTCCTGAAGTTCCAGAATTATTCACAGGTTGATTGGACAGTATTGAATTCTCTTTTACTTTTTCTTTGTACTTCGTATTGCTTGATTTTTTTTCAATAATTATTTCTGTTACAGGCGCTTTTGAATTTTGAATTATTGATGTATTATTTACAGAATTTTCAATTAAGGGTTGATCATATCGTGTTGGTGATTTCGCTGTTTCTGTCGATAATTTTTGATTCATATTAGTCGTTTCTAATTTTACATTGCAATTATTTGTAACTACTGATGAAAATTCGTTTGGGACTGACGTGTCCCGAGGCTTTTTCTGTTTTCGTTTGATGCTGTAACAAAGGATTCGGTCAAGATTTATTGCTCTGTACAAAAATATTTCATAAAGCAACATAAGGTTAGAAAAGAAGCAAAAGGAATGTACATAACAACATATATAAAATTTTTAATCAGAAGTTTGATTGTATTACATACAGAAATCAATCGCAGAACTGCTAGAATAATGAAAACTTTCACAGCCAAGTTTAGTTTTCTCAATGATGAATGAGTATTGACAGTGTATGGTTTGTTTAGAATTAGTTAATTTAAATAAATAATAAAGTAGAAAGCATATCAAAGTAGCAATAAAACAGCATAACTTTTAAATATTAATGATATGAGTTCTGTTAAACAAATCATCAAGATGAAAACAACTAACTAATCCGATTCAATGGGTTTCCTAAAACAATCACCAAAAAATAGAAAGGAAAACTAAAAGTAAAGATTATTCAACATTAGAAGAGAATTAAGAATTTTTAATTAGTCATAGGCGAAATTAAAAATTTTTTTTTCATTGTCACGATATACCGGTAAGACTTTAAAATGTTCACTTCGCCTATTCCTAACTTTAAAAATTAATTTTATTGAAATTGTTTCATGCAATAGTATAAACTGTAAAGTGTAAAATTTTAAGCTTTCATCAAGCAATACTACAAAAGAAATTTAAATTCAAAATTTACTTACGTCGATTCGGAACTAGCTATTGCCATCAAAACTTCTACTCTCATCCAATCTTTTGGCCACAAAGGCAATAGTTTACTTTTCATCATTGATTCCATAAATGCCTCTAGACTTTCTTTCCGTGGTTTTCGAATTTTATAGTATTGTCGCCATACATTTGCAATTTCACAGACCAGTTTTCTTTAAAGTGTTAGATTGATAAAAGATTATTATTGTTTTAATTAAACAAATTAGAATTAAGTAAAAAATTTAATTGATATACTTTGATTCATTGGTCCATGAAAATCGTTTACGAGAATTTTTCCCGTCTTTTGGAGATTTCTTATTTCCATCATCGCTACAGCCGTCTGACAATGGAATATCTATGCCTCTGTAAATGTAATTATTACATTAGGTTTTTCAGAGATACTTATTTGATTAAAACCATAAGTAAAAATATACTGATGATAAATGGCCCCCATGTCATGGATTTTCATGAAATCAGTTTAAATTACATTTCTTGACTTTTCGATTCAATTAATATTTGAATGTATAAGCGATTAAAATAAATAGATGATGAGCATAAGAAAATGTAAATTATTTGAGGGCATCTTACCCACAGTACCGATATATCTCCCAATATAAAAGTGGGCTAAGAAATAAAAAAAATGACTATTTTTCATATGTCAATTAAATATGAGACCAAAACACTAAAAGTCAGATATTTAATATTTTTTAAATCTAATATAAGCTTTACAGTAATTGACATGTCAAATACACTTTGTGGCACGTAATGTATTCATTGATTTATCATTAAGAACGTCGAAAATTGAAATTTTGCCAACAACTGTGCTGCCTATCTCATGAAACTTATAATTTTTTATTTTCTACTCAATTTTTAAGATTAGTAGGTTAGTATAGTTATCACGGAATTTTTTTTATTACTCACTTTTCATCGGCTATTTTCTTATTTTCTTCATCCTTTTGCGACGATACGATTCGATCTATTATCGTTTTTAACCTGCAACAATACATATTTTATGTCCAAAATAAATATCATTATAATTGATTTATTACATATACCTTTGAACAGGTTCTTTAACTCTTGTTTCAGCATCTTGAAGACAAAGCTTTCTAGCACGATTTACTAGCGTAATTTTACTACAAGATAAGAAATGCGCTAAGTGGCCGTAAACCTGCGACCTTATTGTTGATGACTCTGTAGCGCGTAATTTTTTTTCTAAGCTGAAAATCCATCAATTGTTTATTTATTATTAAATATTCCATTGGTTATTTACTAAATAATAATTAAAACAAGTGATTACCTTAACAATGTATCATTAACAGAAGTACCAAAAAATTTTATTTTTCCTTCTTTACTATTTTCAGCATGCTTTTTAAGCTTTGTAATAATTTCTTTTACATCTTCTGGAAGATTATCTGGTAAACGAATATCAATTTTTTCAGCATCTTCACATTCCGATGATGTCCCAGCTATGCATCGTGATTTACCAGAATCTATTGTGTCTCGGCTAGATTCATCATCAAGTTTACCATCATTCACAACACTTTCAATAGCATCATCTATATTATTATCTTTACCGGAACATTTTTTTGATTCAACCTTCTTTTCTTCAGTGCCATTTGTAATATTTTTTTTCGCTAATTTTTTTTCTTTTGATCTAGATGCATCACATTGCAGCCTCTTTCTCTCTTCTTGATTTTCTACAAAACTATTGTCTACTTCCATACTATCATTTTTTTGCCTAATTGAGTTATCACTATGTGAATGATCATGATTTTTTTTCTTCCGTTTAACCCCATTATCATAAAAAGATTTCTTTTCACAGTTATCATCTAATTTTAATTTCTGTAAAAATGGTGATATTATAATAAGTATTAATGTTAAGTTGTTTTAATATTTATTTATTTACCTTGGTTATTGGTCCGTTGAGAACTTCTTCAGTATCATCATCATCTGATGTGTCAAGATCTCTTTCTCTTCGTTTAGAATCTGGACTATCTTCTTCATCATCATCACTACTTTCGCTTTGATTCGTTTCTTTGACACTAAATTCTAAAGGTCCACTGTTAATATAAAAACCTCCGTAAGCAGTATTTACTCCTTCAGGAACAACTTCATCATACTATTCGAGTAAATTAATTAAACAATTGTTAATATTTATAATAAGTTTAATTAATATTTATTACTAATGTACTCACCGCATCTGTATTATCTATGAAGGGATCATTCTCATCATATCCTGCTCCAAGATCAACTTCGTCATATTTTTTCTTTTTCTTTCCGGTCATTTGAGTTGGTCCCTAATGACACATTATATTAATATAATTCAATAAATAGATCAATAAAACAAATAATATAATTCAAAGTTTCACCGTACATATTTAGCTTCAAATTTTCGAGCTACTTCTTTTAATTTGGCATCATCATTATCATCGAAAGGATCCAATCCATTCGAAACATTTTCACTGAGATTTTTCAACTCCTTAGCTTTCTTTTTCTGAAAAATAATTTTTTTTTATTTATTTTGAGATTTTTAGTCAATCAATTTTTTGTAGAATTAAAACTCTTATTATTCAAGTAGGGTTCATCAACCAATAAAACATTTATGAGCTGGGATCCTTTTAAAGCGCGTATGTTTCAAACTTACATAGAAATATGGTATACTTTCTACAATGGTGGACTTACTTGGTACAAGTCTTAAAAGTCATGTTAACATCATTGATATAACGTAAATTGATTGAATTTTATAATAAATATCAACCAATTTTAATTCAATGTAGCTATTAAAATTATTTTAATGATTTTTCAAAAATTATAATATATAATTTGAAAAGTGTATAAACTGAATAAAGTAAAATAGAATGTTTACATGATAATAGTTAATGCTACGTTTAGCTGCATAATAGATCTGAGCCTTGAAAAAACCTTGATAAATTAGAATTTATACTAGCCATAATATTTGTAAATTTAATTACCTTGAAAAAAGATAATTATTTTGTTTCCAAAAAGTACCTATAAGTTTCGCTTACGAAAAAATTCATTGAATATTAAATTACTTCTAATCTAAATTAAAAAATTCATTAAACTGTTACTTTAAAATTATAATTATGTTTATTATATAATTAATATTTTTTTTACAAATTATCCAAATCTTAATAAAATGAATAATGGTAATAAATTGATTAGAATTAATTAAAAAAATTGTCTCACAAAAATTTTAAAGGTTAAAGATATTATAAAAATATGTCTTAAATTGTTGATGAGATGAATTAAAAAAAATTTACACATAATAGTATAAACAATGATAAACTTATAAACATTTTAGACTATAAGTATAAAAGTAAACAGAATGCAGAGGTAAGAAACATATTGAAAGTTTCACACACAAAATCATAGGAATAGCGTCTATCATTGTCTATGGCTTTTTTTCAGGGGGAATGTAATGCATATACAGATGACAATACTTTCAGATAAAGATAAAAATCTTAATGTTTTCATTATTTTGCAAATGAACAAAAAGAGTTGGGCAAGGATAATTACAATATATAACTGTAGATTTGTGTAGAGAAAATTGGAATTATGATATGAATAGAAGAATAATATGTACAAATTCACAGGTACTCCTTAATCCATACTGTTAATTCGATCAAGTGTGATAAGGTGTGCATGAGAGTTTGCCGGCTCTCAAAGCTTAGTTGTACTAAAGCTATGCATAACAAAGATGATTGAACATAATTCTAATTAATAAACAGTTTATTTTAATTATAATTAATCACGTTACTGACCTCCAGCAAACTCATATAGTTAAACTCAGAGTAGCCTTTTTCATTTTTTTCATCCAAAGAGAGTTCAAAACGAAAGGAGGGCGCGAGTTGTTTGCCTTTCTCTTTCTTTTCCTTTTTCGTAGAATTACTTAAGGAATTTGGTAATTCAAGAGTTTGTATGGGCACACGTTTTATTTCCGACATTATACATATGCACGTCAAAACCAAATGATTATGGATGCACTAACTAACTAAACAGAAACAATTTGCTATGCCAAATACTGTACCGACATGAATACTATCCAGACATAAATATGGCACATCACAATCTTGGATTTAACTGTTTTTAGAGGGCGCTGCAACTTACGATCACAAAGGCATGTACACATATCACACACGTGCATTTGACACGAACATAAGCAACCTAAGAAAAAGAAAATCGTTTAAGAATAAGATAAAAATATTATGATACAACAACTATTATCTATTGATCGTATCTTATCTAAGTTATTGTTAATTGATTTTTAACAATTTCATAAGTTTATATTTATTATCTTGTTATTTTCACTTAAACTATAGATAAATTTTTTTTTTTCATCATTCGAGATCAGAAAATAGCTACATCTAAAGTAACAAAAACATTTAAAGTAAAAATTGGTGACAAATTAAGAGAATAAAACATCTGTTGTAGGTAAAATAATTATTTAGAGTATCGGATGTTAGTAATGATAATTTTATTGTACAAAAAGTTAATTCATTTTCATACCACAAAGACAAGTTGCGCACGCAAGTAGGAAAAACTTCCTGCATCTTTGTTGATTGGTGATTATTGATCACCAACTCTGTACCAGTAAATAACTAGCTAGAGTGTTTTCTTCGAGAATTGATGGTCTAGTATATATTGCATTTAAACGATTTTCTTTGTGTTCCATATATACACAGCCATTGATTCCAATGTGTGAGAGATGTGCGTCACATTTGTGTACAAAGGTACTTTATTATTGTCGAGTTTGTAATAGTCGAGTAGTGACCTTGCAGTGTTTGTAAACAGATACACGTTGTTTACGAATTACCGTGATTGTAATGAAATTTTAACATTTAATTAAAAAGTGTTATCAATATTTGACAATAATAATTAATAATGGAAGTAGAGAATATGAATATTACTGACAACGAGATGGTAAGTACAAATGAAAGTAAGAATTATTGTTGCTTCATATGATGCAAACATGAATTGTATAAAATTAATTTACACTCAGAATGTAACATCATAATATATAAAAACATTTATTTGTTTTTTATAACGATTATTATAACTAAAAACCAAAAATCTATTAATAAAAAATTTTTTAACTAACAATGAGGTGTCAGCACTGTTGAGTATTGACAACAAAGGAAATAAGCAAAGATGTTTATTATTATAGTGAGATTATTGGTATATTATTATTAATTAAACATTTTAAGTGTTTATTAGATATCGTTGTTTTATCAAAGTGGCGTCTGGAGTCGCTACGTACGCAGATTTAGTTGGATTTTCTTGAATACAGTGTCATTATTATTTTTTACATTACAAATAAGTGAATTGTTCTTTGTTTAATTAAACACGTGGGAACACCAGTATATCGTAATACTGCTCATTTCAAAATTCTTATTTTGTTATTTTTTTGTAAAAAATTTATATTATAAGTTATAAACAATTATAATTATATTGGAGCCCTCTTTATGATTAAATTAATTAACATGATTATTAATCGTAGGAATTAGTGATACAATTACATCTCTTTGTAATTTGTAATAAAATAAATAAGCATGTTACTCGAAAGTGAATTTATTAAACTTTTTCGTGTTAAAAATTAGTTATTTATATAATTTATAATAATTTTAAAAAATTGAAAGAAAAAAATTTCTTTGACTCAACTTGGTATTATTATGGGGCCACCCATTCATAACAAAAGGCCGTTACTAAATTTTCTTGGAACTGCGTAGTTGAATTTAACCGTGCCACCGGTAAGTCCTTTGGTACTTTTTATCCTACCGATATTGTAGAAAATAATAATTTAAACATCAATTGACGTATTATAGTGAAGTTTAACTTATTACTAATTAAAATTTAAATCTTACCAGTTTTTTAAATGAAAAATATTTTCTAACTATTAGTGTTATTAGGTTATACTGAAGAAGATCATTCGACGAAAGTCACGAATAAAAGTTTGTATAACTACTTACAATTTTTATTATTTAAAAAAAGTATCATGATTTACGTTTAAATTATAAAAATTTTAATAGAATGTCAATTTAAAAACATTTTATGTAGAACGCAGATCTTTTTGCGAGTCAATATATTAATTTTCAAATAGAATTGTTTATCTATTACGTCCCATTTTAAAATTTTTCATTTATTACGTATCGTTAACATAATCGTTAATTTTCATCAAATTACTTTAGTATTCAATATTATTGTAGATAGAATGAGAAATAATAAAATAAGAATTTATTTTTATTAAAAAAATATTTATAAAAATGATTTTCATAGTCGATAATGTTTTTGACATATTTTTTCATATTTACTATTTAATAATGTTTCCAAATTTCTTATTTATTGATTTTTTTAATTTAATAATTAATAATAATTTTTGTCTATTTCCTTTGTAGGAAAGCTGTCGTGGAGATCGTAAAGAGGGGGGAAAGCGGGGACGTAAACCTGGTCGAAAAGCAGCCGACAAGGCGGATATGAGAGCTAAGCTTGGTGAGCGAATTTTCAAAAGTTAATTATGTTTAATAATAATGATATACTCATTGACTATGAGAAAATATAATGGAACTCATTCCATTCTTCATCTATTCTTAGTTTGCTATCAATGTTTGTGCATTATTATTGCTCTTAAAACTAATCATCATTTCTCTGAATCATAATATTACATCGGTATTGTTTGATAGACTTTTTTGAAACATGACAAATTGATTTTTTTTCATTAATTAATTCTTTCATAATCGAATAGGCTAACTCATACACATGCTGCTCGTATAAAATTTCTCGAGCTTCATTATCTTTCAGACTTATTTTTTAAAGTGTTTTTTTCTCATTTTTACCTGTGTAAAACAATGCTTCTATTAAATACTATACGCAGAAAGGTAGGAGGAAAAACGTTATCATACAGCATGCCCTACAAAGTTTTTTTTATCATGAAACATTTTTTGTTCTTTCGATATGCCATCTTCAGTACACTTTTTTTTTGTTATAGTTAACAGAGTTATAAACTTTATTTATATATTTCTAGAGCGAAGTCGACAGAGTGCAAGGGAGTGCCGTGCACGCAAAAAACTCAGATACCAGTATTTAGAAGAGCTTGTTGCTGATCGAGAAAAAGCTGTTCTTGCATTAAGAAAAGAGCTTGATATGGTTTAAATAATTTGTTTTAAAATATAATATTTGTTCTATAGTCAATTTTGTTATTGATATGGTATCAAATAAACTCATACAAATTGATATTATTTTTACAATTAGATTGGTTAGCGGAAGATAATTAAATTGATACAACTAAAAAATTTTACTAATTTTGATATTTCTCTTCATGAATTTTTATTGAATCAGACCAGAGATAAAAAATTGACTGTATTACGGCAATTCGATATTCTACCTTGTTCTATTATTTATTCTATTCTGAAATTGATTTTTTCATATTTACAGTATCGATTATGGGGACAAGAATTGGATGCTGGACGTATTCCTGAAGAATTGCAAGCATTGTTTGAAGACTGTGGAAATGTTAAAAAAGAGGCTAATAATAACTAGTATATAAATTTATTATTCTATTTTAAAGTCATCAATAATATATTTGATATTGTATTTTTATCGAACCTATTATGCCTCGCCATATTTTATGAATCTTTGATAAGTTTTCAATATTATTCTATTCTACAATCCTTTATAAGGATCAGCTAATAACTTCTATCATTCATCAACGATTTATCATTATTATGTGGTTAATGTTTTAGAAATATTTATGATGTAAATTATTCTCTGGTCATTTTTATAAATTGCTTTAGTTGAACGAAAAAACAGGAACTGTAATTTACGTGAACTGGTTTAAATCCAGACATATATTTAAAGAGCAGAGAACTTGTCAAGTCGTAGACTAAGTTTGTTTTCGTCTTAAGAGTTTAACAAATTGTAGACTAGGTTAATGCTTAATGATGAGTATCTTATCAGTTTAGTATGTTATACACATAAGTTTATTAAAAAAGTTATTGACAATTAGAAAAACTTACTGACAGTTGATATCCTTGCTAATATCTTTGACAATTTTCTCAGTTTCTTGTAAAGTTTTTTTTCAAGCTTTAAAGAGGATTTCCTTGTCAGTTTTATTTCGAGTATTAGAATTTATCTAAACAGCAAGCATTAAAATTCCTTGCGGATTTCTTGGCATTAAAAACCAATCCAGACAGCATCAATTTCTGAAGAATATCGTAGAAACTTTTAAAAGTCGATTTTTTATCAAGATATCTTTAAGCCGTCTTTGAAATACTTGTTAAAAGCTTATATGATATATGAAAGTTTATTATTCAAAAATTAATTCTTGTCTGGTGATTGTTTAAGCAGTTTTTTTTGATTTACTATCATACTTCTATATTTCTTGTAAAAATATCATGTACTAGAGTTTATGCTGGATGATGCATAGACTGCGTCGTTGGAGTTGATGGCCATTGAAAAAGATATTATCTTATGATTCAATGACGTTCTATGGACCAGAACACGATTCTAAAGCCTTGTTTTAAAACATTTTGATGCAAAAATATCTGACAGTATATATGTAAATCCCTAGAGCTCACTGTCTTCATTATGCGACAGTAGCTTCTAGGTTTCAATAAAAACAAAAACATGTTATTTTTTTAATGTTATTAAAATTATAAATTATCTATCAAATGAAAAAATTAAAAGATCAAGTTAAGAATTAGTCAGGTATGTTTAAATAAGAACAAAGTACTCATGTTAAATTTAATTTTAAATAAAACTTATTTTGTTTTATTGCTTATAAAGTTTAAATATAATAAATGTTTACCAACATATATATTTGTATATTCGAGTATTGGTTTTATTGATTAAACTATCATTCAGCCACTATTTAATACATCTTTTTCTTATTATTTGGTGCAATTCTAAATTCTTAATTTTATTATTAATTCTTTAATATATCATATTTTATATTTTTGTTTCCTTATAATACAATAAATCCATAATAAAGTATTAAATATACTATCTACCCGTTTCTAATTGGAAGCTAAATACACGTAACAATAAAGTAGATTATTAAATTTTGTGGCTGAATTATAGTAAAATGAATCCTCTTTATATCACGTGATGTAGAAATTTGTTGCATATATTCATTATGATATTTTAAAAATGAGGAGTTGTAAATTAATACAAATATGTGTTCAATAGAATTGCATTCTTATACTGCCATAATTCATAATAAAAAAGTTTCCATGTTATTGATTGACTATGTCTCATTAAAACGGTTCAGAGTATTGAAACTCTAAACCTTTACGATTCGGATTATTTTTATAAACAATATCATATTAATCTAGTGTTCTTTTATCTATTTTATGTATAACTTTGAATATTCATTATATTTTTATATGAAATACTATCTAAAACACAACCGTCAGTAACATATTGGTTTGATATTGATAAAAAATTTATTATATTAAGGTGTCATCAGTTCTTGCTTCAAATTGTAGCGACAGTAATCTCTACCAATGATATCTTCACTCGAGATTTCATCTTCAAGCGGCTCTATGCCTTCCGCAGCCATACGATCTCGTACCTGGAACATGACATAAGCACATGGAGTTTAAACTTTTTCTATTTCAATTTACGAGAATCGATAAATAAATTATATGTTCGAGACAGTTTCGATGTAACTTTGAAATATTTTTATCAATAGTTAAAGCTGAAAGTTTCATTAAAATGCAAAGAATATTCTCTTCTCTGAATTAAATAATATTTTATAATTATTCAAATTCATTCATAAATTACTAGTTTTAAAAGAAATACCATTATTTTAAATGATTTTTTTTATAAAACAACAACAGTATTTACTTTTTAAATAATTGTTTACTAAAGTCTTGGAATTGAAGTTAAATTCTTGAAAAAAAATAGTTCCAAAGAGAGTTTCATTGTTATCAACAGAACAATATCATGTAGATCAATAAAGATAAAATATATTCCTAATAACTTTACTATTGTACAAGTTAGATTATATATAACTCTAAGTAGACAACAATGAAGTAATGAATGTTTTCTTTCATCACAACATAGTGATAATTATGTTCATAAACAACATTGATAAATTATTCCAATGTAATATTATAATACTTGCAAGTTCTCTAAATGTTCATACCTGCTCGACAATTTCAAAGACACGTATAAGATTAAGCCCTGCAAGCTTCTGAACATCTTGTTCTGACCATCCGTTTGTAAGTAGTTCTGCAAACAGCTCTGGATATTTACTAACATCTTCAAGACCCGTCGGCGTTCTAAAATAATAAGAATATATAGTATTTTATTTAATATTTTATAATCATTCTTAAGTTCTTAACCAAAGTGTTTTTCTTTTCCGAAATTAACTACATAATTTATTGCAAGTTCGATTGACTCAATGCATTTATAAAGTGCGTTCATAGTATATAAATTTAAATCTATACTTACAAGTTAATTCCATCGTATCCAGCACCTATTCCAACATGATCGATGCCTGCCACTTTGCGTACATGATTTATATGTGCTAAAACGTCAAATTCCAGAGATGTAATTTAGATAGCGAAGATATGAGCATGTTCACAGTATATAAAAAGCGATATTGATGAATATACTTTAGAGAGATGAATTTCAGAATTGTTTTTAAGAATAAATAAAAAGCTGTCTGCTTGGAGTGTCACTTTAGTAAAAAGCGAAAAAAATCTAACAATCTCCAGAATTTTTACACTATCAACAATTCTGTAATAGCTTTTACGTGTAAATAATTTTTACAAATAAATATTTTATATTTCTTGGGAAAGTATGACACAGTGAAACAAACTGAATGAAAAAAAGCTGACAAAAATATGAAATATTCTTGTATAGAGTTAGTACTGTTACGTTTGAATAATGCATTATACTTTTAAGCCGATTAGTACGTTCGCCATTTTTTATTCATTTGCGTGAAAAAAAGGTTTCAAGATAATTACTCTCAACACACAATTCTAACCCAAAATATCGTGAAAATTAATCCTTGTCAAAATATCTTTAAACTGAGTAATCCGCAATAAAAAAAAACCACATATAAAAACATTTAGAATATTCCAGCCACTGATGAAATATTTTCTACTAATAAACAATCTTTTAGTTGGATTATAGATATGTGGTGCTTTTTTTACCGAGATTAGTGAGCATATGAAATTTATCTTCATTAAGTTTATTAAATTTTTATATTTTACATACCTACTACATCTTTTAGTGTTGATCTTTCACTACAACTTATGAAGTGAGGATAAAAAGAAATCATTACAATTCCTCCAGATCGAGCCTAGAAAAATACATCAATAAAAATTGATCAATTACTCATCAATATTTTTTGTTTTTGACAAATAATAAAATTAATTTTTCTCACGAGTAATTGAAGAGCATGATCTGGAACATTTCTTGAAGAATTACAAATAGCATGAGCGCTACTATGACTAAAAATCACTGGTGCTCTAGAAACATCCATGGCATCTAGCATGGTTGGCACAGAAACATGTGATAAATCCACCATCATCCCCAATCTATTCATTTCCACTATAATACTCTGTATACAAATATTTTCCAATAAAAGTCTCCAGAGAGCTAGACTTTATTTGTGAATAAAAATAAGTAAGTTAAGGTTATGAACTTGACTTACCTTTCCGAAATTTGAAAGACCACCAACATGAGGTACTTGACCTGGCTCATCTGTTGTACTGCAATCTGCCCTGCCAAACCAATACATAAACAACTGTAGCATTGGGAAATGTCGGTATCTATATTTTATCGGTTGATTAAAAGTGTTTGCCTACTTACCAAGGTGTATTGCACGTATGGGTCAAAGTAAGATACCTTGCTCCAAGTTCATAAAGCATTCTGAGTACTGCTAAACTTGTACTTATAGCATGACCACCCTCTACTCCTATTAAACTTGCTAATCTTCCCTCACCATGGGCTTTTTTAATACCTATGGAATATAATTTTAATCACTGTTTTTTTGTGAGATGAAAAAGAGTATTCTTATAAAGGAAAAAGTAGTAAAAGAGTTAAGATTTAGATGTAGGTCAACTGTACTGAGATTAGTTTCCCGATCTCGAAACACAAATGTGAGTGCAGATAGGAGAAAAAATCAGCTCTTTAGCAACTGTAACTAGTAACGGAAGAAGGAAGTTGTAAGAAAGTTTAGATTTAGAGCAAAGTGAACAAACCGTAAAAACCCACAGGCATACACGCTAAAATGTCTAATCCAACTCAATCAAAGGGTTTTAAAAATATCAAAGACTCTGACTTGAGTACATAAATAAGGTCATTAATTTTCATGAAAATAATAATAATATTTTAATATAGAAATGGAGTTTCTTGTGTGAGATACACACCTTCAGAAGTAGTAACAAGAATCATATTTTTTGGATGTTTGTTTACCAATCTTCGAATAAGGTCAATTTGCTCTAGCGCCAACTGTACTGAATCAAGATGCTGTGATGAACATGGTACATACGCCGACCAGAACTGTAAATTAGTAAATGGGAAAAGAAATTTTTTTTTACAAGAAAAAAAATATTGGTTAACTTACTTGGGCAGCAACCATGCCTTCTTTTAGTCTTTTTAAATCGGTATGGCTCCATGCTGTTTGAGACCAAGGGTGAACTCGTTTTAAATCATGAAATTGGAAATTACGTAATTGGTTTTTTAAAAATTTACGTATGTTCCATGGCAAATCATTATGACTTGAAACAAAAAAAAAATAATTCACAATTAATTAATTGTTTAATTCACTACATTAAACATTTAAAAACTATTTAATTATAATGCTGTAATGTTCTACCAAGTCTAAACGTAAATTCTGAATTGGTAGTACAAGCTTTCATTGAAGACCTTGTGGACTAGAACTGAGTTTCGGAATAATGAATATCATGTTAGAGAACACTTGGTTCAAACCCCAAAATTGTAGTTAGGGTAACCAAACCAGGAGATGAACTAATTATATTTTAATTTATAATTCAACTTGTCTTTTAAACTAAAAATATTTCTTTTTTTTATTATTTAAAAGGTGATTTAATATAAACCTTTACTCTTTTAATTGTAATTGTAATGATTAATGTTATTAATTAGTTACATTATACATGAAGTAATCAAACTGCTGTACTTAATTGAGACGTTAATACTCAAACAGAATTAATGGAACAAAGTCTAGCACAAAACAAATTCTGTTTCATCCGGAGAGACTTTGAGGCTCTAGTCTGAATTTTCTTCCACTACTTAAGAAAGCTCTTCTATTGACAATAGCACAATGGGCGAAATTATTTAATTATTTAATTAAAGAGGAATTTTTGTTAATTACAATCGCTTTTATCAACTTGAAAAGTGAAATAAAAAATATTTATGAGTCTTTGAATTGCGTCTAAAAATTTGAAATATTTATATTTTGTCAACAAATTATTAGATAATTATTCACAATTGGGGCTCCAGATATAAATTGCTCCGAAAGATTTTTTATGCATTTGGGGTTATTTCAGAGGATACAAATAGTAAATTTGAGGCGAGGGAGACATATTATTGCTATTAATTCATACATTACATGTTATAAAATACATATAATAAGTCAATGAATTTCACTAGAATCGTTAATGTTACATTTTAAAATATAGCAAAGGGAGGTGCAGGGCGAGTGTTTATAATTTGGTCAACGTTCATTTGCGTGGGGGGGAGGTAGAAGAGCATAAATATTTTTGTAATTACTAAAAATATTTACGCTCTTTTACCCCCCCCCCCCCTCCCCACCTTCCATCCTCCTTTAAAAAGTGCCTTCTTCACCTTTAAATATCTAATTTTACCTAACAAAATAGTCTCCAGGTGATGGAAAATTTTTTCGAGTGATTTTCGTTTGGAGTCCAAATTCTAAATAATTATCAATTATTGTTATAAATTTTTTTTACATTAGCTTCAATGAGTTTTAAGCACTTATAGTGATGAGAATATACGTTTAAATGCAAATAGAAGATGACAGTAATTTTTTTTCAAGGATACAAAGATATTACATGGATTGAACAAATGTACAATGGGTTTAACATCGAGCTAGAACTAATAACTACAGTAATAATGTGATTCGAGCAAAATTTTACTCGAGTGATTTGAGTGATTTTGTTGCCACTTATACTCAAGTTCACTTGAGAACGAATAGGACTAGCTGACTCAACTGAACATGATCGAATCTGGCTGACTCGACTCGTTCATTACTCGAATGTTATTGGAGATCTCAAAGTAGGAGTAATGTTTTGCATTTTATTTTAAATACAAAAGGAAGAAAAACTTTACGAAACGAATTTACTTGAGCTGTTTTTTCTCGATAGATGGATTGATCTTCAAAGGAAAAAAAAAGAAAATAAAATTAGATTCTATCGTGTAATAATATCGAAAATGGAATAATGTAAAATCAAGGTTGAAGATCTGTTGAAACGCACCAATAAAAATTTTCTATCGACGTCAGTAATTTTGTTATCACTAAAATGATAAAAAGTAATGAGTAAAAATGGTTTTGATTGAATAAAAGAAATTTATCCGACAATTTTTGTTAAAAATCTCTATAAAATCATAAATGTTTAAAAACTTTTCAACAATAATATTTATCCGATTAATTTAAAAAAAATTCACTCTATTTCACACGAAATAAACTTCATTTTTAACAAACGATATTTTTCAACGATAAATAAGTCTTTTTCCCGTCGCTGAAGTGATTGTTTTTAATAAATCAGAAACAATTCAAGTCATTCTGTGAAAAATCGTTCGTTTACGGTAAATGAGGAAAAAAAAACTGGAGGGAAAAAAGAGAAGCGAGAAAAAAAGGTCGTCATATTTCTTCTAAAAATAATATGTGATAAAATATAATCAATTAGCGTACATACCCATCCACAAGAGGTACATCTCGTAAAATTCTGCGAGCTACAGCTAATCGATCGCCGGCGTATGCACCTAACAGAGTATTTGATAACAATTGTCCTAACACCAGTATAGCCATTACCATCTTCATCCTCCTGTTCACTGAATTCACAGCGTTTTTTGCTAGTCGTATTGTCATGCCATTGTTTAATAAAGTTGACAATCTCGTCTTGTTTAAATACCAAGTGTAATATTTTCAACAATTTACCATGTTCTTTTATTTAAATCAAATACAATATTTTTATATGCTTTAATAGATATTACAGGATTAAAATTGCTTGTTTTCTCAATTTATAATATCCAGAAAATTTATTCATGATTTCAGTCTTTTGGAGTGGAATAATTAGTTTTATTTCAAGTTTGAAATCAGACTGACTCAAATTTCGGGATTTAATGTTTCCTCATTTCTTGTTTATATTTTACTAAATTATTCGCATTAATAACTTGATACATTATGTTCTTTATTAAATTATTAATATACTTCAGAAAGTTTATTTTCAGTCCATTATCCTTTAAATCAATGATTATAATATTTTTAGCTTCCTGCTAAGGTAACTAATCTAATTTATTGAGTCAAATATTGAAGATTTCCTGTATCTTGAAAGATGAAAGATACCAATATGTTTTGAAATTTTGTACTTTTTGTGAGATCAACAGAAATTGGTTTTTGATTTATATCATAACAACTTGTTTACTAAAAGAGCACGACTATTTTTAATATAGTAATAATGATTTATGTGAATATTTGTAAATAGAAATATTAAACTTCATTGATGAATTCACAAAATGTGTAAAAAGTTGGTCATTTTTTGGTGGATTATTTAAAAATTTATATAAATGAGTTGTTGAATATATTTAAAGAGTTCTCTCACAAGTGGGTATAGAGATGAACCTTTCAGTGGAATATTAATGATGATAACCACCACAGGTATTGAATAAATATGAAACTCAAAAGATGAGTGTATCGTGTAAATTTTTGTTTATTAATATTAACAGTTTGGATAAAATAGCCAATATCAAATTTCCGAAATAATTTAAATGCATAGGTTAAGCTTTTGAAAGCATTAAATCCACTACTATTCTATGCTTTAATTATATGTTTTCACTTGAAAAATATCACATTGATATTATTAATTGGCACAATTTCGTTATCATAACAATATCATTTTAATTGTATCAATAAGTATTATAAGAATAATAGAACTCTCGTCTACTATTTTTTTAAGTTTCATTATTCATTTCGAAAAAATATTTAAATTCATCAATTGTTATTATTTCTTATTATAATAGAGAGAATAATTTCACAATTATTTACACTAATCATTACACATATCACCGAGAGTAAATTTGAAATTCTTCCAAAAAAAAGGAAAAGCTCTTAAGGTCTAACGAACAGTTTACAGCTGAACTTGTCGTAGACTAGAAACGTTGATGTTCACTCAGTCCGTGTCAGAGCGCAAGCGTACTGTTCACGTACAATTATTTTGTTCGTTTTATAATAAATTTATGTAAGGTATTTCTTGCCCACATTGGACAATTTCAAAACAATATCGAATCTCTGCCGCTAGTATTTGTGAAGATATTTGAAAAATTAAATTGATTATTGATCAGATTAATTTCATTCAAGCACCATTATAAGTTATGATTACTTCATAATTTTAATCTCTTATAACTTTTGAAGGATTCTTTTATTAAGAAGAATATCATACCAATTATTTTGAAAGATTTCATGATTATAAGGTACAGGCCTATTTTTAAAATTTATTTCACGTAGGAATAATAATTCGAGTTTGGAACTTTTGAATTCTAAAGAGCATTCCAAGTTTTGGAGTGAAATTTTATCGTAGGCATATACAAGAAAATTTTAAGACTAATTTGAATCTCCAACTTCCTTGTGGATTTTCAAAATCATCATGCGTAAAATGAAGTTAGACTTTAGAAAGTCCTGTATGATCTACTGAATCTTCTTACGAATGTTATTTTAATAGTTTTTACTTTATTCAAGTATTTGATGAAATTCTATAGCAAAGAAAAAAATTGGACTAGAATTTGTAGTGCAGAGTTGCTTTTTTAATATCATTAAAAAGAACTTCAATATAGTTTTAAATGTGTAATAAAAAAAATTTCCATTTTTTGATTAAAGTAGATTATTTCAAGTAACGGGATTCAGTTTTTTGTACAATTAAATATTTCAAAGTAATAGGTATTGAAATAATTTTTTTATTGATTAAAATATTTTATATCAAAAAAAATTGTGTTTAATGAAAATGGAACATCCAATTCAGTTCATGCAATATTTATGTTACTCAAATATTCCAACAAATGCTGATATATGCTGAATAATTATTGTAAATTAAATTAAATAAGAATTTATTCACCAACATTTTACAAAGAAAAAATTTTTTTTTAAAGATAAAAAAAGAATTTTTTTGAACTTAGAGCTGTTTCTTAATATATTCTCTTAATAATTAAATTGTCAAAGACTCTAGGGTCCTAGAAAGCTTTAAAAATTTTTAAAAGATTTAGAAGATCTCCGTGGATTTTTAAACTCAATTGTTAGTTTTATCTTGGATTTGCTAATCTATACTGAAGATGTAGAGTCGAATTAGCACTTTACCCAAGGCAGCAAGTTAAACATCAAAGAAATGCAGTATTAGGAAATCTCAATCAAAATTCATATTTCTATTTAGCAACTCTTTATATTTTTCTAAGAACTAGATTTATTTCAATGAGTACGTAGATGATAAGGCTAATATATTTTTCAAATGTCGCGAGTACACTGTAATCACAGTGAAATGAAGTGTAAATAAAAATAAATCCCGTACTGTTACAGACTAAAAAATACCACTAATATATTGTGAAATACAGATGAGAATTTAATGTATACCTAAAGGAAATAATTTATACTTCTTTTATCTTGCAAATAAACTCATTATATCCTATAAAATCTGCAGATAGATTTATTAGAACATTAATTTTTAATGATGTACTTTAAAGTTCATTATTGTTATTATTATTCATTATAAATAATAAATCGTTATATTTTTTCTTTTTAATTACATAGAAAAGAATTACAGTTGGTGAAGTCATTAGGAATCATTCATAATAAATTTTACGATAATATGAATGATTCTAATACTTTCGCTTCATGAAAAAAAATAGAAAAGTGCGGAAATAGGAGTGAATTTAAAAAACTAAAGTATAACCAATTTTTATTTTTAACTGGAAAAACTCTATGCTCAAGATACAATTTTATAGGCTGTTAAATAGAATGTACCGCAAATTTTAATGTACACGAAATATTTATGTATTTATGTAATAATGGAGAATAATAAAGCCTCTAAAAGAAGTTTATAGCTTAAAAAATTAACAACTAATTGAATATTGATAGGTTTTAACATTTTTCAGTACACTATAATGAGATTGAAAAATTATTATTTGTTTTCCTATTATGTAATACGAAGGTGTTATAAATTTTTTAATTCAATTTTTCTACTTTCCGTTTCACTGAATGAATAACAATTAAAACATTTCTAGTAATAGTTAAAATCAAATATTGTTAACAAAAAATATGTTGAGAGATTTCTTATAAATACTGCTCGTTTATTATATTTTTCACTTAGTTTTCTCAAATATGGACTCGAGATACGGTTTTGCTCACTTGTGGGTAAGTTAATTTTTTATTCATTTTATTTTAAATTCAAAATAGCAATTGGGGGTGAAAAAAATCAATTATTTAACGAAAATTTGGACATTGAAAAAGAGGAATCAAAAAAGATCTTGAAGTGTTTAAATATATCTCAGATTGTAAAATTGATAGAATTAAATTTATTTTTCTCGGACCAACACGATACGAGGGGCGTTCAAATATAAACACGAAATTTCATGTCCTGCCTCCACAATACAGTATGTGTTTATATTTCAACGCTCTTCTCACTTGGAGATTAAAGCAAATGCTCCTAAATTATTCAATTATTTGACAGACAGTTATTTATTTACTAAAAATTCTCAAGAGATGCTAGATTAATTTTTAATAATTATGTTTTAGGTAAGATTTATAATTTACAGCACATTAATAATCAGTTTGTGCTATTCCCTGCCTCGAAGTGTTGAGGATCAGACACAATATTTTATTTCTGAAAATGATAACACCGACAAAGACAATAATAACAAAAATTTCGAAGTCAATAATTATGGCAATCCAAACATAAATAAATCATTAACAGTTGATCACAATGTAAGTAGAACAAATATTTAAAGTATAATTCATTTTGCAAAAAATTATCGAAATTCAGTAATTAATTATTTACTATTTATTTCTTTTTAAATGATATCAGCAATCGAAAGATACAAGATCATTTGAACTGTTAAAATTATCAAGACTAAAAAAAAAACCATTCCCAAGCATAAATTCACGAAATCGACGAAATAGTCCTTATTTTGGAGTATTTAAGAGTCATCATCATCACCACCATGGTCATGAACATCATGCTAAGCATCATCACGAGGAACATCACAAACATCACCATGGCCACGAGAGTAAACATCATCATGATCATCACGAAGATCACAAACATCATGAGGATCATAAACACCATCAAGAGCATCATCATAAAAACGATCACCATCATAAACATGATCATCATCAAGAACATCACCATGGACATCATGAGGATCATCATCATAAACATCATCATGATCATAAGCATAAAGAAGAACATGAACATAAACATAAACACGGCCATGAGCACAAACATGACCACGGGCATGAACATCATTCCAAGCATGAGCATCACGAAGAACATAAACATCACGCAGAGCATCATCATCATCACAAGCATCACCATCATAATGAACACCATCATCATCATGAGCATCACCATGTAAACGAACATCATCATCATCATTCACACAAGGAAACTGAGTCTCATCATCATCATCATGGACATGAACATAAAGAGGATCATAAGCATAAGCATAAACAGGAACATCATCATGAACATGGCCATCACCATAAACATGAACATAAAGAAGATCACCACCACAAGCATGGTCACGAGCACAAGCATGAACATAAACAGGAGCACGATCATAAACATGATCATCACCATAAACATGGCCATCACGAGGATCATCATCATGGGCATCATCACAAGCATAAGCATCATGAAAAGCACGATCATCATGAAGATGAAAAACATAATCATTATGAAGAACTTCATCACGATCATTATAATCATCATCTTCATAAATTTACTGGATCTGATGATACGTTTGATTATCAGCCTAAGTACTATGATGGTCTTAATATTGATAAGCAATTTGGTGATAAAGATCACTACTTTGGAGAAGCCAAAGTGGGAGATGAATATTTATCAGAATCCAATCCTAAAGGCGTTAAAGAACCCGTTATTGTTGTCGACTTTAAAAATCCGACTCCAATAATACCTATTACAATAGCTCCAGCAGCTCGCAGAAGTTAATATATTTTTATGGCGAAACAATAAAAAACCTTCATTTTCTATAGATATATATATATATATATGCATTACAAAACTTGTATTCTTAGTCAGTTATGTAATTAACCATTGGAACAGAAAAAAATTAATTTAATAGATGAATTGAATTTAGAAAAATAAATTAATGTTATTGTTTCTTTGATAGAATAGATTTCTGGTATAATAATAAATCAATGGTGTCAGTTTAATAATATTAGATTGGCATATCTAGACTAACAAAATTCACAGTATTATTAGAGGCAATAATTAGTATTAACTTCTCATAGCTTTATTGATTATTGATTATTTAGAAGTTAGTTTATCTCAAGTCCATTGGAATCTCGAGGACATTACGAGAGGAAGGGGGACTGGATAGCATAACGTTACAATCTTCATTATAAAAATTTATAATATGCAATCAACTTTCATCGCTGTTAACCAGTAACCTAAATAATTGCAAAATAGATGAAAAATAATGTTCCATATTGTGCCAATTTTTTTAACAATTTGAATTTTGCAAAATTTTAAGATTTAAAGTTCATTAAAACTCAATTTACAAAGTATACTTTTCTTCTTAAAAATTTGTCATCGCAGTGTAGTAATGAGAACTTAACAGTTGACAAAATAATTCTTATAATCAGTTTTAAAATTTCCTGTTATTTCGCAGCTGATAAAATTTTTACATCTGGATGCCATCTCTTTTTCACCCATACAAACACATGCGTGCAATTATACGGCGCTTGGATATATATTGAATATACCTCACGTACACATTCGCACATTTAACATGGTCACTTTTCCATTACTTTAAGTCTTATATACATAGAGTCTCCGGTCTGAAAAGGGGCCAGTGTAAGTCAGCCTTCTGCTCGTGATTCATGAAATAGAACGTTGTTAGTATACGTTACAAAGTACGAAAAAGGGAATCAAGGAATATATATCAATATAAATAAAGAAATATATACATATACATATATATACATATGTATTTGAGCATAAAGCATAAATTGAAGAAATACATTCAAATATTCCTTTCTTAGATTTTTTTAGATATCAATATTTTTTAATATCACGATATTTAACTGTATGATTAAAACCACGTCGAGCAGTTCATTACGTCACACAAATAATTTTTTTTGAAATTTCTTTCGTTACTTTTGACAAAATTAACATGTAAGTTTTATAAAAACGTTGTTAATTATATTAAAAATATACTATTTTTAATGTGATTGTACCATGCATTTTTAACTTTAATCGTTTCAATGGCAGCTATTCATAGAAGATCATTTATAGACAAGTATCATTTATGCAGCTACACACACACACTTTAATTCTGACGTATTTAGTTTATTTCCGTAACTTTTCTTGTTTTTGTTTATTAATTTAAAATCATTCTTATCCAATGTGCCAGAATAGAAAGAAATTCCATAGTGTAAAAAAGAACATCATATAGTCAAAAGATTTTGCAATCCGCATACTAGTGTCAGTGTAAATGTGCATATTTACCAAAACATATACATATATACACATGTCGTTATGTTCAAAATAGATTATTTTATGTAGCTTTGAAAGAAGATTGGTAGATTTTCGAACAAAACAATTGATAATGTACAGTGAGTTGAAGTTTAAATTGAATATTTTTGAATTTCTTCACTGCTCTTGATAAAAAAAATATCCCTCAATGAATAAACTTGAAATACATTCGCAAAAAATGAAATAATTGAATTTTTAGTTGTTCACAATAATACTTCCTACTATGATTCATCGGTTTTTTTTTTACAATTATTTTTCACCGAGATATACAAGCTAGAAGAGTTTTATTGTAGGAAAAATACGGAACTTCAAAGAAACTCAGTCTTTTGCTGAATATTTATTAAGGAAAATATATGAAATAGTTTAATTAGTAATTGCAATATATATTAAACTTTTATATAATTTCTGATCCTTAGAAAAATTGAATATCTCCAAAGAGCTACAATTTTGTAGAAATTGGGTTATACAAATATGAGGTAGTTATTTATAAACAGTCGTAAGAGAAAAATCTTCCTTATATTTGTGATTTTGAGGAGTATTTCTGTATCTAAAGTGTCTTCCTTTTATAACCTTTTTCTCAACATTTTTATTTGGTTAAATATTGTCCTCATATGATATAAAAATTGAATTAACTTTTCATTTTTTACACAGTTCTATATAGCTATTATATAAATACAGCGTAAATACTTGTGATGATAAACAACGAATTATCTTTTTTTGAGCATTTTTATTATTTTTTTAAAGAATCTGTCAACATTTTAAGAATGTAAGTTGACACAGTTAATTTTGATAAATTTACACTGAGAAAAAAATCGCTTGCATTTTTTATCAAATTACTTTTAATTATTATTATTTCTAAAATAAATGTTTCAATGTAAATAATTGATTGGAGATTTTCATTGTGACCATTCATCAAATTTTAATAGAATAATATTTTGTTAAGAAACACATGCAGTTTTTGTAATTGAAATATTCTACATCTATTGAGAAAGAAAAATCATTTTTTTATACATCAAATCATAAACGTTTCAACAATTTTTTCCAACAATAGTTTTTTTTAAGTAATCAATAATATTTAAACAAAGCTGGATTTTTTTCTCAGTTTGAAAAATTTTATCACACGTTTTTTTATACACATAAAAATAACACAAGCTTTATTTAATTTTAGGTTCGAAGCTTTCATTGTACTATAGACAAAACATATCAGGTTTGATTCAACCAGGAACTCTATAGAAATATTGATACTAATTAAATGTAAGTAGGTAAATTAATTCAAAGAAATGCATGAATTATCATTAAAAACTTCGAATTTCCAACTTCAACAATACGTCATAATTTTGTGAGTTATAACATGAAAATCTAAAAGGCACGCGCCTCAGTAACTCTATCATTATAATTAAGTGGAGTGTGGGCACATAACTCATTTCAATGATAACACTTTATGAATTAAGTTCAATAAATGTTGAAAGACTAAACAATAGTACTGATGCTTTTTATTTGGTCTGATTATTACTAAACCTCAAGTTATTAATTTAATAAATGTTATTGGTTTTTATTTCTAGATTGTTTTAGCACAAATTTTGAGATTGAGTGGAGACTGTATGCTATAATAATTGATGAGCAACATGATTCTTGGTTTCTAGAGAGCTAATATTTTTAATTTACAATGAAATATTCATTAAGTTGTATAAACAAAGCTACGAATATTGATAATTCACATGAAGAGATGCAAAATAAATTGCTCAAGACATTGAGTTAATGTTTCATGATTGCTTGAATTAAATAGAGTTTCTAGATGTTACAACCAAACATTAAATTTCTGTATGAATAATACTTAATAGCATTATTTCAACGTTAGCAATTCTATTTAATATAATTTATTCGAGTTTATATGGATTTTGTTGCAAGGTCAGTATTTATTTGCTATTGAAGTTTAAATTGATTTGTACTGTTATATTTATGTATACATCTTTTTTTTAATTTTGAAGTGAAATGATATAAAGTGGAGTGAATCAACTAACAAAATTACTAGCTAGTGATAATTCTTCTCAAAGTACGAATATTTGTTATCATTGATGAAAACTATATCAATTACAAGCTCTTCTACTTAATTTGTTGTATGATGAATCAAGGCCGTATTTCATCATAATGGTAAGTTTCTAATTGAGTAACAGCTGTTAAATACAAAAATAGATTACATTTTATTGCATTTTCATGATAGTATAACAATATTGGATATAACATTAAATCAATGCCTTTTTAACATTATTTTAAACTCGTATTTCACGTGAAATGAGTTGGCTAAAATGGATTAATTGAACGTACGGGGCTATACAACTGAAGTCAATTAAAATGTTCCGAAGTTATTGTGATTATTTTTTTAATAATTTTAATAGACAGTATTTTTTTATTCTTAATTCAAGTTCATGAAATTAATAAAGCATCTTGAATCAAGAATACCCATGAGAAACTCTGAGTAAATAAAGGATTTTCTAACTCTGATAGCGGTTTAAAGCTTATGAATTCATTCGGTTTTTCTTCATATATATTATTTAATAAACGTTACAAATATTATTTCATTTAAATATTTTATAATAAGTTCAATTATCTACAAAATTTATTTAATAATTATTACAAATTTTTTTATGGGGAGAAAGAAAAAGTTAAATAAAAGATTATTTCATTTGTATTAGTCAAATATTAGCTTTTAATGTGATATGTAGCTTACTGGATACTCACTGTGTAAGCACAATAGTATTTTTTATTATACCTATTTTATTCAAGTTAGTGAACCATAACAGTACCGCGCATGTCGTCATTATTTATTTAATGTAAGGTTTGATTAAGTGGATGTTATTCTTTATAAATTTTACTACGGTAATTATTATTCCTGCTATCACATAACTTTTTTTAATAGAAAATTGATATTCATTGAATCATTTATCATCTCCAAAAATAGATCAAATAAATTGAGAAGTTACATGTATATATGACTTGGAATGAATTATAATCTCTTTATATTGGTGACAAAATAATTACTTTGGCACAAATTTGTAAAATTCAAACATGTGAGCCCATAAAAAATTGTTTACCTCCTTAAGCCTCTTATATAATTGCAATAAATTATCAAGTAATTATCTATTGGCTTGGTAAATGTTCAGAAGCAATTTTCACACGTTGATTCATGTGGTGAATAGTAGCATCATATGAGATAGCGTCGGGTGGAAAATAGATGAAGAAAAATTACTCACAGAGATAAATTTTTTTAATACATAACTACTCCACATATGGTCTATTCTGTCCACAGTGAACATCCTTTCAAAAATTGTTTCATCATGTATTACATTTGTGCTACTATTTTTTATCGTAACACTTTGACATTTTATTAAAAAAAAATATATATATATATTGCGAAAAGAGTGAAAATTTTATGGTAATTAGTTAAATAATTTAAAAAAATTTGTTTTTGATGTTTCTAAATTGGTATTAAATAGAGTTCAGAAAACTCCAGCTTTTTTAGGATAATTTAAATGAGAACTAGGTTAAATTCGTTCTATCATTCATCGTTACAGCTTGGCCCACAATCATCAGAACTGTCTGGTTCTATTTTTACTGCGGCCACTTTAAAAAATATGAATAAGAATATTTACCCTCAAATATTATGTGTTACTTCATGTATCAATTTGTTGCCATCGAATTATTGGCGGACATTCAATAATTCTTTAAATATTAAATCAATTCATCTATTTTTATCATCTTCAAAGATTTTTATTACATAATAAAAATCCACCATATTTCAAGCCTTAAAATACTCCACAAAAAATTGCTTCCGCTTTTTTGAAACATCAACACTCATAGAAGTATATTTTTTTGAAATATTTTTCTATAATAGTCAAAAATTATTAATTTCTGCAAAAATCGAATTTTTATAAAAGTTTTAACTGGTATCAATGCTTCATAACTCTAGCAGTTTTTTACTATAACAATATATTGACAGATATTACAAAAAATGGATTAAATTGACATGTATTTGACCTTTTTGATTGATACTTATTTATACTGTCCACAAAGGATTAGTTTTCATTGAAAATACTTTTATTTGATGAGAAAAATATTCCTATAAAATGTAAATCGTCATCTGATATTCAAAAGCGATAAATAATAAATTTCCCGAGAAGAAATAATTATATCTCATGAATGATAGTAATGAACAACACAATCATAATTTATCTTGTATTAACATTCCAATTATACAGCACATCAAATCTCAATTACATCATTGTAAATAACTTCTTCGAAAAAAAGTGCTATATTTTACTCATGCCATATTCATTTATCATTTTATATTCCAATTTTTGTGGTGAATTTATCGGTAAAAATTGTCGCTAATCAAAGTTGAACTCATATCCTTCAGCACACAAAACTAATACTTTACCGTGAATTTTCCACAGTGAAATGATTTATAGGTCTTACAGTCGTACAGTATAATCCATAGCACAGTATGAGTATAAAAGGCAACTTATTTCGAGTACTTTCCATGTTGCCGAAAATAATTTATCACACGTACTTGTATTACATACACACACTTTTTTTCAAGCTCTTTCCAGAAGTCTCGATCTAAGTGCTCGAATAATTACTCTAGCATTATTTATGGAACTTATCAGTATGGTTTATTACGATAAGTGCGATCTATAAATAGTAATTTTATCGTAAGCAACATTAGAGATAAATGTTAGAACCCTATGATTTCCTTAGTAGCATCAAATCATTCGTGTCAGCAATTGCCAATACTCTTGAAGACAAAGAAAATGACATTTATCTTTATTGTTACTAATGTAAGGCTTTTTATTTTATTGCTGAAATTTCAACTTGAGCAAATATATAAAAATAGTTTATTGCATGTCATAGGCACTTAGGTACATGTTTTGTTAGATCTGACTAGAAAAATCTTATTAAATATTTACAGACTTTTAATGAACTTGGAGATGAAAAAAAGACTTTGAGTACAAATGAATAATTTGATGATTATTCATGTGATTTTATTAGCAAAATTGAATAAAAATTCAAAATAGTTATGTGAAATTTAACATTGTGTCTAATGAATATCGCTCATCACTAGTATCCATAAAATTTAATTCAAATATGTTGAAAATTGAATGAATGATAAGGATTTTTTCTATGTCGTAGAAGAATTTTCTCATTTAACATTCCAGTATTTTCATTTAATTATGGCAAAGAGTCCTAAGTTTTTCAGTCAATTGGATCTAAATAAGACAACAAATTTTTAATAGTATTTTTTAAAGTTCAATTTGCATTAAATTATTTTGTCTTTTATTAAGTATTCAACGATGCTTTGATATTTTAAATAAAATTAAAAATTAAAAAGTACCATTGAACGTCAAAAAATAAATACTCTTTGCATCTTTGCATAGGAATTTTCATTGAAAAAATTTTATAACCAGTTTTGTTATATCCCAAAGTGTTTGTAAATCAAATATCCAACCCCGTTATTAATTCACACCATTCGAAATTTAATAAACTTTTAATTCGTTGGATTTTCATTGCAATGGTATACCAATTCCATTTTTAAATATATTGAGAGTAAGTTTAATTGTTGTTATTGAATGATGTTTTTTTCAATGTATATCAAATTAAAAAAAAATAAAAATACGCACATAATAAGCGTAAGCTCTACCCTTCATTCGTTAATCTTTTTTCAAGCATAGAGAAGCTAACCCTACATCACTCAATGGCCGGCTTTATTTAGTCTAGGGGTTGCCACCCTGAAATAAATTATATCTGCAGTACATTCATTACATTCATCTTCGAAATATATATATATATATACATACGTGATAAAACTGGCTATTGAAATAAATCTACCTCGTGGAAATTTTTCTGGCACATCTAAATTGAAACAATGTACATGCGCAGTCTTGTATACTTCATATATGACCTCAAGTTTTGGGAATAAGAAAATATTTTCCTTACTTTTAGCAAGCTTGAAATATTTTATAAAATTTATTCCAAGTGTATAATAAGATATTTATTTTTTATGAGTGCAATTATAAAGGTTATTTAATCAATATAGAGAATGTGTTAATAGGATTAGTGTGGTAGAATTCAATTTCGTAAATTCAATTTTGGAACATATCAGACAATAATCGACCTATCGAAAATTTCCCTTGTGTAAAATTCTGTTTTGGTGTTTATATGTTGCCTGTGGCATAAAAAAATTTTTTCCATTGTAACTTTTTATTATAAAACATTAATCCATTATGTTTCATAAAAATATACTTTTAAATAAATTGATATTATTTTTAAAAATGGAAATTAATTTGGTAGAAATTAATCGCCCCTAGCTAATGTTAATGAACTAAAAAATATAATCTTTGTTCTGAATTATTCGAATGTTGTAGTGAAAATGAGTGAAAATACAAAAATATAGAATTCATTAAAGTTACTTAACGTATTAAATATTTGAAACAATTTTTCGCATTGAGGAAGTTGTTGTAATTAATTTGGAGCATAATGGAAAGATAATCTGACTATGAACTATAATGATAATTATTCTAATGTTCAATTAAGAGAAATATTTAGTAACATAATTGCCAATGGAAGCATTAATAATTTAACTGTGATCAATACCTTCATACTATTTCTATTCGGCAAAGATAAAAGTAGAATAGTTTCGGTGCCAAGCCTGCGCTATTTTATTTTCAAGCATATAAGTTTTTGTGATCAATGATGACTAGATAAAAAAATTCTTTCAATATTAAATTTTAAAAATTTTTAATATTCCTAGAGGGATGTAGTATATATCCGGATAATTATTCCATATTTTTTCGGTGATAAATAATTTTCCAACCACAGTCACTTGCATATTCATGATCAATCTATCGGTGAACATGTTGAAACTTTGCGACAAAATTTCATTGAATATAACTAGAGAAATTAATAGTGGTGCTTATAAAAAAATAGCTAAACCCAAAGCATAAATGTTAGTTTAATTATAGTTAGTGCCCCAGTTCACACCGGTTACTAGCGGTTCGTGTATTTTCTGTTTTTCTCTTTTATCTCATCTTTCCTTACATCCTTGCATCATCCCTACCTCAGTGTAGCGATCGTCTCGTTGAGTCATTGGCACACTC